CGGATATAATCTTATTATAATATCTTATCCGAACTAGTAAATTATATTTCTCTAGTTATTACTAACTCAAATTTCAAATTAAGAGGCCGGGCTTTAGTATAAGGCTTTCTATAGATCTAATATATCTCTTTACCTACTATATACTATTACTAATTTAACTAATTATCTAAAAACTAGCTAAGAATATCCCGGAAGTAATATTACTAGATTAAATATAGTTATATAGTTTTTTAATTAGGAGAAAGGAACCTATCTATTTATGGCTTCTATTCGGAATATAAAAGAATAATAGAAGAAGCCTTCTTACTATTTCGGCTTATTTTACTAGATTCCTAAAAAAAGACAGATATTTTATTAAGTATATCTATATAGACTATCTATTATATATAAGAATAATTAAACCTAATCCCGAGAGTAAATATAGCTATAATTACAGGCTAGTCTTTATTAGTAATTTACTAGGAGAAAATGGCAGCCTTTTCCTTATTAGACCTTAATTCGGAGGTATATAATAAATACTATAGAAAATTAGTAAGCTAAGCTACTTTATTCTATATATAATAGTAAATAATAATCTTATTCCGGGAGTAATTAAAGATCTCCTGCTTAGGCTAATATACCTATACCAGATTAGTAGCTCTCTTAATTAAGGGCCCGGGTTTAGCTTTAAAGTTAATTATATATTTAATATTAGGCCAGTTAGTTAACTCCCAGATAATTCTGGGCTTTATAAGCTTATTATATTTAATAAATTCTTCTTATATTACTAGGAAAAATATAGCTATTAGCCAGACTATCTATATCCTAATTTACCGGATATACTAGCCTAGTTAGGCTATATATAGCCGGTAGTTACTAGCTATAATAGTAAGATAACCTTTATTAATTATAATATAGTTTAGCTTCTATTTACTAACTAGAATATAATAGTATTTAAGAAAGCCTTAAATATATATAGCTTTAGCTAATATAAGAACTAATAAAGCTAATTATTAGTAGTTAATAGACCAGATTAGTAGCCAGATACCTACTTTATAAAAGTGTTTTAGTATATTATCCTATAAAATAATTATTAGTAAAACTAGGATTATAGTTCTAGTATCTATAATTATAGCTCTAATTATAATAACTAAAGTCTTACTAGAGCCGGTTCCTATTACTAGAACTACTTGCTTGGCTAGCTAAGGCCTTATAATAATAAGTACTTTATTTCGCTAACCGGGAACCCGGAATTACAAGCCTAATATATTATATAGTTTCCGAGTAATAGCTAGTAAATTAGTCTCGGAATATATATTTCTTCTATATATCTGACTATATTTAAAAACATCTAGTATTTATAATAATAGTATCTCTAAAGTATCTTATAGCCTCTTTTCTTATAGAATATAATTAAACCGGAAAAATATATATTAACTCTTGGATATTTAGTAATTCCGGTATAGTAAAGTATTTATAATAAGTATTATTATTCTAGTATATATATAATTAAAAGTATAGTATATATAATTATTTAGTTCTATTAAAGTAACTAGATTCAGTTCATTTTTAATATTTTTTCCTATATCTTCCTTAAGATTAAAATTTGCCTATTCCTTAATAGAAAACTTCTCTTTTATAATTAATACTATAAACTATTACTAGTTTAATATATATAAGTATAGTATCTTAGTATAAGTATATGTTTTTATTAGATAGGCTAAAAGTGTCCTATTAGCCTATATTATCCTATCTAGCTTAGTCTAGAGATATAGAGAAATAAGAGTACCTGGAGTCTACTATTAGAAGAATAGTTACCTTAAAGACAGGATATATATAATATATAAAAGTAATAGATTTCTAATTACTTTTAATAAGAATTAGATATTATTCTTATATATACCGGACTATTACTAACTCTTATAATATTAGATATAGATTATAACTAGCTTCTCCTATATTAATAAGTAATACTATTAAGTATTATTATATTATATTACTAATAGTAATTCGGATACTTATAATAGCAGGCTACCGGGGATATGAAATAATACTAATACTTGTTCTAGGAATTCCTAAGTATATATCTTATAAATAGTTATAGCCTTTAGATATAAGACTATATTTCTATTCTTACTATTAGTTAAGAATATGGCCCGGAGCTTAGTATTACCCTAGATCCGCCGGATAAAAGTAAGCTTAGTACTTTCTAGAAACTCGGTATTACTAGAATAAGAGAGCTATAAGCTACTAAAATCTTCCAGATCTAGATCATCCTTTAGCCTCTATAATTCTATTAGAATAAGGTTCTTAGCTTAGAACAGGAGCTTATTATAAAATAGGATATAGGCTTATTAATATTCGGAAACTACTAAGTTAGAGATCTATAATATTTATAATTCTATTTTATAATATTTTATTATTTATTTATCTAAGAACTACCAAGCTTGGTATTTTATAATAGTAGCTTTTCTAATCTTAAATAAGTATAGCCTCTACTATAGAATATATCCAAACGGGGTCTTAGTTAGCTATTAGAAGAACTTCTTATAGATCTTGGTAAAAAAGACAGGAATTTAATTTTTATTATCTTATTCTTGGAAATAAGTATAGTTAAAAAGTACTAGCTAAGTAGTTCAGGTCAAAGCTAATAAATGGCTATTAAAATTCCCTGGCTTCTTTTATAATCCCTGGCCTTTCCTATAGACTTTCCTACTTAATATAGTATAGAAACTTAAAATAGGGAACTTAAATAGTATACTACTAATAGTATAGCAAATTAGAGCCAAGTAAAGTTACTAAATAATATACTTAAGAGCTAGCTTAGTCTCCTCTATATCCTTAATAGCTAAGGCTTCTATAATCTTATTTATAGCTTGGATTTATAAAGTAGTTAGCTAGATAATATCCCCGGATAGTACTTATTCTGGCTTAGTCCGGGTAAAATAGCCGCTTTTATAATATACTATATAATAATAGTATACTAATAACTGCTTTATAATAGTAAAATAGGTAACTAGGATTAATATATTTTTGAAATACCGGAACTTATTTACTTTACCTAAAGCCCTAGTATAGAATTCATTTAGGATATTAGCCTGCTACTATATTATTTTCTGGTCTAGTAAGGTATTACTATATAACTAGTATATATCTCTTAAAACAGCCTTGGCTATAACTAAAATTCGGACGAAATTAGGATCCTTAGTATTCTTACTATCCATATTAAGCTTTTTCTTTAGTAATAGCTTATACGAGCTCTAGATCTCCTTATTCTTTAGTATAGTCAGGTAATATAGAAAACCCGTTATATTATATAGCTATAATACCCTTTCTGACCTTAAATCTCTAATATCCTAAACTATAGTTACTTGCTTCTCAAGATTATATTTTATATTCTTATAATTCTTCTCTAATTACTTAAATAGTTCCTTTTCTGGCTCAGTTAATAATATAGAGCCTCTGGCTATTTCCCTGCCTTTCTCTCTATTTATTACTATAAAATAATTAATCCGGCTCTTTATAGTAAAGTATATTTATAGTTTATACTCTTTCTATAACTAACTACTCTTATAAGACCTTGTTTCGGTCTTATGGCAAGTAGTCCAGTACTTCTTTATCTTGGGAAGATAGCGGATACTATAGCTATACTATAGCTATAGATAGTAGATACTATTATAGCTAACCAGATATTTAATTATCTAATACCTGTCTTTGGGCCGGGGCTTGTACTCTCTGAGCTCGGCTATATTCCTCAGGTTATAGCTACTGAGGAGCTATGTAGTCGCCTTGAGCTCGTCTCCCAAGAGTCGGTATGGCTGTACTCGCAGGTGCCGCTCTTGACTACGTACCCCTGGAATAATATAGGACTTGCAGATATGGCAGATAGTAACCCTGTAAATCGGATTATATAAGAACATGACGAGTACGTGCTTCGAGACAAGGGAATGCTTATTTAAAGGGGGGTGGGGAGTGGTAGGGGAGGTGCCCTTTTACCGAAATCCCTTTTACCGGAAAGTGCATTAGTCAGCAGCGCACGCACCAATCAGTGCACTGGCATTCTCACCTTTCACCGAAAAAGGGGCCTCACATAAGAGGTAGGAATTAAGGGTCTTGATCCACGATAGTATACCAAAACCGCTTTTATACAGACCCCCTACAGAGCAAAAGGGATCTTTGCACACGCAGATTTTCTCGAAAGATACGAAGATACTATATCGTCTCCCTCTCGAAAGCTTTCAAATAAGAAGTTCAGAAAAGGGGCCCAAATTAAGGCTAATTTGGAAGCCATCGCCAAGCAGCAGTTGCGGGACAAGGACAATCGAGATCTCTGGGCTAGTAATTCCCCTTTTGTAAACGAAGAGGATTACGAACGATACGTTAAACCTGTTCATAGAGGCCGTATAATCTCCTCTACAGAAGGTCTACGTAATATTAAAGCTAGAAACGATAGGGAAGAGGAAGACGAACTCACTAGAATGAGGAAAGAGCTAGAGCTAGCCGAACGCCGGCACAAAGCAGTGGTTGAAAAGGAAGAAAATAAGATTAGAAGGGAGGTTGAAAAGGCTCAAAAGGCAGAAGATGATCGAAAAAAGAAGGAACAGAGGGCTAAGGAGAAAGCAGAAAGAGATGAGAAGAAGAGAATAGAGGAGGAGGCCAAGGAGACTAGAAGACAGGAAGCTTTGGCACAGGGAAAGAAGCCACGGGGCAGGAAGCGTAAGATTGAAGCTATTAATACTCAGATAACGCAGGAAGATATATAGACTTCTAATTTTAATAGTAATATATGATTTAATATCGATAAATATGGTAATTAGTTAATGTGCTGCAAACTGATTTTAATGGGAAGCACGAATGTCATTATGATTTTAAAGTGAATTATTAATAATTTATGCCAGAACCTTTTTATTTGGCAGAAAGCTCTATGAGGCGATTATAGACTTAATTAAGGGCTATAATAATCTAATTTTGTTATTTCAATATTTTATGTGGTTGATTTAATAATTAATATTTTATCGCAAATGTCGGAGTTGGTGGTATGTCGGAGTTGCTGGGTCCGACTTGCTAGTGCAAGTCGGCCCCAGCAAAGCGAGGAATTGCCGACGGGTATATGCGCCGCTTCTAAACCCGCTTCAACCTGGTATCCCACTCAATTGATTGATGTGGGGTTGTTGGACGCTGATGCGGAAAACCGTCCCCGGCTCGTTATAACATCCGAAGCTTCGATGGACGGGCGGGGGCCATACGTCAGTCTCAGTCACTGCTGGGGTAGAGTCAAACCATTAACATTGACTACCGGGACTCTTGATCAATTTTTAAATGGTATCGATTTGACACTTGTACCTGCAACCTTCTTGGACGCATTCAAGCTGACTCGGGCAATCGGTTTTCGTTTCATTTGGATCGACTCTCTCTGTATCATTCAAAATTCATTGGACGACTGGGAATATGAAGCAGGAACTATGTTGCGAGTCTACCAAAATGCCTACTGTAACATCGCTGCAACGCATTCTCGCAATAGCAGCCAAGGCCTGTTTCGCAGCCGCAATCCTAAAGCTTTATTCGTAGTGCTTTACTTGACGAGTGAAGTCCTAAATGGAACATTTGAGCCCAGTCATGATCAATGGGGAATAGAAATTCAAGATCTAAATGGAACATTCGAGCTGCCCAATAATGATCAATGGGAAACAGACATTGACGATGCGCCTCTAAATCGCCGACCGTGGGTGGTCCAAGAACGGCAAATATCAAAACGCATTCTTCATTTTGCAGCGGATCAAATTTACTGGGATTGCTACCAGTCACATATTGGCGAAGCGTTCTCCCATCCTCCCAGTAGTCGCAGGTTAGCGACCAAGAAAAATCAAGGCCCTCTAGATATGCTTAACGAAGAGAAATTTTCGCACACATGGGGTCATACTGTCCACCAATATACATCGAGCGGGCTTACTTTTCCGGAAAAGGACAAGATTCTTGCAATTTCGAGCATGGCACAATATCTACAAGAAGTGTGGAGTGATGAATATTGCGCTGGTTTGTGGCGGAAGTACATCGAAAAACAACTTTGCTGGAGAAGTCTTCGCCAGCCTGAGAGAAATTCGCCAAAAGTATTGAGAGCACCTCGTGGTCTTGTCTCTCTTATGATGGTGCAGTGCAGCTCAACTATCTTCCTGGTTGGCCTGAAACGCGACTGTTCATACTTGTCATCGATGTTGAGGTACAGCAGGACATAAGCTTAGCTGGCCATCAATTCTTTCATGGATACCTCACTCTCCGCTGCCACCTATCAGAAATAACACTAGACGGGGATGCAGACACATATATCATACGAAATAGGAATTTGTCGAACTTGAAATGCTCTGTTGGTTTTGATTATGAAGACGTACAAGATATACAACACAGCACTCTGTTCTTCGTACCCATCGGCATGATATTAGGGACTGATCTTATCCCAGGACTAATCGTGACACCATCTGATATGGCCTGTGAGGGTTATATAAGACTTGGAACTGGGAATATTCGACTAGTTCCAAGATAGATAACACGGATCTCTTGTCTACAAAAGAGAAGGAAAACTTCCTATGTTTGGAGTTTGATAAAAAGAAGGGTCATCTGATTCGACTGGAATAACGAAACCTTTCTTGAATAGTTTCAGTGAGATATTTATTACGATTTTTCAACAAAATTTTATTTCAGTAAATAGCCTATTATCTACACGCCCTATAATTCGACTCGCATCTCACCTGAAACCGTAAGTTTCGGCTCGAATTGCACTTGCTGCTAACCTCATTAGATATAATTCTAGCTCATTTCCCAGACACGTTTTTAATTAAGTAAATATTGGTTTTTTTCTAAGAACTAAGAAAAAGAGAGGAATAATATAAACGGACTGCGAATTGTACAGACGTTCGGAGGTCACATGACAGAACCACGTGACCAGGGATAAAATCCCTATCACAATATAACTTGGAAGTAACTGGAAGTAACTAGAAGCAATAAATGTAAATAATACTAGTTAGGTAACTAAATTAAAAGCTAAATTATAATAATACTTAAAGTTTAAAGATATAAAATCGCAAATTTAGTATTTATATATAGCTTGTATATTAAACAAGAATAGAATCTTTTTACAAATAAAAAGTTTAATTATTAATATACGTGTACCTGCATAATTGGCTCGCTTAAGACGCCACTTCAAAAAGCGAGATTAATCGGCCCGAGTTCGTCCAATTAATACCATTCCTTCGTCTAGTGAGACATTACTAGCATTGCAGGAAAGTGTGGCACCCAATAAAATTATAGAAAAAGCTGCTAACTTCCTGCGATTTTCTTTGAGTGGCACACTTGTCCTGCAACGCTAGCAATGTCTCACCACACGAAGGGTTAAGTGCCTGACTAAACTCATGTCCGTAATCTCGTACTCCATTTTTCGCTTCTTCCCCCAGTTCTAAAAATATCTGACCGTTGACTAATACTTTCAGCGAGCCTACATAGTGCTTTAGTGTTCTAGCAGCCGTCTCCCCAACTTGCTCTACAGGAAAACCTTCTTGTTATACTCTCGCGCCATTCATTTTCTAACGTGATTCGTCGCGTGTAATTACCCATTATTTTGGCTACCTTTTTAAGTCTGGAAACAGGAACTGGTATGTTCTCTGGCCCATGCTAGATGGCTTATATCTGAAGACAATTAGAAACTCACTTCGGAATGGGCAAATTCATACCTAATGTTTTCAACTTCGGAGTTGTGGTCTTTGTCGCTCTTGGTTCCATGGCTTGTAGCTATGGAATGGCCGTTATCTCCTCTACGATCGGACAGCCCACTTTCTATACGTACTTCAAACTAGCCACGCAAGGGGAGCCTGGATATAGTCGTACAACCGCATATATTGGAGCCATGAATGGGCTGAGTTCTGTTGGCTCAGTTTTCGGCGCCGGTATTACTTCATGGGTTGCAGATTGGGCGGGACGCAAAAGGAACATTCAGGTCGGCGCGTTGGTACTCATCCTGGGTGGGGGACTTTGTGCCGGATCTGTCAATATTGCAATGTTCCTTATTGCGCGGTTTATAGCTGGATTGGGGATTGGAATGCTGGTCACTGGTATTCCCATGTATGTTCCTTGCTTCATCTGCCCTTTCGACATTGCCTCAAAAGCTGACCGACGAAACTTAGGTATCAGGCAGAAGTGTCGACACCGGAAAGCCGTGGACTTGTAAGTCATTACTCTGACCGACACTGCGTGCTATGGGCACCACTTACTCTCTGTAGATGGTTTCCATGCATGGTGTAATGTTCGCAGTGGGCTACTCACTTTCCGCATGGATTGGCTTTAGCACATACTTTGTGAAAGGCGCAACCTCGTTTTCGTGGCGCTTTCCGTTAGCATTCCAAACAGCACCTGCCATTCTTCTATTGATAGGTCAGTTACATGTTTGTTTAGCCTATAGCCGACTTACCAACAGTGTATTTTCACAGGTTCCCCTTGGCTTCCGTTTAGCCCACGGTGGTTGTTGCAACAGGATCGGACCGACGAAGCCCTGTCTACTATCTACCGGTTACATAAGAGCAAGGATGATCCAAATGATGTCAGGTCAAAGAAAGAATTCTACCAGATCAAGAAGCAAATGGAACTAGACAAGACACTTTTGCAAGGGGCGGGCCAATGGCAGTTGTTTGCCACTGCGGCAAATCGAAAACGAGCGTTATTGGGCTTCATTTTAATGTTCGGCAACCAGTTTACGGTCAGTACTTTTTCAGCCCCGGAAGCTGCACTTATAAAGCTAACATACACTGGCAGGGAGTCTTGATTATCGCCAACTATGGTGTGTTGCTCTACGAGTCCTTAGGGATGGGTGGGTATATGCCGCTACTATTAAGTGCCATCTGGGTAACGGCTTCCTTCCCCGGAAATGTATTCAATGGCCTCTTTGTCGATAAGTTTGGTCGTCGAGTATTTCTCTTGACAGGCCTTGGCATGCTCGTTGTCGTCCTCATTCTCGAATGTATTATGCAGGCACAGTTTCTCGGAACCACGAACATTGCTGGACAACGCGCTGCTATCTTCTTTATCTTTCTTTTCATTATTTGCTGGTCATTTTGCATGGATGCTTCCCAATTCCTCTACCTCTCGGAGATTTTCCCGACTCATATCCGCGCACAAGGCATGGCTGTTGGAATGGTGGGCCTGTACTGCGCGACCATCGTCTTGTTGATTGCGGGTCCAACGGCATTGAATAATATCACCTGGAGGTTTTTCATCGTGTTAATTATCCCAACAGCCGTTCAATTCCTCATAATTTTCTTTTTCGCTCCAGAGACAATGCAGAGGAGTTTAGAAGACATTAGTGCGGAATTCGGCGACAAGGTTGCGGTACATTACTACCACGCAACACTTGAGGATGAGAAGCAGTATGATCAAGCACTTGAAGAGGATATGGCTCGATCGCGAATTGCTGGGGCTGAGAAATCTTCGGACGGTGTTGTTCAGATAGTAGAGAGAACGGAGGGGTAGTGTCCGTTAAAAGGAAAGTGGCGAAGAGTAATGGGATAAGAAATAGAACTTAGCTAACATCTAATCTATTTCTTAAGGTTGTTTTAGTAAACTAATCTATTTCTATGGTATAAGATCGTGTCTGCAATGGAGTGGCGGCATTTTGTGCCGCTCGTGCTATACCCTAACTAACATGGTTTTCAAACTTATCCTCTACAAGGGGTGCTGTTTCTAGAGCAGTCAATGGAGAAGACGAGAAGGCCTCTCCAAATGAGCGTTGAGGGGCGTTCCCTTCTTCAAATATGAAATTACTTACGTACAAATCGAGAGCCTCATCGACGTTCATTTTCCAGGTGTCAAACATAACCGCAAAATCCTAGAGCCACCGTAAAACCTGGTTACCAAAACAATAAATACAATATATTGGATGCCTTGAACTCACCCTCCCGTCGATGTAACACCAACAACGTCAAATAGTTCGCAGGGCTTCAACAACCTGAAGGGAACACCGGGGGTCCCTGAATGGTTGGATAGCTCGGCTGCATTGTAGCATAAGCTTTTTGAGGACAAGTAAGGCTGAGAGGCCACGAAGCACACCTCAATCTACGGCGAGTTATTGTTGTTTCAAGAATGCGCTGCAATCAATGATTAACCACTCGCCGAAGGACAAAGAGTCAGCGGTCGCTGACCGGAAGGTACAGCCGAATTGGAATGCATCGTAGGTCGTTTTTGTTGTTGCGATCTTGAGAGGCTATCAGATTGAACAGGTTTCGGGCGGAATATCATAGAATTCTTAACGTTAAAAAATCAAAGGCATGGGAAGGGGGAAGGGAAGGGAACGGCTTGGTCGCAGATGTTGCGCGCACTAAATTACTTTCTCTTCCTGGTTCGGCATCACTTGGCCCTCAACCGAGGGAACAAGCCAGCAACCATGGGTGGCATTTTGGAAATCTGCAAGCCCATCTAGAAGCAGCCATCGAACCCCTCAGTGATATAATTCGTTCCTTCGGCTGTGTGTATCCTTTTCGCCCCCTCATTGATGCAAGGCCCCAGAAGCGGTGCAAGATCATTGGCTTCACTGTGTTCATGTCCAACAAAAGGAACGAATCCGCCTCACGTAGCTGCCCTGTTTTGTCGATCTTGCCGCACTTCACTCGAACTTGCTTGGATCAACTACAAACACTGCGGCAAGTGCTCCCTAGCTTGACACACAGATGTGCTAGCTAATACAGCTTATTGGATAAGAAATGCAAATGACAAGGGGGCTCACCTGAGAGTGCATTGCTAGCTTTCCTCGCCTTAAGTACTGCTGGCCTCAGTCGATCTCACAAGCGTCCCCGACGTTTCAAGAGCATCTCGCGCTTTACACACCACTTGAAACTTAATGTCGAAAATGTTTTCTACATATTCGCTATATTCGACTTGGTTGATCTTCTTGTCTGTTTCTCAGTTCGCGAACAGCCAGGCATGCTACTTTCCCAATGGAGTGAACTCAGGTTACAAACAGTGCAGCTCCAATGGCGGAGCCTGCTGCTATTACTTCGACGACGCTCATCACGATCCGTGCTTCAGCAATGGTTTATGCCAATCAATCTTCTTTGGCTACATCTACCGAGGCGCATGCACAGATTCGAAGTGGGGGCCTTCATGTCCGAACGTGTGCACCAATGGTACAACTCCCTCACCTTCCCAAGCCTTACTATATCTCCCTCCCCCGTATACTCACCAGCACCCAACTGACATCACACAACCAGTCAACGACGACCAAGAAATCCTTCGCTTCTGCAGCCCCTTGAACGCCTATTGCTGCCAAAACAGCTCCTCAACAGCAGACTGCTGTGCTGCTGGCGTGGGGTTCGAATGGAATAATGCAACTTGGATTAACTACCAGTTCGCGCCGCAGCAAGATCAATTTAGCTTCAATCTCGCGAATGCGTATACCACTATCTCGACTTCCATATCGGCGTCTACTGCAGGGACATCTGCCACGGCAGCCTCGGTTTCAGGAACAGCGTCGGCGGTCTCAAGTGTGAAGCCAACAAATACCGCGATGTGTTCGAATAGCTCAACCACCGCCATAGGTGCTGGTCTTGGTGTGGGACTCGGTGTACCGCTGCTTGTTGCGTTGGCAGGTTTGCTCTGGCTGATGGCGAGGCGAAGGTATGAAAAGCCTCAGACAACTGTTCCGGTGGCATCGAGATCAATTAAGCCGGAACTCCATGGTTATAGCTCGGGGCCGGCTCCAGGACATAATGGGGGTTATAGTGAAGGCCCTGCAGCAGGTCTCACGGGAAGGAGCGAACTGCCTATAGAAACGGGATATGGACGTGCGGAATTGGGACAGGGAGAAAGGCGATAAAAGAATTGGGTTATCTTCTCCTCGTTCATTTGCACAGGCCTTGATTCAGGGCCAAAAATCTCCCGAGTGTAATGCTGATACAATCTGCGCCGAAGCTGGACCTCTCCAAAGTCTACTTCCATCTTTGGAATATACTTGAAGCTTATAAACCTAGGCAAAGAGGTTAAGGTATTAGGATAAAATATAGCACTTTTATTTGTTTTTTCAAGGCAAAGGTGCTATTACGCCAGCAAACGCAAAGATACAGATAAATACTTGTATGTAAGCGCTGGCATTATGGCATTTCAGGGCAGCAGCATGTTTAAACCGCATATAGTCGCAAGATTTGCAAGTGATTAGCTTGACAACGGCCTCTTGCCCATTGTTAGTGGCCCGCCAGAGCAGTATCCGACTGTCCTTATCTTCCAGTGTCTGGCGGTTCATAGTCGCTGCTTTAGCGTACTTGCCCTGGTGATATTTATCAGGACAAGCTTACATAAAGTATCTCTTATTACCTGGAAAGGAAAGCAGAGTCTTGCCAGTAATGCAAACATGATAACTTTTAATATTATAGCTAGTTATTGGCGTTATAAATAGAAAATCTGAACCCTTAACCCTAACCAAAGCATTAATTATGTCAGGAACCTTGAGGAGCAATATTTCGGAATGGCAATATACTAGGAATGCCGGGAATGCAACTTGTATGCCATTTCGAGAAGCTAGTTGGGAAGCTCGCTCCTTATCCTGGGAAGAGGGTTCCGTATTGTGGGAACTTGGCTGGGAAGGCAGTTCCTAATACTGGGAAGTGGGTTGCTGTTGGGAAGCCTGGGGAGCCTTCTCGGATTTGATATTATACGAATTGCCGTAGACATGCTTGAAGAGTTTGTTGCGAGATGGGAAGGATTCCTGACACTTCCGATATGTAAGTGCCTTGGGAACCGCATGGTTTGTTTGAAAGGAAAGTAGTTAAGCGGCGGGAAATAGTGGATGCGATGCTGCGATAGCGATAAAACGACTACTAATCGATAGGCAAAGGCCCAAAGAGTAGAGCAATATCGAGGTTAAGCAAGTAAATCCATGATTTGCCCTGTAAGAAAGTACTCGAAGTTTGGTGTTTCGTGAAGGGAAAGTAATCAAGGAAAAGTCTAGCGAGAAGGAAAGCAAACAGGAGGCTAGGAATTGATCTCCTAAGTGTCCTTGAGGCATGGAGGAGGAGCCGCATGTAGAGGAGATTAGCATACATCGAATATTGGGATTTTGCGGTCGGAAATCTGATTAGACGGAAGATGGCTTTAGACAAATGATTCAAATATTCCCTGGAAGTCTAGCTATAAGATGAATAACAATTGCACATCAATCCCCACAATTCTATGCCATGCAACACTTGTTAAACACCCCCAAGCTATGTGTGCTAGTGTTATCAAGCCCAATTGTCCCCATGTTCTCCGTAATAGAAAGCTCGTTCAGCAGATTGGTGCGAAGGAAGACAGTAGAAGGAGCTCGCGGAAGGAGTATTTGGAGGAAGAGGAGATCTTGCAGAGACATGCTGGCAATAGAGGTTCGAAGTCGTTGAAGTGCATCGTCAAGAACATAGCGTATGCAAACGCAACTTCGGAAGCTGGGAGGTTCTGTGGATGCGGGCGGAAAAGGAGAGAATGATATGGCTTTGCAGAGGTCATTGAACTGTGTCCGGGCATTGTAAAGAACTGATAGAACCAGCAGCAAGATTATTGAAGGGTTTGAACTTACCAGATGCATCTAGAGGCAGGGATTGTCCCGGCAGCAGTAGCGGAGGGCCTCTAGCGGTTGAGTATACAGCTGTTTCAAGTAAAGGGGAGGCAGAGACACTCGCAGACCGCTAAAGAATTGGTGTGCGCGGAGCAGATGCTGAGGACGTCAGGAGATCAGAGGCAGGGTCGAAATGTCTCCAGGGGAAAGTTGCCTCGTGGTATATGTGCCGAATATAACCTTGACCACAAATGCATGCTACGTATATATGATTTAAATGAAGAACACCAACCCTGATTGCCGACCCGACCAAGCAGCAGAAGACGAAGAAGCGCAGAAAACGTCATTATTAGAACTATGAATACGGCTGAGGATGTCTTAGCAAAGAGAACGGCAAGGTTATCAAGTATAGAGCGTCTTCTTCAAGAATTCGACTTGACACTTAACGACGTTCTCGAAGTGTGCACCATAACCACCAAAATGACCACCAGGTAGAAGTTGGAGCTCTTTGGGCTCTAGGGCCTTAGAGTATGCGGTCAGAGCCAGATCAGTTGGCATAAGAGTGTCGTTCTCCGCAATCGCCATCGGCAGGGGAGTTGGCGATATGCGATGGATGTGGACCCATGGATTGTATGATCGAAATTCTTCCATGCTTACACCGTGTCAGCCAATGCGCGTATTAGAAGCAGGGTGATCTCACGTTTTGATAGTCACTTCGTTCTTCCATTCGGTTCCCTTCCCCAATCCGAAAAAGAACTCGTGGGCATCAATTCCTTGTACCGCAGGAGTTGCCTTCGGATTTAAAGGACTGACAGGAATCGTCATTGCTGCTTTCCCTTCTGCTCTAGCCAGTCAGTCTTCATGCCACATATTAGCTATAGAAGAACCACTTCAAGCTCCACTAACCTTCTTAGAATAGATTATTCAACCCAGCTACAAGATGCGGTGGGGTCAACCGATGAAAATTCTCCCAACCATTTACCATGGGTACTTGACTCAAGACCGCCTTGACCCTTCTGTCAACCGCTCCAACCTTTATGCAATGCCCGCCACTGAAGGCTACACCCCATATCCCGATCTTTTCTTTATTCACATCTTCTCTGCTCTGAGCATAAGTGATCGCATCCGAGAGATCGCTGCATTGCAAGGAAGTGATTATTTCGAGACGAGGAGCAGATGGGAGAGCGTCCGAAGCTCCAAAACCACGATGGTCATACACGAGACAGGAAATTGGGAGAGAAGAAGTGATGGTGGCAGCGTATTTGTCGAGATACATTTCTTTGACTGCTGTAAAGCCATGGGACATCACCACACATGGCAATGGGGTGGTTGAGGATGCTTCAGGCAGGTAGAACCAGCCGCGGAGAGTGACATTGTCACTGGTCTGGAAGGCAATATCTTCTCTTGGCATCTTACTTGTTGCCTATAGTTAAGCTGAGGGATTTCCGTCTTTGCGATGATACTTTTTGGTATTGGTTGATTTCTCTGTCCAGGCCTAGGCAATTTGAGGAGATAAAGCTCCTTGTAGGTACTACGGACGATGTACAAGTATCACCACTATCGGGGGAAAGACGCTATCGCGTAAATTAACAAAGCGTGGGAAACCAGGTTAAAAATTATTCCAGACGTTCCGAACCGCTTGAACACTGTCCCAAAAGGGGTAGCAAAAAACGGGACAGTAAGAAATGGGGCAGTCGGAATGTCAGCATTACAGTAGAGATTGCCGCGTCATGCACTCCAATATCATTCGACTTTGCGCAGCATCTTCCCTTCAGCAGAACCCCGGCCATCGGAGTTTATCGGGCCTATGAATTAGGCCATAAAAAGTTGTGAGAAGCGCACCCCAAGACGCATGGCGCATGGCGCAGGATCCACGATATAATCAATCAGCTGCTTCTCACTTCCACTAATCGTTCAGCGTATCTCGCCTAGATACTCGCTTAGCACCCTCTCCTCTACCTGGAATAATCACGTAAAAGTGAATAAAATAGCTATTCCATAGCCTTCTCTGATTAAATCGAGAATTGTTTATCTGCTATAATTAATGCGCGCGCACGATCCATAGAATTGGGCATATCCGCCTCATTTTGAATAAATCGTAACTCTCCAAGAAGCACAACCACGGATGCGGGTGCGGCTGCGGCTGCGGCTGCGGGCAAGCCATGTGAGCTGGGCGAGCACTGAAGCATCGAATTGTATTGCAGCAACATCGAAATGCACCTATTAAAAGAGTATGTGATGACCGAGGTATCAGGCAATAGCAGCTCATATAGGAAGGTGTACAGTATGCACAGTAACAGATACAAATAAACGCACATGCGCAGGACGTCCTTTATGGGTTAGTTTGTGAGGTGTCCAGCGGCGCAGCTTGCTTTCGTTCTATTTTCGTACTCACCAGCCAATCATTGTCGCACCCACCGGCCCTTCAGCCAATCGCTATCGTACTCGCCAGCCAATCGCTATCGTACTCGCCAGCCAATCGTTGTCGTACTCACCAGCCAATTAATAAAAAGCTTCATTTTCAAGACCTATAATCACCTAATAATCATTTACTTCCAAGTTCTAACAAGAATTAAAGTTTATTACTCTTAATCCGGGGCCTTGTCCGCTTGACTTAACCATCGCGTGTTGTGCTGAGTCTGTGAGTCTGTGCATAGATATTTGGTCTGTACTGTCCCAAAGGAGTTACTTACTACCCTGGTAAGTTTCTACCATGGGGTTTTCACTTTTGCTCGAGAGGCTGGGCCACGAGAGTCATCTCAGTCGTGATACTGTAGCTCTTCTTACGCTATATAACGAGCGCATCTCCTCACCAGCAAACCCTTTACCAGCGAGTCCTTCAAAGGCTGAACGGAATGACACATGCTTCTACCTTCCGCAACCATGGCACTTAAGCTCGCTTGGATTGTTCAAGCGCTGGTAGCATTCCACGCCTACCCATCCCTCGGCTTCCAGCATGTACTTCCACGAAATATCAACCAGAAGCCAACGCGTGTCCTCGGAGGAGTCACGGTCATCGACACGCCACTGTAAGTCAAACTATACAGTATACCTTAGAACACATCTCCAAGCTAATCACTAATTCCCTCATCACCAGCGTACGTGCCGCTCAAGCCATGGCCTGCCAGTACAGCGAGGACTACCTCTTCAACCATATCATGCGGACCTGGCTCTTCGGCGCGCTCGTGATCAGCCACAACACCACACTGCAACAAACCGTCGACCTCGAAGTGCATGCTATCGGCTCCATGCTGCACGACCTCGGCCTCGTGCTCAACGCGTCCTGGGTCAGCCACGACCGCCGCTTCGAAGTCGACAGTGCGTTCGCAGCTACCGACTTCGTCGAGGGCCAAGTCGTGCACGCGCCTGAGGGCTCTGCCTGGGACGCCCATCGGTTGCAGCTACTGTTTGACTCAGTCTTGCTGAGCTCGGAGCCGAAGTTCTCCTTGTATAAAGAGGCGACAGTTGCGTCCGTAGTATCTGGTGTAGTGATTGATTTGACTGGGGTGGACAATGGCGTTACGAGTACAGAGTATAATAACGTTGTGGCGGCGTTTCCAAAGCTGAATTTCTTGCCGGGTGTTAATCAGACGGTCGTGGCGCTCTGTGCAACAAAACCGAATACGACATATGGTTAGTGGCTATTCTTGCTGTGATTTTATGTGCAAGATATCAGATTGATGCTAATGTTGACGATTCGTGGCAGATTCTTGGCAGCAACCGTTTGGAGAAGCTTTCGTGCCCGGCTATTCCGCAGTTGGATCTCGGATCTTCGACATCTTTGCATGACATTAAACGTGTTTCCCTGGACGACGTGACCTAATAGATCTCGAGGCTTCAAGCAGTGCTTTAACTCTAGACCCTTTCCAGTTAAATCTCTGGAAAACTATAACTGCTGTTCCACTATACAGTGGACTTTATTAAAAAGCAAACCAACTTCCATATCATTCTTCTATTGACTATACGGTACCTGATTTGATATCTTGAGAGCTGTTCTTTTCAGCTACCTAGGGGTATATCTACCTAGCAGGATCGGGGGGGATTGCTCTCTTGACCGAGGAATTAATCAAGCTCTTATATTCTACCACTTCTTATTCGGGCCGCTATAGAGAATCTTCGGTATGGCTCTAATTTTGTTTAATTAAGGATACTTCTTCCTCTAATAATAATGTGCAAATCTTATTAGAGCCAATGCAGGTTTGTTGTTCGGGGCTCCAAGACACCATTAACAGAATATTGCATACATTCCACAGCAATCACACCCTTCTGTAACGACACTTTCAAACTCTGTAATTTCACCCGACAGTCTTCTGGAATAAATTTCAGCACACCACAGCACTCTTCCTCGATGCTCGCTATCCACTCCGCAACTTTTGCTGCCTGCAAACTGTGCCAGATCCCATTGGTGCAAGGCCACTCCCGAAGTATAGCGATGGCCTCCCTGCGAACGGAAACGTCCCGACATCTAGTAGCCGTGTAGAACAGAGCCATTATCAATCCCATGCCGTATTGTAGTCTAGGGCCAACCGATTCTCGAACTTCCTGGTCCTTCCGAAGTAGATGCCGTGCAAAATGGGTAATCCTCTGAAACTGAGCCGTGAAATTATCAAAGGCGACTTCTGTATTAGCCATACTTGTAGCGATCATTATTTCGCATTTCCACATACAGATCCGAAGTTGGAGAACTCCGAGATACTCTCGGCCAACAGGATTTTGACATACTTCTAGAAAGACAGGCTCATACGCCTTGTTCCATTGATCCATTCGTCCCTGGAGGCACTGCTGTTGTTGTTCAATTAAGTCCCGAGAACCTGAATCATCTCCGCAACGGGCGGATGCCCTTGAATGTCGAAGAATGGAAATGGCCAAATTAGTTGCTGCTGTGAAAGCTTCGTTAAAGGTAGTAAACTGATCTGGCATATCTAATTTGATTTCCTCAATATTCATGTCGTTAAAGGGGTGCTCCAGCATCGGGTTCATAGCAAGAAATGATAATATCTGCATCTCAAGACGCCGAAAAGTTAGGCCCACTTCGAGACCAATATCAACAAGGCCATTGGTTGCATCCCGTCTCTCATCTTCACTTAGACGCTTCAGAATATTAAGCCCGCTATATACCTGCTGTGTCGCTGTCTCCCAGTCCCCATGGAAACTCTCAAAGCATGAAAAGAGCAAGCTCCCTACTAGAGCAAGGCTCATCTGGGGTTGTCCACTAGACAGTGTTTTGCGTAGTGAGCTAATGGCGTGGCTCTGCTTTACCAAAGCGAATTTGACATGCTCATCGTCCAAATTTACCGTATTTGTCTTGGAGGATATTGCAGATTTGTACAACGCACTTAAAGCGAAGATTGCGTCTTTTATGGCCGGTTCGTGATGACATTGTTGTGGTATAAGCCGTGTCCAGAAGGGAGCTTCAAAATAACCGCTCAAGTCGAAGGCCAGTTTCTCGTGAAATAGTCGATAATAGCGACCCTCCACCTCATTGTATGAAAAAGGATCTGGGGGGCTAGCTATCAGCTGCAACGGACGAGGTTGAATAAAAACGAGGTCCCTGCCACGATCTTGAGGTAGGGGTGCCGCAACAGCGGGTCGAGGGAGCTGGTACTCGCAGAATGATCCGTACTCTTGGCATCTGTAGACGAAATATAAGTAGTTGGCCAATTGAGCTTACTTGAGAGCCTCCCCGATTGCTTACTTATAGCATGCAGGCTTCGTCTCATCGCATTTCACTCTCCGAGTTCTAGAATAGGGATTAGCTTCGCCAGCTCTGCATGAAACTCCAATTCTCCCAGTCCTGTGGGTATTTTCTTTGGCACAACAGAGAGAGGACTTAGAAACGGTAAAGGGACCTACTTGCAAGCTGTACATCCTGTACGAACTTTTGGTTTGCTCGCACGCCGTTTCTTTACGTCGGGTGTGGCCCCTTCCATCCCAGCAACAACAGCCGGCTCAAAAGCGTAGGTAGATAAATGGCTTCTAGCCTAATGTTGCTGTCGCCGGATATGTCGCTATCTTAGCTCTGAATATGGACGTTGGCGTTGTGGGTGTTGTAAAACTCCTTGGCATTATTTAAGACGAGGGATTGTTAGCAACCCCTTTAGCATCATGTCTTGTCCCATGCTTTGACGTCTTGCTTACAAATTGTGAAGCTTTGTCATGGAAGTCAACGCGTACCATGACCTTATGGTACGTTATAATTTTTGCTTAGTCAATTCTTTAAAACCTACCACCCTCTACTCGCAGGCATTTCCGCACCCGGTTCGGGCCGACTCGAAAAGTATTTCGATATCTTATGTGCCTGTTTTAATCATTAATATTTGATCGCAAATGTCAGAGTTGCTGGGTCCGACTTGCTGACCTTAGTGCAAGTCGGCCCCAGCAAAGCGAGGAATTGCCGACGGGTGGCGCGGCCCCCTAATCCATAACCTTACCTCCCACAAAAATAAAGCTCCGGAATCCAAAGCTCACGTCACCTCACTTGACATCCTTCAGCAGAATATGTTAACCAAGAACCCGCAGCCATTCCTCCCGCCAGACCTCGTACTCTATGTTATCGACTTTATACCGCCAGCCAGTAATACTGCGAAAATTGCTTACGAGCCGTCGCACATCTTAACCAGGACGCTTCTTGCGCTTACTCTCACATCGCGAATCATCTACCCCACTGCGCGCCGACTCCTCTACACCCACTGCCTCTACGTCGACTCTCCCCGCCGTCTGCGATGTCTCTTGTCCTCTCTCTCAGCATATGCTGCCGATCCTGCAGCTCCACAATCCCTGCCACCTACCGAATCAAAGCCATCCACCGTCCAGCACGAAACCTCCCTCTACCTCGCCCCCTTCCTCAACGACACCATCAACGACCTCCCCACCGCGCAAGCAGTGCATCGCCTCCTCTCGCTCCTCGCACCCACCCTCTGCCGCCTTGTAATCGACATCCCAGTCCGTAGCCTCTGCCCAGAAGACGACACCTTAGGCATCCGACGCATTCTGAAAAAAGCGTTCACGCAGCTCACCTCCCTCGAACTATTCTGCAGCGCACGCTACCAATTGCTCCTAGATTACCTCGAAGACGACATCGGATCTTTCAAAGGTTTCGAGAAAGCGAATGTGTGGCCCTTGTGGCCTCGGCTGAGGACGCTCGCGCTGTACAATTGCGATCTTAGCTCAGAGCGGCTCTGGTTGGGCCTGTCGATAACGGAACGTCTAGAGACACTGGTTCTTACGCGAGCTGACGGCGTGCGCGAAGTTGATTTCAGGTCCGAGTGGATTGCGCGCGGAAACGGGGACAGGAGTCTGACAGTGTGGTTTGTAGATGTGGATGGTGGGCGGGGAATACCAGAGACAATTAAAGAACAGGAGGAAGGTGATAAAGTCAAGATCATGGTGGGGCGTGTCCCGACGAGTTATTATGGGGATGAGGATGTCATTGAGCTGTGTCAGAACTGGATAAAACGGTTGGCGCTTAAAGGTGAAGCTGGCTTTCAAGATGAGCTAAGAAACCTGAGCACGTAGGTATAGGATGGATGAACAAGGGTTGGTACGAAGCACTTTTCCTACAACTAAATGACAGGCTGACGTTCTCACAGAGATTCAGTCTTGTCCCCAGTGGAAAACCCTGTTACACCAACATTCTATGCCCGAAACGCCTGCTTTTCCAGGTATATGCCAAGATAGGTTTCAAAAAACCGCCCCGCTCAGTACTCAGCTACCGCTGGAGCTATGTTACCTACCCCTAAGCTATCGATATCATTCCGAATGAGACATCCTATCTATCCCGTCTACTTCCTATCTGCGAGTTCGTAATACTCTGTCGACCCAGACGCAACACGAAAATATGAACGCTTCCCAGTTTCAGGACACCCCTGAGGAAGCATTCGGTTTCAAGCAGCAAACTAGCCGGAAGGAGGTGATAGCTCTTAATACCAACAATCTCATGTGGATGAACTTAGGGTTACGAACAAAGATCTTGCGAGCGCAGGCGGGGTCCAGCAGCAAAATGACAGAGAATGTAATGATTGTGTTGGTAAAAATAAAGCAGACTAATTGCCGACCTCAACAGCCTCCGAGGATCCTTCCATTTTCTCATTCCCTACCCCAGCATCCTCCGAACCTCCTTCCATTTCCTCACCCCCAAAATTGAGCATCTTACTCTTCTTGGCAATCTTCTCACTTAAGGCGCTGATGCTATCATCGCCCATGATATCAAGGACCTCGATGTCGGCCTCTAAATTCTTCCCAAGCCAGTTTCGGAACTCCACGGCGACCAAGGAGTCCACACCGTAGAAGTGAACTGGCTTCCCGGGGTCAATGTCCTCAAGGGGTAAAGACATTATGCCTGAAATTCGCTTGACCAAAGCCTCGGCGAGTATTACGGTAGCGTCCTCGAGAGTCTTGGCGTTCCTGAGAGCCTCTCGCGTAGCGGCAAAGGATTCCTCACCTCCATCAGAATCCGAACTCTCTGCGATTGACCGCAATTGTGTAAAGAGTGGATCACGCATGAAGGAAGGCTCCGGAAATCCTTTTCGCCGGAACATTGCTCTGGTGGCTAGTCCGATGGCCACTTGAGAGCGAAGCGGCGCCTGAGTGGAATTGAGAGGGTCAATGTGGTACTCGAGCAAGGCGTGGAATTCATCCTCTCGGATGCCGTCCGTCGCGAAAGATTTGATCCCCACTGCTTCCTGATTTTCAGCCATAAAGCCGACAGACATCATAGTACCTAGATCCAGTGCCGTCGCAGGCAGACCATTTCTGTGGCGATATTGGGCGAGGGTGTCTTGATAGACGTTTCCAGCAGCATAGTTTGACTGTCCGCGGTTTCCAATAATCCCACAGATCGAAGATAGCATTATAAAAAAGTCCATCTGCTTCGGAAGAGTAGTGTGCAAATTCCATGAGCCGTTGACTTTAGGCAAAGTTGCCGCTTTGAAATTTTCCCACGTCATGTTCTCGAAGGCGGAATCCTGTTCAGCCACACAGTAAGCAGTTGCTTCCAAGTTAATGGGTAGCATTTGGGGAATAAAACCTTTAGTTGCATTGCTCCCTGAATACAGCCTTTGATGGGAGGCATGGATTTTTGGGATTCAGAAATGACTTTCTCGAGAGCCAATTTGTCGCTCACGTCACACGGTACTGCATGTGCCGCACATCCCATTCCACGTAACTCTTCAAGCAGTTTCTCAGCGGCTTCGGTGGAAGCTCCATTTCTTGAGAGAAATATCAGATTACGCGCCCCACGTGAGACCATCCAACGGGCCATGCTTCGGCCAAGTCCCCCAAACCCCCCTGCGAGGACGTATGTTCCATTCCCCGGGAACTGGTACGGAGTTTGGGGTTTCGGTATGACCTAATAATCATTGAGTGTTGGGGGGAAAAGGGTTCACGAAGAGGAGGACTTACTCGTACAAGATCATCCTTGCCGGCGGTCAAGACAATCTTACCAATGTGCTTCCCCGACTGAACAAGTCGAAAGCTGGCCTCGATCTGGGAGAAATCGAAGATATTGAGCGGTGTTGTCTCTTTAATCACACCTTCCTTCCATAGGCCCATAGTTCGATGCAGCAGTTTTGAAGTCGTGGTTGGGTCCAGCCTCATCACAGTCTCAAGATCGCACGAGGCGAATATTACATTCTTCGAAAATGGAAACATTTCAAGGCGGCCATTTCCGTAGATATCTCTCTTCCCGATCTCGACAAATCGACCGAACGGTGCAATGCATTCCCACGACACACGGAGAGCCTCACCAGCCAAAGAGTTGAGAATAACGTCAACCCCACGGCCATTGGTCAATCGCATCACCCCCTTAGTAAAAGAGAGATCTCTGCTGGAGAGGATGTGGTCTTCTTGAATGTTGTAAGTGTCGATCAGGATCTTCTTCTTCTCTTCCGAAGAGACCGTTGCGAAAATCTCGGCACCGATGTTTTGCGCCAGCATTATTGCTGCTTGACCGACGCCACCAGCAGCGGCATGTATCAGAACCGACTCCCCTTTCTGAAGTCTGGCGATATCGACAAGGCAGTAAAGAGCAGTGCAGTAAATGACGGGGATGCCAGCGGCTTTTTCGAAGGAAACTTCGTCTGGAATTTTCGCAACACATACTTCTTTCGTTCTCGCGAAGCTTTGAAAGCAACCGGTCAGAGAAGCAAGGAGAACAACACGATCACCAACTTTGACACCGTTGACGCTGGCGCCTGTCCTTGTGACGATTCCTGCCCCCTCAGCTCCAAGTATATCGCCTCCTACCTCGCCCATGGCGCTCATGATGTCACGGAAGTTGAGCCCAGTTGCCTTAATTTCAACTTCGACGTCATCTAGGTCAAGTTCTGTCTCGTACTTCGGACAATCAACAAATTGTAGTTTATTGAGAAGGCCGGGTGTGTCTGTGCTCAGCTTCAAGGCACGATTTTGGTCAGTCCGAAAGGGACGTAGCTGCGCCTTCGGTTTGCTAACTCTTGAGAACAGGAATTCATCAAGATATTCAGCTGTTGTGAGGCGGTTGGTATGAATGAGGCCGCCAAGCGAACAATATTCCGCATTCCGCTGGTTGTTTTGCTGCATAAATTGATACCGATATATTTCTGTGATCTGCGCTGCACTTGTGAGGAGCTCTTGCGTCTTGAATTCAACTCCGAGAGTGACTAGATTCGAATCGTCCAGATCTCGCTCCCATCGAACTGTTCGGATGAGTCCAGTAGAGAGAGAAATTTCGGGATTTGACATCATGTCATCGGTAACCCAGAGAACTCCAGCAGCAGTCGTCAACATACGTCGTATACTGATGAAATTTGCTTCTCCATCAACAAATACAGAGTTCTCCAGTTCAAGTAGGGCGATACAGACAGTGTGTTTTAGGTCTCGCCCATCCAAGTCTTTGCAGTGAACGACGGTAGCTTCAAGAATGCCAATTTTTTGCAATGAAGACCTGATGGCAGCGGGGAGAGGTCCCAAACCCTCCAAAGATGAAACTACGATGATAGTTTCATGGGTGCCATGGTGGATCGGAGCATGGACCGGGGCGGTCGCGATTATGAGACTTTGGCCGTGAATATTCTCGTTAAGGTAGTCTTTGAGGACGAGGTCCGCTCCACTGAAGCCACTTTTAAGTAGCATATCATTCCATTCCGGTTCTGTCAGCAAGGGGCCCCACTTGCGAGAAGGTTCAGTACTAAGCCACCACCCTGGAAGGGTGCCAAAAACCAGTTGTCCGGATAGGTGTCCCGTGGCAGCACCTTCCTGAAGGATCAGCTTTCCATTCGGCCTCAGAAGACTAAGCACATTGCTGAGAGTTTTGTTCAGGTCTGCGGTGGCATGAAGAACGTTGGCAGCAATGACTATATCGTAGTGGCCTCTCTCAAATCCTTGACTGAAGGGGTCTTTTTCAATATCAAGCCTCTTATACTCTAAGACATTTCTCCAATTCTTGAGTTTCCCCTTTGCTTTCTCGAAGAATCCTGGCGATATATCGGTATATGTGTAGCTTGCGACTCTTGAAGGCTGCTCACAAGGATAAAGGGCCTCGAGAATTGGCAGTGTTGTCCCTCCTGTGCCGGCTCCAACTTCAAGGATTTTCAGTTCGGCATATTTGTGGCTGTATAAGTCCAAATAGGAGCGCAACAAATGATGGATACTTTCCGTCCCGTGGAGTTCTCGGTAATATGACTCCATGAGCTCATCCCCAAACATGAGTTGGATCAAGTCGATTTCTTGCCGCACGATGCCAACGAGGTTGGATCCTATCCGAGTGGTAAGGGCGCCCTCTGGCCCTGAATCAATAACTCTCCTGAACAGCTGCTGTTTCTCTTCCGGATCATTAATTATCGACTCCCATTGGGGATTTTGGTGAAGTATCTTGCCATCCTGGAAGCGTTCTTCTTGAAGGTGTAGCCAAGCCAGGTACTGTTTATGGTGGGGAGGTATGTCTCCCAGTGTCTCATCCCGGAGGAGCTTCAAAGCATCTACTGTGTATGCAATCACCGCCAAGTTGAAATCTTCCGCCATCCTTAAAGATTCATCTTCATTTCCGCCCAAAGGGGCAGCCCGCTCACGCGCTAGCCGTTCCATCTGGGAGTAACTTATGAGATCTACATCAGGCTTCCATAATACATTGTAACTGAGTTGTCGCTTCCCCGACGTGGTCGAGGATGATTGCAGAGGTGTTACTTGGATGCCTTTGAATAAGACTTTTGGGGATTCGGTTAGTGTATCCCAAACGGTGATTGAAGCCTCAAACTTATTGTGGCCGGTCTTATGCGCTACCCCATGACTTCGGAACTGGTGGCCTGGTTCGTTACTGATATCTCTGGCCACCCAAACTTCCTTCATAAATATCGGAACCATGGGCTCGATCAGCCTTGATTCGATATTTAACGATTGGATAGCAGCAAGAAAGATATGAAGCATGCTATCCATTGCTGCGGGTTGAATGATATGAGGATGTGTGAACTTCTTTGGCATCGACGCCCGGACATCAGGCACCGTAACATGACCCATCGCGTTTCCGTTGCAGTCGTCCCGCGTTACCTTCTCCAGATTTTTGAAAAGAGGACCGAAAGATAACCCAATTGTCTCAAGCTCGGAATAAGAACGGGACATGTCGAACGGAATATTGCAGTTCCTGGAGGCATCCATAAGTTGGCCATGGAAAGCACGTTCCTCTGCAGCCGCCTCCCGCCCTACATCAATGGGGTTGGTTTCCATCGCATATTCCACCTTGACCATTCCACGACAGTGCTCGGTCCAATCGTCGGAGCTTGTATTATATGACAGAACTTTGAACTCTCTCCAGGTGGAAGAACTCGTGAGGCTGGATTCAGACACAGGTCGCATAGCAAGCATTGTCTCGACTCCACCTTCAGTTTCTGGAATGAGAAGAGCAGATCTAATCGAGACGTCTCTCAACCGATATCCGATGATCTTGATATCTATTGGAGACAATTGCGTTACTGCCTCGATTGCCATGATAACGAAGCCGACACCAGGATAAACAATTCTACCAGTGACTTTGTGATCTCTGAGCCAAGGGATTTCGGTGACTCTGATAATATTTCTCCATTTTGGATCTTGGGAATTCCAATCCGGAACTGGTGCTCCAAGTAAGTCATGCCGGGCGAACTTCCTAAACCTAAAGTTCTTGCTGAGTCGACCCTCTGGCCAATACGTTTGAGTATGATTGAATTGGTACGGTGGAAGGTCCACCAACATCTGCGGCTCCGATGAGTTGCTGCTGCTGGCCCTTTCGCTTGAACAGTTCACAGCCGCTAGATCAACTGGATATCCACTGCAAAACAACGTTCCAGCAACTTGTAAACTTGCATCCAGTGACGAACCTTGACGTGAGACCAGATATGAATATCCAATGGATGATAGGCGCTGATCCAACGCAAGGATCTCTCGTATGGCGCTATTGAGTGCAGGATGCGGTCCTATTTCCAAAATATGTTGAAAGGGTGTGTCCGCTCCACCATCCACGCGGAGTCTAGCTCTCCCTGGGCTAGGAGTTGAACACATCTCCGAAAGACCCTGCACAAATCTTACCGGAGATACCATGTTAGAAACCCAGTATTGCGGGTCGCGAAGTTGAGAGGGGAGAATCGGACGGAAGTTGACTGTTGAGTACATCGTCACTTCTCGATCGTTGTCTCGGAAGTGATTTTGCTCTGGTTCAGCAGATATATCGCCAATGAGCTCGAGGTATTCATCTGCGACAGTTGACATGTGACCAGAGTGGTACGCATTGCTCACTTTCAGTTTTCTGGCAAATAAATCATCCTCCCCGAGGAGCTCTTGGAGGCGGTCAATCTTGTTCTCGTCTCCCGAAACTGTGATGTTCATGGGACTATTGAAGCAGGCCATGACAAGCTCGCCCTCCAAGTCCACGTTGACCCTCTGGAGATATGGCGACAGGGAGTCTTGATCGAGCCTTACTGCCATCATGGCGCCTTTCTTGGCGGCCAGCTTTCCGGAGACAACACCGCGGTAGTAAGCAATCTTCCATGCGGACTTCCTACTCAAGGCTCCAGCAGAGTACGCAGCAGAAATCTCTCCAGAAGAGTGACCGATCACGCGCGATGGGAAAATTCCCCAAGAGGCTAGCAAGTCCACCAGAGCCACCTGGAGAGCTGTACAAGCAGCTTGGCTAAGATCAGGAGTGTCGATTCTGGACTCTGCTTTACCCTTGAGTAATTCATCTATTTTGAGTTGATCAATATGTGGTCTCTTGATATATAGGGACATGACCTCAAGAAAACTCACCCAAAAGATGCCACGGACTTTTCAATTGATCAAGATAATTGCTAGCGTCTTCCAGGCTCCTTCTGAAAATGGGATACAACAGCAATTCCCGACCCATGGCGTGCCATTGCGCTCCTTGCCCTGTGAAAACGAACCCAAGCTGCGGAACCCTGCCTTTTCTTGTATGTTTGGACATCCTAGGGGCATCGGGTAGACGTTTGATGAGCTCTTGCAGAGACCCTGCAACGACGAAACTTTTCCAAGGGAATAAAGTGCGCTTCTTGGACAAGGTAAAAGCTAGATCATCGATATAATTGCTCTCGGTGGAATATGCTTTGGATGGCAAGTATTCCAAGTAGGCCTCAACACTTCGCTTTATTCCTGCTTCGTCCAAGGACGAGAGAATGAAGATTTTCTTCGCTTTGTGGTTCGACTCATGATCTGCCACAGCATCTGAGTCACAGGCTATCCCGTTTGTGTGCCCATTTGCCAGCGGTGTGCCATTGAGAATAGCTGCATCTTCCGGTAATTCAGGCACATGGGGCTCCAAATTCTCTTCGTTTGGACTTTCAGAAGCTGTCCTATGCAGTCCCTGAAGGTTATGAGCGGAGAGAAAACTGCGTGCATCATCCAGTACTACGTGTGCATTCGTTCCTCCAAATCCGAAGGAATTCACAGAAGCTCTTCGGACTTCAGTACTCGGCCAAGGTACCGGACGCAGAGGGAACTAATCAAATGCGTTAATAAGCTGCCTTCAATGGAAATATTAGATATACAGAATCTTACCTCAATATTCCATTTATCAGGGAATATCTTCGAGTTGACCTTCTCGAAGTTTATGTTTGGTGGAATTATCGCTTTCTCGAGTGCCTGCACAGTTTTGATCAGACCAGCAACCCCAGAAGCCCCTTCTAAGTGACCGATATTGGACTTGATTGCCCCGATATAAAGAGGGACTTCCGATTTCCTTTCGCTCCAGGCTGCCGCAATAGCGCCTGCCTCGACAGGATCTCCAGCCGGCGTTCCCGTGCCGTGTGCTTCGACGTAACTGGTAGTTGAAATATCAAGCCCGGCATTCACGTAAACAGAGCGGATGAGGTTTTCTTGTGCGAACTTGCTCGGAAGTGTCATTCCAGGGGTCCGGCCATCTTGATTGACACCGGTTCCGCGAACAATTGCCCGGATCGTATTTCCGTCTTCCAAGGCGGCCTTGAGTGGTTTGATGATTATGGTCCCAGTCCCTTCACCACGGGAGTAGCCGTTGGCTCGATGGTCGAAGCTATAGCATTTGCCATCTGGCGATAAGAAACCGATGTTGCTCATGCGGAACATTGCTTGCGGTTGCTCAATGATATTGGTACCATTGACTATTGACTATATTGAGGTCAGACTTGCAGACCTCCATGAGAGCTAGCAGGGTGGGTTACCATCTTCGCGCTATTATTTTTCAGGCTCTCGCAAGCAAGATGGAAGGCAACCAAGCTGCTGGAACAAGCAGTATCCAAGGTAAGGCTGCATGCTTTCAAGTCATAGAACCAGCTAACACGGTTGGATAGAATCGAACTTGAATTGCCGGTGGGTGCATATTTCATGATGACTTCAGGATCCGCGTTGAGTAGAGTTTGGTAATCACTTGTGAAGGCACCAACAAAGACGGATGTCTTCGACCCGATGACAGTGTCCATTGGAATACCAGCTGTATTAAAAATGTCAATGAAAACTCGGGCCTATCACTAACACAAGGTGGCTTACCATTTTCTAGTGCTTCGTACACATTCTCCATTAAAATGCGCTGCTGTGGATCCATGGAAAGAGCCTCAGTTTTAGTGATACTGAAGAAAGGTGCATCAAATGTGGACCCGTTATGTTTCATGAAATGAGCTTTCCTACTGCTCATCTAGTGGCTAGTAAGCCCACGCTTATGCTCTATCAAGGGCGGGACACTTACACTACCTCCGTGAGTAGGATCGGGGTGATAATGAGCATCTAAGTTCATCCTATTCTTCGGGAATTCACTAGATGCAGAGCGGCCCCCCAATAACATCTCCCAAAGCTTTTCCGGATTCTCTGCATCTTGCGGGAAACAACATGCCATCCCAATTATGGCAATTGCATCTTCTGGAACAACTCCGAGATCAGGAAATGGATGTCCCAGGTTTGACGCTCCATCCCCGTTCATATGGAGAGACATTATGTGGTGTGGGAGCGCAGGTTCGTGACTGTCAATCCTAATCAATTTTCAAGACACCAAATCTGAGTCAATACCTCGCAGTCGTGAATGAACTTCCAGAGAGGCGGAAGAATAACCACAAGACGGCGGGGTACACGGGTGTAAAGTACGGATCTCAGCCCAATGGACGCACTGAGATTGTCCCTCACACATGTTAATTCTTCTACCAGGATTGGTAGCATGGGGGACAAGTCCTCCTCACACTCTCTGTAGTTTGCGTGGGTTTGAGAGCGGTCGCAACGCAAGAGAGTTACCCTGGAGTTTTCCAAGGCCATCCTACGATTTGCTTTGGTATTACCGCCAAAAGCAGCTCGCACATGTTCCCAAAGGAGAAGTATCCCCGAGCCTCGGATTTTCCATTCCCCTGGGTCTAAATCGGAAAGCGCCTCAATTCGATACCAAAGACTTGTTCTGCGCTGGAAGGATTCCCGGCAGTTGCAAAGGTAGCACGTCGAGGCCCAGAAAGGATTTTCTGTTTGAAAACGGGTTTATGATGCGATGAACAGAGCTCCCAGTAAGGAGAGGCGTGTACGATGCGGGGCTTTTCCGCACCCATGCTTCCCCGCAAAGATCTGAAAACTACAGTAAACAGGGGGTTGTGAGCGAGCCGAGTCAATGCAGAGATCGTAAGGCTTGGTATTGACAGGGTTGAAAGAAGGTTAGCCTTGCGGGGTGTCACAATCTAAGGAGGTTAGCGAATTAGTAATACGCGTCGACTAACAAGACCAAACTGCATCTGAACAGTGAAACATGGCTTGCCCGAAAATAACGTCATGTGAGCCAACTTTATCTACTCTCTGTCCGAGGCTGTGAGTGTTTCGGCTCCATACTGTTAGACCCGTGTCAGAGCCTGGCGTGTAAGAAGCCTCACCTCGTCTTAAAATCCCTGTGATTTAAGTTTGATTGTAAACCACCAACGAGGAGCATAATTCGTGTGAATCAGCTTTGTTCACTAAATTATCTTCTTGAAAAACACCTCCATTCCATAATGCGGATTCTTTGCCTTCACGGAAGGGGCTCAAATAACGACGTAAGCTGCGGGAATATTTATCCTAGGGTTGACCGCAGACAGAGGCTAATGGCAACGCAGATTTTCAAGATGCAGACTGGTATGTTGCTTGTGCGAGTCAATACTGACACTGTACACCTAATTGATGGTTTTCATTAGCTGGGATTCGATCATTGCTGGATGACTATGAATTTGATTTTGTCCAAGGCCAAATGCCCCACGTAGAAGGTAGGCCCAAGCATATACCTGGCAGTAGGGCGTTGGAACAGATGTCTGACTTTCAAAGGAAACTGGTCCCTCCATACGACCGACTTTGCGAAGTCCAAACTTTGGGGTTACTTCAATTTGCTCGATCTACAGGACGTGGAGGATGTCGAGCGTCAGCTGCTACAACTCGCGATCGAAGATGGCCCTTATGACGGAATACTGGGCTATTCGCAAGGTGCGACTCTCGCTGCGCAAACTATTATCCGACACAACCAAGAGCATCCAGAAGCACCGATACAAGATATGCCTTTCCGATTTGCAATCTTCTTTAATGGCGCAACTCCAAGTAAGGTTTTTGAAATGTCCGAAACCCCGATTCCTGTCTCTGTGGAATCTGTGGCAAACGAACCGGAGGCAATGCATTTCCTCAGCCAGATGAAAGCCAACCCGCTTCTCCATACCACCAAGCTCTTTCCAGCGAAACTGCCCAACGGACGCCCAATCCTTACCGACTCTAAGCAGGGCATGCTAAAGTGCAATGCTGCCCTTGACGGCACGCTGATCAATATTCCAACATTGCACGTGCGGTGTCCTGGAGATAGAGAGGAATACGGGCATGAGTTGTATAAATTGTGCGAACCTCAGCTAGCACAGCAATACTTTCATGAACATGAGCACGACTTCCCAAGAGGTTACGACGAGATGAGAAACATAGCAAGATTAATTAGATCTACAGCAGAGCTTTCCATTTGAGGCTGAGGTCATAGAAAGAGGGCTTGGATTTCAGAGATTTCCTCTGAGAAACTTCAGCCCTCGCCCTGATTAGCTGCGTAGGGCGTGGAGTGATATATGATTTTGACGCCACTTCATCTCTTATCCATCTACTTCAGCCACTACCTGATAGGAATATCCCTAAAGTGGGATTACTACTCAACCGTGAATCTAAGTGCCTACAACCCATGTTGCATCACTGTGACCTAACATCCCATCTTTTGTACACTTGGAATTTAGAACTAGGATTACCTGGTATGCTTGATTTTACACGATTCTAACAATTCACGTTACACAATACCATGGCGGTTGGGATGGTCAGGGAGGATAAAGAATTACCGTACGATGTGGTCGTCCCATGAAGCGCGAACACGTATCGGATTCTTTACCGATTTGACTTCATGGTGCTATATCTAACATCACCGCATCGAATCCATGTTCGGGGTCATTGTGACATCTGAGCGAGATGACTTAACAATGCCCCAGGTATGAGCACGGTGCTCCTTTCTTGCGATCTCCACATTTTGACCGATCCGATCTTCATACTCTTGAAACTGTCTGCAGATTTCCCCGCAACACATATGCCGAGGGCCAATTGCTATCTTGTCCCACGTTGAATCACAAGCAGATGCGGAGCAGAGCAGCCGAGGGATACCAGGAGCACCCCATGACCTTAAGGAGATGATAAAACAAGAAGCAGGGATTTCTTGACCAATCTCATGCCCGATAGCAACGCAACGTACCACTACTTGTGGTGAAATGCCACCTTAGATAGGGAGCCTTCTGTTTCCTTTTGTGTTCTGGTTCTCTATTTCACTTCATATCACTATTTCAATTTGGAAAAACTTGCTGATCCCCAGAATATAAAGCCATTCTCGCAAATATGGCCAGTGAACTCCGCCGCGTTGGGAATAGAATTGACTCGACTCGGAGCTCTGTTCAAGAACCCGGGCAAGTCTATCAGAGAGAATTTCCATTGATATCAAGAAGGTACTCTTTGCAGGACTCTCGAGGTTCTTACAAGCAACTCGTGGATGATTTGCCATCCACGCAAAATTCCGGAGAGGAAATAGTTCACAGATGGACAGTCACCGACGCGATTATCGTAGATCGAGCCCTCGCACAGAATTCTTGGCAGCATGGGCTTGTCCATGGTATTTCTTCCAAGCCGATTGCTAACGGCATGCCTCTCGGAAAAGGTTCTCGAATGGAAGATGACGGATCTCAAATCCCTTCTTCGAGACGAGCTAGTCGGAAGCTTCAAAAACAAAAGGTCCCTTACTTCTCTCAAAGTCGGAACAAAGACCTACCGGATACGCCACAGCCCCCGCAATACTACGAAAAGGCAACATCTTCGCACCGAAGAACTCTTTCTGGTCACTCGTATGGGAGTGGTCTTCGAACTGGCCTCAAAACAGTTGAGCAACGCCTTCAAAGTTATTCAAAAGAAACGCAATCCGCAGTTGAGTTCATCCCGGAAATCAAAAGGGCCACCATCTGGGGTGCAATTTTATCTCTTTTTCGAAAGGTGCTGAGTCAATATGGCGAGAGTCAGGTGGATAGCGTTCCGGCAGAGAAACCTGACGACATTATTGCAACTTACCCTCGCGGTATGAGGTTGTTTCTGATCCTCATGAGCGGAGCTTTGCCATATGTCGTGGTTAGTATCCTTCCAGATCTATGCCTTTTTCCTTCAACTCATAAGCTGACCAAGGGTTGTAATACAGGTCGTCTTGGATGACACAGTTGTTGGTATTTCAAACCCAATCAAAGAATCTGCCAGCCTGGCCCCTTGTTCGTGGCTGATAATATGCAGCAATCATAGTCCCCAGACTCATTTCTGACTTCCACAAACCTGAGGACATTGGGTGGTATGCTTCGGCGTATTTCCTTCCCTTAACAGTCTTTATGCCACTATATGGCAAATGTTATTCCCTTTGGAGAGTGAAGTGGCTGTTCATTTTCGCACTGGCCACTATCATGGGTAAGTGCCTGCACACTTCAGTAAAAAAAATCTAACAATTATAGTCGGATCCATACTATCTGCTGCTGCACACACAACATCCGAATTTATTGTTGGTCGTGTAATAGCTGGAGCTGGTGCTGCTGGTGTTATAACAGGGGCCATGAGGATCATCGCCCTTGCAGCAGAGCGCAGATATCGGACATTTCTCGAAGCTGCGGGCGCTGTCGTTATGGGTCAGCCACCAAACTCACACGTGTGGTATACTAGCAACTAACAAGGAGATGCTTAGGGGTATGCACGGTATCCGGGCCTATCCTCGGTGGAGCTATTGCTGATACCATTGGGTGGCAATGGTCATTCTGGATCAATCTCCCAATTGCCGCCCTTTCGGTGTCGATAATCCTTCTCTTCTTCCCCAAAGAATTGAGCGCTTCTTCGCTTCTGGGCCTTCCTTTCCGAGAGAAGCTTAGAAGGCTGGATCTCATTGGGGCGTCCCTTTTGATATCGGGCCTTGTTTGCTTAAGTTCCGCTTTGCAATCATTATCAACATCGACAGGCTTTAGCATAAGTGAAGCTACTTTGGTCATTCTTACCGCAATACTTCTTAGCGCCTTTTTACTCCACTCAAGTTTCATCAACTCTGAAGTCTCCCTCACGCCTCGAAGAATTTTATCTATAAGAGCAATTTGGAGTTGCTGTATAGGACTGTTCTTCCTTTTTGCGGGTTTTATAAATTTTATCTTCTTTCTCTCTATCTTTTTCCAGGTATGTACCAGGCTTCCCTTCCAAGAGGACACAAGGTTGATAGTCAATATTAGTCAGTGCAAGGCCAATCCGCTCAGGAGAGCGCTATCAGCTTACTCCCCTACGTACTATCTGTTAGCGTAGGAGCTGTCATAACAGCCTTGGGTGTTTCAAAAGTCCGATACTATAATCCCTTCTTCGTATGTGGCGGAATCCTTTTCGCTACAGGAGCCGGGTTGATACACACCTTTGATATTAACACGTCCTTAAAAACACGGATAGCCTACGAGGCGATTTTAGGGTTAGGGGTCGGATTTCTTATGCTGGCAAATGTGGCTTCTTCCCAGATATCATTGGAGGAGGAATATCATCCCATTGCTCAGGGTTTGACATTCTTTTGTTCGTTGTTAGGATCGTAAGTCCAACCATTGAACTTTGCTGGTGAAGTAGAAAGTACTGAACCTCGTATCTTATTTAGGACCATCTCCCTCCCGGTGTCTAGTACAATCTTTAATAGAATACTAAGGCAGCAGGTGCTATCACTTGATATACCATTGCTCCTAAAGGCATTAGTTTTATCAGATCCTACCAAAGTCCAATCAGTCGTTCCGGCAGAATATCGACAAATTATACTTGATGTCCTGGTTTACTCAATACGGAAGGCCTTTCTTTTTGGCATAATCTGCTCGATCGTTTGTGCGATATCATTTTATTTTGTGCCATGGGCCCCCCTTCCGTCTACACCGCAGAGGCAGCAAGAAGGATCAACAAATATACCAGACTCACCACCAAAGCTCCCACAGATATCATTTGCACCTGAACCAGATATAGAAAATTGGCGGAAATTGCTTTCCAATTCGGCGTGGGTAATTTCAACGCCACGCGGTGGAACTCCGGTATTATTTTCCGGCTCCTCACATGAAGGCAGCTAGAGGGTAGTCTCATGGTCTGGGCATACTGTGAAGGAATATAATTAATTGTACAATTAGAAAACAATTGAAGGAGGTAGCTACTATCCCGTGGATCCTTAAATACATACACCGATAATGTTCGGGTAGTTGCATACAAACACTGACTCAAACGGTTCATGAGCAACTTCCTTCCATTTAATTCCTTGCACTTACTTACTCGCCTTTACTTTAACTCGGAGCAACCCTGAGGTACGACTCTCCGGATTAACACAATGGGTGAGAATGAGGTCCAGATCCACAGTTGGATGGTATAAAAAGTGGAAATTCATTAGTAATCAGCGTTGATAGGGAGGTGGAGTTGGACCCGGTCAGCGATGTTGTGATGGGACCTGTGAGCTCAGACCGAATTCTTGAGGGCAGAGCCACCACTCGCATAAGCTTTTGGGTATTCAGCAATTCGAATCTAGCAACCTTGCAGCGGGCAGCCAGTCAGAACCCGCAGCAGCTATGCGATCTAATAATGTAATGAGATGGAAATATACCACTAATGCTAGAAAACGTCGGTCCGCTGCGAGGGGCTTCGGGCGCCACAAATCCGAAACAGAACTCTAGGATTCTCTGGGATACAGAAGAATCATTTGGGTCGACCGTACTATGGCTTAGATATACATTAAAGTAAGTACAGGCCTTATTCCGGGACATTTTTAAGGGATATATTTAATCCGGAACTTTAAATATATTAAGGACTTGGACGGAAATGACGATGGTGGGGAAAAAGAGAAGTCCAGCCCCCTCCCCCGGTTATGAGCAATCTTAGTTCACGCCAAGAATTCATACGAAAATGAGAAAAGGGTTCATTTCGCATTGAGAATATTACTTGTAATCTTTATATAATTCTAACTTAAGACGGTAATAATAATAAGCTTTGCAAAGAAGTATTTTAGTAATTAAGGGATTATAAAATATTACAAGCCTCTCAAGTAGCCTTTTAGACTCTTAATAAATATATTTAAATAAATAAAATAAAAAAGATATATAATAATAATTAAATACTAGATATAAGAACTCTCGTTTATTATAATAAGTAATTAATTACTTAAGGTTTTTATTACTTAATTACTGGCCTTAATTAGTTATTTAGCTATTTAATAAATCTTTAGTTTATAAATATAAAGTTAAATATAAGGTTATTTTTTAAAAAAGAAAATAGTTTAAAAATATTATATTTTTAGTTATTATTAAACAAATAAATTTCAGTTTTAACTTAATTACTTAATTAGCTTATATATATTAATTTGTATTACTTTTAATTACTTAATAAATATATATAATTATTATATATAATTTAATATATAAGTTGTATTTTAGCTTAATAAATAGCTTTTAATTTATAACTTATAATTAAATATATTAATATTTATTTTACTAAAAATCACAAATATTTATATATTATATTTCTTTTTCTTATACTTTTATTATTACTTAAAATATTTACTTTCTTTAATTCTTTTTTCTTTCTTTCTCTTTTCTTTATAAATATATAAATAAAAGCAAGAAAATATAAAAAGAAAAGAATATAAAATAAAGTAAAAGAACTTTACTTAAATTTTTTAATACTTATTACTTATAATTTAGTAATTATAGCCCTAACATTTAGTAATAAGTAGCCTATAACTATAAGGCTTCCTTTTCCTCGCAACTCGAGTGCCTCAAAGCTCACTTTTTACCTTTCACTTTTCACTTGCTTGCTTGCCCCCCTCTTCCCCCCTAGCTACCTCTCCCCGCTTGCCCCTCTCTCCTATATATATAAATAAGAATTAAAGAGAGAGTAATATTTTAAGTAATAATATAGTAGAGGCATTATAATAGGGATATAAAATACGAAGTAATATAGAGTATAGAATGGGCTTCCACAGCGTGGGATCACAACGTACGAGTGAGACGTGGAATTAGAGAGTGAAGGTTGGTTAATTTCTAAGAACTAAGAAGGAGAGCGGGGAATATATATGAAACCGGACGTACGGACGTCCGGTGGTCACCTGACCGTGCCACGTGACCAATAGGGGTAAAATCCCCACCACAGCATAGGGAGAGGGGGCGTGGCATGTGGGCGATTTTTGGTGGGGTGAAACATGCGCGTGCCGAGTCGTAAGTCATAAGTTGCAAGTTAAAAAGTTCGCTCGGGCGATTGATCCTTACGGCTTTCCGTAACAGCGTGGCAGATCTAGATGTAGTGGCGGGGAAATTATTTATCCGACAGCCGCCTGCCTTGAAACGTTTTCTCACGGCAAGATGCTCTATGCAAAACCCTCACCTCTTCGCATCCTTCGTCCGAAACCCTCGACACCACGCAAGAGGCCATGGAGCCACGGTCCGACGGCAGATTTCACAGTAGGCCCTCTTATTTACTTGTGAGTGTTCTCGAAGCTAAGGGGATTGCGGAGTCAATTGGAAGGGGCGGTCGAGTCCTCGGTGGAAGTGATACTAGAGGCTCCGACTGCTGGAAATTCATCGGGAGTTGAATGTTCCTGCCACATCACCCTAGCCAGGGTTAACTCCATCCAATCCATCTCAAATGCCACCTTCTCCAAGGTTTTATATTTTTTACCCCGCAAAGCTTCTTTAGGCAGGGGCGGGCCGAAGGCTTGTCGTCCCCAAATATCGAAAAGGGGGATCATGGGGCTCGTGCGCCTTATGATCATGGAACCGAGTTCCGGATATAGCGTCAGAAGCCTTAATCTAATTTCATTAAATGTAATAAACACGAATGCCCCCCTCCCGTGCTGCTGTTGCCACACACCATCATCATGTTCTCTCAAGGAACTGTCTTGGTCGGTCTACTTGGCCTCATTGACATCTCTGTTGCGCAGTCTTGTGCCATTGAATGGTGAGTCCCAGTTACCGATATTCCATCCTTTGTTATTAAGGCTAAGCCAAGGTTCTAACTTCTAGGGCTCAATGTGGAGGTGTCAGTTGGACCGGGGCATCGTGCTGCCAGACAGGGAACTCATGCGTGTTTGTTAATAGCTACTACTACCAATGCCAAACGGCGACGGCTACATCTTCTAGAGTAAGTCGTCGTTTCTTTGTGATCATGGTTATCACTTTTGATTGACGCTACCTACGAAGAGTTCTGCGACAAGCGCGAGCACTACAGTAGGACCAACATCTACAAGCACAACCAAGACATCAAGTGGGCCATCTCTATATACTACAACCATTGCAGTTTCAACTACAAGGTAAGTCTATTACTCGAAATTTTGTTCCTTCTTTCAAATATAGTGTTTAAGCATTTCTGTTTAACTCCAGAATAACTTCGTTTAGTCTTCTCTTTTTTCGATGTACACTTCTTCCTTTTGAATAGCAACGCTGACATAAATTTGAATCAGCCACGCCCAGTCTCCTTATCCAGTCCCCTCAGCCTCGGGCTCTTGCGGCTCCTGGTCCCTAGTTGACAATGTGTGCTGTCCTACATACTGTAGTGATATCTTAACCTCTGAAGACTGCAACTACTCAAATGCCTCGTGTGGAAGTTGTATTAGCCCGCCTGCAGCAGACTGCAAGTCCGGCACGATGTACAACGAGACACTTTCGGTAAATCAAAATGAGGGTTGGCACTACAGTGTAAGAAGACCCCGGTCCTTACCCCTATCTATTGTTTCTTGTAACATTTACCCAGCGATCAACGCATTTCGGGCTCACCAGCGGCGGTGCTTGTGGCTTCGGTCTCTACGGCCTGTGTACCACCGGAGGCGCAGACGCAAGTTGGATTGATCCATGGATCGAAAGCACTTGCAGTGCCTTCTGTACAGCGTATCCACTTTTATGTCAGGATCCTACTTCTACTAACCTTACTATGCGTGGAAATTTTGCCGCTCCAAATGGCGACTACTATACGCAGGTATGCGCTGCCACGATCATTGAGCACTGACTTCCCGCTGATGGTCGTTGCAGTTCTGGCCCTCGCTTCCAGGTGATCTGGACAACTATCTCTCCTGCGGAGAATGCTTCGAGCTTGTTCAGACAATGCCAAACGGCACTGAGTATGCAGTTGGGCAACCAGGCTACACACCGCCAATCATTCTCGAAGTTGTTGATAGTTGCCCATGCAATGCAAATTCAAAGTGGTGCTGTAAGCACAAGATTTCATTCCCCTAAACATGCCAATACTGATAGTTTTGCATCAGGTGGCCCTAAAGCAGATCATTGTGCTGAAATCAACTTCACGTACGGCTGCCCGCTCCCAGTTGACAGCATTCACCTTGATCTCTCTGACATTGCGATGGGCCGACTCCAAGGCGGTGGTTCTCTCGCCGCAGGGGTCATCCCCACGCGCTACAAACGGATACCATGCCCTGTCCCAGGAAATGTATATATCTGGCTACGTGACGGCGGCGGGCCATACTACTTTGCTCTCAGCGTCGTCAACACCTATGGCGTTGGATCTGTAACGACTGTAGAAATAATGGGCTCCGGTGACACGACTTGGACAGCTTTGCTTCACGATCCTAACTATACGTCTTCGAGACCGCAGGAACGTTATGGTTCGTGGACTATCCCTCAGGGGAGCGGCCCGTTCAATGTCCCGATTGGGATGCGAATTACGAACCCGGCTGGACAACAAATTGTGAATATGAATGCCATCAAGTCGTTCGCGGCTCCGGCTACAGCACCATCGGGGTGGAACTATATTGATTTGGGAGTGCAGTTCACTAAGTAAGAGGTGGGAATTGTTTCCAGTACATAGGAATTAGTATGGGAATATATAGTGCTTAAAATATATGCTTCTTCTAATAATATTCGATTGATAAGATACTTGTTTCTACAGCCAGTGTGTCAAATGATTAGGTTTGATTTGATTAGACCCCCCTACTCAAATCAAATCAAGTCAAAATCAAGCTAATCAAATCATACTTAATTATAATCAAAGATAATCAAAGATAATTAATTAGATTTATCACGTGATTACGCACATGACTCTGGAGCTTCGGAAGCCGAGATAAGGCTAAAATAAGGTCTGGGCTAGCCGTATTCGGTATTACTAAAGGCGCTCTTTACTAAACCAGGCCTAGCGCTAATTAGTAAGCGAAGCCAAAGGCGCTAGAACCTCCTTGATTTCCAGTGTTATAGTAGTAGTAAAGAGCTTGAATTGAGCTAAAGGCTATCTGCCAGGCTAAGGAAGCACTGGCCACATGCTAAGTCACGTGCAACAGCACCACGTGACTGGTACCACATAACAAAAACTAGTTTGTTATTTTAGATTTAGACTAATTTTATACTCTTATATATGCTTTATAAATTTTATTTATATTTTATTAATATAGTTATTAGTTATTTAATAATTTTTAGAAATGCCTAAGAATGTGTGAGGCACGTAATAGCAGGGTGATGCACAAGTAGTCAAGGTAAGTAAGCTGCGGAGTGACGCTTGCAAGTGTAACTGATTCCAAGAATTGATTCCAACAAGAGACTAATCGATGCCCCTTCCAAAGCTAGGAGCGTCTCCCTATATATTCCCTAGTGCTTAGCCAGGCATGCGAAGCCCTTTACTTAATTAGGAAATCCCATGCGATCCATACGATTCCGATCGCAAGCTGTACCCAAAATAGGAAACTAGATCCACGACATCTGACACCTGTCCATGCGCCATCACGTGTGCCCATCACAGAATGTATACTTTTATATTATCACGTGATGATTATAATTAATTATAATTAATTATAATATAAATCAAGCTAATCAAATCATACTTAATTATAATTAATTCTAATTAATTCTAATTAATTAGCCTTGATTATTTTTTGACACACTGTCTACAGCAAGATCTGCTATTTTATTATTAGAATCAATTAATATTCTTACGTATTTGATTGTGTTTTTAATGCAGCCTAATCCCTCGCTCTCTACCTTAATAATAAATAATCCATGCGTCTTCCACTAGTACAATTCTCTAATTCCATCTAAACTCGATAGCAAGTCATCCTTTCCTCTACCATCTCGCGTTACACCTTTGCCGTACAGATAGTGGAACTTTCGCCGTACTTTACATTTCCGCATGTGCAAGCATTAATCGACGTCGTGGCCATTATCGCAGAATTAGAGGATGTAGGGTATATTTATGCTCAACAGTCTGCGCTCTGTCCTGACTCAACCTTAATCAAACGTGTCGCCCGGATCCGACACTTTCTCAGAGGGCCCCACCTTAAAAAAGACATTTGTGGTTCAAATACGAGCCTTAGCATTATCCAACCAGGAGATTCTGCAAATATAAAATCAACCGAGGGATAAAGCTGCGTTCCAGCGTATAATAACGGTATGATATCCCTCGAAGCAGGAATTCTTAAATTGAGATTCTGTTGATCAACGACGCAATGCATCTAAGCCAGCGTTATATGCATAGCAGACTTCTTCTCATCCACTCCCTTAACATTAGAAGGAAATAGTTCTGTAGAAGCTCTTGACTCTCAGCGTGGTGTTCTAACAATGACCAGTGTGTCAAATGATTAGATTAGATTAGATTAATGGCCATTAATCTAATCTAATCACGAAATATACTCATTAATCATATTCTATTCACGTATTAATTAGATTAATCATGATTAATCTGATTAATACACACGTGATCCTGCACGTGACTGTGCTAGCCTAATCTGGTAACGCTCCTGCCCGTTCTAGCTCTAGCGCTACACTAATCAGGTGCGGCAACGCTTAGTAAGCGACCCGAAGCTAAATTAAAAAAGGGGGAATGTAGGAGAATAACTAGTTTATTATTATTGAAAGCTAGTATATAGCTACTATTATATAAGCCCTGGCTTAGTTTAACTAGGGCTACCTGATAGGTGCCTTAGTTATTTAATACTTATTAAGTAAACAGTGATTTACTATAGTCACGTGACAGATTAATCAGATTAATTATTCTAATCTAATCAAAAAAAATCTGAATTACATTAATCATAATTCAATTACATTAATTGATTAATTAATTGATTAATTTGATTAACGTGATTAATCCTTTGTGTGACGGCGGGATCAATGCAATGGTCGAAGGCTCAAAGTTCAAAGAATCTCATGTATTGGAAAATACTAAGCTGTGGAACAAAGTAGGGAGGATGCCTCGACCTTTAGTATTGTTCCGTCCAAGCAATTCCGGCTTAGCTTTGTTTTGTGCCTGTTTCCGATATCCTGTCCTTGGCAGATCATGCCCTTACGCCAGCCGTCACACTTTGACACACTGACAATGACATTACTGCCCGATAAAGTCAGTTCGCCTTCGCGGCTCCCAATGGAATTTTAAATCCCCTACCTTTCTGACTCACATATGCACCGTAGAGAGTGGGGTTGTCTTTAATTTGTAGAAGTACAAGTGGATATCTGTCCACAAACTCTTCAAGGATGTCATGGCATCAGTGGCATTCTGGGGCAAAATTCCGCCAAACGTAATCAGCTCATCGTATCCAGCAAAAGCATCACCAAATCGTCATGCCCCTTCTCAGACGCAATCTCCATCGCAGTCCTCCCCCTTTCATCCACAACATTCGGATTTGCACCTTTCTCCAGCAGCAATTTCACATTTCCGACCAAATTGTTATCGGAAGCTCGCATCAACGCAGTCACCCCATCCTGCGCAAGATTCACATCCGCCCCACCATCGAGCATTATCTTCAGCCTAGTGGGATCCTCTTGAGAGGCGGCGAGCAGGAATGGAGAGCCCTGGCCGGCGATAATATCAGGATCCGCGCCCAGAGAGAGCAGTTTTGACATGTATTCAGGTAAGTTGTCTCGAACGGCCGTAAAAAGGGGACGGTAGTAGTCTTCAGGATCCCCATTCACATCCGCATCTGCTTCCACGAGAATCTGAATTGATTCGATGCTCTCCCGGTTCACAGCTTTTTCGATCACCCCCCGGGCCTTGTGCACATCCGCGCCACTAGCGATTAGTTGCTTGAGCATTGCTGGCTTCGTGGCAGCAATTTGTAAGGGAAGCCCTTCTCCGCCTGGCGAAAATTAGCACGGACTAAAGAAAGTATTGGCAGACATACCCTGATAATTCGGATCAGCGCCCCTGGACAGCAGCAATGCCACGATTGCAGTGTCATTTTCTCGCACTGCGGTATGCAAAGGACGGTAGTAATCATCTGGACCTCCATCAATCGGGCTTCCCGCATCAAGCAAAATCGGAATCGCTTCGATACAACTCCCGAAGCAAGCTTTCTCAAGAGCTCCGGTAGCCTTTGTAATGTCTGCTGCACCACCCAGAAGTATCTTGAGCATCGCGGGTTTGTCGGCCGCTATGACCAAAGGTATACCTTCACCACCAGCGAGGTTAGGATCTGCACCACGGGATAGAAGGAGCTGCAGAATCTCTGCCAGATTTTCTCTCACTGCGGTGTTCAACGGGCGGTAATAATCGTCTGGTAAGCCTGCGATTGGGTATCCTGCATCGAGGAGGATGGGTATACTTGCGATGCTTTCCCGGAAGACCGCCTTTTCCAGAACTCCAGGCTGCTTAACCTCGGCGCCGGCAGCAATAAGAATTTTGAGCATTTCTGGTAAGGTCGCCGCGATTTGAATGGGGAAACCTTCGCCGCCCTTGATGTTTGGATCTGCTCCCCGTGAGAGGAGGAGCTGCAGAATCTCAGACTTGTTGTCTCTCACTGCCGTGTTTAGAGGACGGTAGTAATCATCTTCCAATCCCGTGATTGGATAGCCAGCATCCAAAAGTATCGGTATGCTCTCAATGCTGTCTCTGAAGACCGACTTTTCGAGGACATTAGGCTTCTTGATATCGACGCCAGCTCCCAGGAGCAATTTGATAGCCTCCGGTTTGGTAGCCGCGACCTGAATGGGGAAACCTTCACCACCGCTAAGGTTGGGATCTGCTCCTCTCGAAACCAATAAAGCAGTGATCTCGAATAAGTCGTCACGAATCGAGGTATTCAAAGGGGTATAATAGTCCCCTTTCGTGTTTGGGTCGAGACCTCCATCCAACAAAGCTTTTACCACTTCAATCTGATTGTAATGAACAGCATTCTCTAAGAGCGCTGTGTTCGTGCGTATATCAGCGCCCCCGACTATCAGATATCGCATACAATCCGCAAAACGGAGAGAGGTGAGAACGGGTGGGTTGGGACCGGGGAGGTCAGGATCGGCACCATATTCGAGAAGTAGTTTGACAAGCTCCGGCTTATTCTCACTACAGGCCAGACCCAATCCTGTGTAGCCACCCGCCACTAAAGGATCAAAAAGTCAGCTCATTTAAAAGAGTTTCCGCGGATATTTCGAATGGCTAGTGGAAGGGGACAGTAGAAATGACCGAGAAGATCAAGATCAGGAACGAACAAATAGAGAACCCTTACTTTTGATATTAGGATCAGCCCCATACGACAGCAATAGCCTAGCTGCTTCTTCTTGACCACGCTGACATGCGTAGCGGAGTGCGGGAAAACCATCAGTAGGTTTGAGATTTGGATCAGCGCCGAATTCGAGAAGGAGTCTCAAGCTCGTCAGGTCATTCTGAGCCACAGCTTCAACCAGAGCAATCCTGTCACCCTCGAGATTTGGCGAAACTCCGCGGTTGAGCAGTTGCTCTACCATGCTGTGCTTGCTAGTGGAGACTGCGCTCACAAGTGTTCTTGCCAAAGCGACATTTGTGCTCACTGTTTGAGGGGGTGTTCTTCGAGGCATTTTGGATGGATCAGCGTTTACTCGGACTATCTTCCATGGGTCAGTGGGGCCTTTGTCTGTTATCGTCATTTCAGACAGCGAAGGAGTTACAATGTCGGAGATGGTTGATGCCGGGGGTGGTTGCTCGGATAGCGCAGTGGGAGTTTTCGGATCCGACTCGGCATGAACTGTGACTCCAGGAGGGCCGGTTGGGGGTGGTGTATTTTTCTGCTCGGCTCCAACAATGGCAAGTCCAGGAGGTGAGCCGGACGGAGCTATAGGTTTTCTTTGGACGGGCTGGGCAGGCTGTGGTTGCTGAGGAGGAGGAATCCCTTGCCAACCCGGTGGCGGACCCGCAGGGGGTTGAGGAGTCTGGTACGTAGGATTATATGCTTGAGCCCCTCCCTGCGATGGGCCCGACGGAAAGGCACTGGGGTGCAGTGGTTGAGGTGGGGGATGAGTAGGTGCGACAGTGGATGATCCAGGACTCTCAAGCTTTGCCGCCAACATGCCATACTCATATCCAACAGAGGAGGACGCAGAAGCTGTGTTTCTGTTGCATTGGTCAATTAGCGCTGCAGAAAACAGACGAAGTGATTCTTACATATTGGTCAAGAGCATTGTCATCGTCAGGGCACCCTTGTTGGTCTGCAGCGAGTTGCGAACCTTCGAGATATCCTTGTCCGCAAAGAATTGTCTCCAAGTCTTTTGAAGCACCGCGAAAGTTCCCCCCTTCTCGTATTCCATGAACTTCTCAAGGAGGTATTGTAATTGCGTGAAGTCATGAAGCGTCTGATCCAGGATCTTGCTGAGCTCGGGGATTGCCTGCTGAGGAAATGGCTGACCTGTGGCAAAGTGTTCTTGGAGGCTGGTCTGTAGAGTGTTCAGAATCTTGCAAATGCTGAGAAAGTCCAGCCCAAGATCGCTAAAACCTAATGGTTTGTCTTTGACATGATCCAGGAAATCGACCATCTTCAGCGAAATGCTGTTCCCCAAAGCTGTCGTGCTGTGCGTCAGCCTCAAAAGGTGATCCTGTGCCGCCATCGTGATTCCTTTCTTCGTTTGAGGAACAATGTTTGACGCAAAAGAAAAAACGGTTGATCAAGGACCCGTGGTGGGGTAGCTGCGGAGTTTATCTGGAAGCCATCGAAATTGTGGAAGCCTCTGTGTTTGAGCTGCGGTTCAGCTGGAGCGATAAAAAGTTTAATCAAAGCCATCCCTTCAGCCCCGGATTCCTTTTCAATGATTGTGGCGGCCAGGATGGAAGGTGAGTGATTCGCTAGCTTAAAACCCGAAGCCTCGCAGGCCTTGACATTCGTATTGCGTATCACGGAACTGTGACTGGTGCCACATTCGATTGGCTGAAGTCTGTACCCTTCTTTCAAAAGATAACCGATTTTGATTGGATCACAAACTGCGTAATTTCAGGGAGCTTCCATGTTCAGAGCTTCACTGCAGGCGGGTGACAGCCTGTTGACTCACGTGTCAAATCGAGAAAACAGTTGCCTCTCATCTGTCGTGGTGATATAGTTTGAACATAAAAACGAATCACCGAACTGTAATGAATGTGCTGTTCAAATGAGAAACATTGGAAGTACTCCCAAGCCCCGAAAGTTGGCGCACGTGACGAGGAGTATAAAATCTTGCTGCCAACGGCCGTACGTTAACGCCGAATCCGTTGACGAATTGCCTTTCTCCGTTCGACGCCACAATATGCAGAGGTTTCTCCATATCTGGTAGATTTCGAGGTCTTGGTGTCCCTTGCTAAATAAGCAGCGCGCATTTATCAGCTTCAAGGCCCTTCACTCAACCCAGCTGAAAGCCCTATCGCCGGAAGTTCTACAGCCCTGCGCCTTCCATGATGTCATCGGCTGCTTTTACTCAGCAGTTGCACGGCTATAAGCCATGTTCTTTGTACGAATCCGGGAATTTTCAACATCACTCAATAGACTGAAACGGATGGACTGTGAAGGAAGACGCAGAACGATTGGAAATTGGGGCAGTACTGGAGTGCCGTATCATTATCGACATCTTGTACAACGGGGACGAAGATTTATATAAGAAAGTGATTGAGCCTGCGGCAAGTAATCTTTTCATCAGCTCAGTCACCAGTTCAATCTCATATATAATCGAAGAAAACCACCCAGAACCATCAAAGCTCAATTTTAGACATCACTTCCTCTAAAACAAATACCAATCTCACTCACCACAATTCAATGGCAGGAGAACTCGTTCTTGTTACAGGCGGCACTGGCTTCATCGGCATCAAGGTGATCCAGCTCGCTCTGAAGGCAGGCTATTCAGTACGCGCCGCCGTTCGATCCCAACAGAAAGCAGATGCCGTTCTCGAGACACCGACAGTCAAGTCAATCAAGCCTGGGTCTAGACTCACTTTCACCATCGTGCCCGACATTTTGGCCGAAAATGCGTATGACGAAGCAGCTAATGGTGTGAGGTACATCATACACGTAGCCTCTCCAGTCATCAAGGGCGAAGGCTTCCCTCCTGAACAGTGGGAGTCTGCTATCGTCGAGCCAGCAATCAAAGGCACGAGTTCCATCTTGGAGGCCGCCTACAAGACCGAGGGCATCAAGCGTATCGTTATCACCTCGTCGGAAGTCGCCATTATCCCTTGGGAAGAATTCATCGCTAAGGAAGTCGATACTGTCTTCGACGACAAATACGAAATCCCCTTCCCAGCAGGACCGTATTCTCACATCTTCGAGGCTTATGCTGCAAGCAAAGTCCGCGCTTTGGTGTTCACCAAGCAGTTTATCAAGGAGAAGAAGCCAGAATGGGACGTGATCAATATCATGCCCTCCTTCGTGATCGGGGAGAATGAGATGATTACCGATCCGAAGTTGGTCTCCGATGGCACAGTCTCGGCCGCTTTTGCCCAAGTCCTCGGAGAAGACAGTGGATGGGGAAACGTGCCTAGCACAAGCGTCCACGTCGCTGACGTTGCGAGACTGCATGTCGAAGCTTTGAATGCCAAGATTGAAGGCAATCAGAGTTTCCTGGCTGTCTCCGAGGGAGAGCGAGGAACGAGATGGGAGGAGGCGGTCGATATCGTTAACCGCAACTTTCCTGAGGCTGTGAAGAAGGGCATCTTTCCCAACAATGGGACGGCTAGAACAAAGAGGACAAAGGTCGATGCTAGTCGGACTGAGAAGGTCTTTGGTTTCAAGTTCCAGAGTTATGAGGAGCAGGTCAAGAGCGTTGCCAAGCAGTACCTTTCACTGGTCGGTGCGCCAGAAGCCTGAGCAGGAAATGGAAGGTAGGTTTGGAGCAGCAGGAGCAATAGCAAAATTTTGGAGCAAATCCATCTTGCATGTGAGATTTTGGTATGCAGTGACAACCACTTGGAGTCTTTTAGGCACTGATGATGGAGAGCTGGAGCCTGTAAGACTTTTATAAGGCAGGTGATTATGTGTTATTAGCGAGCGAGCCGTGAGAAATTAGCGCCATTCTTGAACCGAGAAAGCTTGAGCGCCTTTCGATATTTTCCTACAGCACATCTCGATATTGCGGCAACAACTCCACTCTCACTCTCAGCACAACAATGGGTTGGTTCTGGGGCTCTTCCGACAGTAACGATGGCAACAAATCTCAAGACCCTCTGCGGGACCTGGACCCAAGTCTTCGGGACTTCCTTGCGAAAGAATCACCTGTCAAATACAGCTCCTCGAATCCTACAGTTGCCCCAGCATCCGTACCAGCTCCCACGCCCTCCCCCGCAAGCAAGCCTATAGCTCCCGAGCATACCACTGAAGAAGGCTCGGAGCCCAAAGTACCTCCACAGAGCCTATTCAAGGACGGGCGGTACGCTCATCTCTGGAAAACGTACCAATCGCAAGCAGAAACGGAAGCAGCGGGCAAGTCCGACCAAGAGAAGATCAACGATGTCCTGGAAGGCTACAAATACAGGAAGGCGGAGATTGGCAGAGCTGCGTTGGAGAATTGTGCCCTGGAACAATGGCAGGTCAATGAGTGCTTCAGGAATGGAGGGTGGGCCTCTCGTTTGACGATGTGCAGGACGGAGAACAGGGAGCTGGAGAGGTGTTATTTGATGCAATCGGTATATCTCTCATCCGTGTGATGCCAATTGGCCTTTGACTAATTTGATCGCAGAAATTTCTGAAGGCATTAGGGTACCTCTCGACCTTTGATCGCCCTCCCGAGCTGGACGAAAGGATTCAAATGCACGCGGACTCACTATATCATCGAATGTTAGAACAAGAGAAGGCAATTGAAGCTGCCAAGGCAGAGGGGAGACCTGTGCCTTCATTCCCTCCGCTGCTGTCCTCCAACTCGAAAAACTTACCTGTGCCGATCGACGAGAGCGGATTACAACCTTCCGATCTTAAGCCGAAAATACAAAAGGGTCTCAAGAAGAGGCTGGAAGGACTGAAAGACGACGAACGAGAGGTGGAAGAGCGGGCGATCAAAGCAGAAATTCAAGCTGGAGTACAGGTGGCCGAACAACTAGGATCCATATATGAGAAGCAGGCAGAAGAACGGAGGATACGGAAAGAGCAGGGCAAGGAGACAATTGGTGACAAGATAACTTCGATTTTCAGCTTTCGATGACCCATCCTCCTCCATCCCAAACGCCGAGAAACCCGAAGGAACGTATATGAATACCAAAGATGGGCGAGGCTACAAGTGGCCACTGTATTTTAAGGGCAGAAATACATCTTAACCAATCACAACTCTCCCAACTCAGCTTTTGCACGAGCAGGGCTGAAGTTGACCCCACCTTCGTCGAGCCTTTTTGCACAGCTTGATAAAAAATCGAGCAGCTGGACGTGTCTTTAAGGGATGGCGGCCCTTCCTCCAAGTGTGCCGTCATCGCGTCCCCTTCTCAACGATATCTACGAACCCCTCGACCTCACCTCGAAACAGCCTTCGATCCGCCTAGCTATCCTACGAGCTGCTCCACGAGAAGCCAACATCCGCATAACGCTTGCCCATGCAACCTTTGCTAGCCGACCGAGGCACCAAGCACTCTCATACATATGGGGCAAGCCGGAACCGGTGAAGGCTATCGAACTCAATGGGATAACTGTCCAGATCCGAGAGAATTTATGGTTAGCCTTGGTCCATCTGCAAGATGCTGGAGAAGAGCGAATCCTATGGATTGATGCGATATGTATCAAGTAGGCCGATGGGGAAGAGCGAAATCGACAGGTCCGGCTTACGGCATACATATACTCGCGCGCGAAGGAGGTCATCGTTTGGCTGGGACCCCAGCGGATTCCTTTGCATGAATCTGAATTTCTGGAGCTCTGCAACCGGCCATATTGGAGACGAGTCTGGATCGTTCAAGAGATTGGCGCTGCCACACGACTTCGGGTGCGTTGGGGTAACGCGTCGGCCTCTTGGGACGGCTTCTTCCAGCACGTCAGTGCACGATATGCCGAGCCTCAGATTGCTCCAGCAACGAAGCTTTTCCGTTCACGCCACGGTCGGCATGGGGATTATTTTCTGCTAGCAAATCCGATGGAAACGTGCAAGGATTCACTATGCGAGGAGCCTCGGGACAAGGTGTACGGCTATGTTGGCATCGCTCATGATAGTCAAGACGGCAGTTTTCCCATTGATTACTCGAAATCACTATTCGAACTGTACGAAGATGTTATTCGGGTTCAATATCGAAACGTGAAACTCAGTGTTATTTCAATTATCCACTTCAGTCAGCTGGTCCAACGACTTCTAGGGGGCCCCAAGCAATGTTGGGAAATTTCTCAAGGATACGACCTGGACGGCCCATCCCCTTCGCTCCCTCCAAGTCCCTCGACGAGAAGTCGAACATATTCAGAGTCAAGGGAGTCTTCGGCGGAAGCATATCCGTGGTCGGACCTTCATATGATGAGATCATTGGTATTCCAGACGCCACAAGAAGCTGGTAGGTAACTTTATTAGTCTGCGAGGAAGACATGGAAAAGTTGCGGAAGAAGAACGAGGCTTTCATGCGGGTTCTGCTTGGTTTGGGCAATGCGGACCTAGTCAAGATTCAGCCAATAGGTCACCAATTCTCGTCGCTCTGTTTATCTTCGGAAGAAACGAGGAAAGAAATGCGGGAGTCGTTCGCCTCCTTGAGGCGGGATGACAACACCATAATAACCCCAGGCGAAATGAATTCGTTAGCGTTACCTACGTTTAGATTCGGGCCCTATGTACAGGATCTTCAAGACGTACAGGACGTAAAAGGTGGTAGTGCGGAACAACCGCATCTTTTCGCCACCGGCGACGGGAAGATTGGGTTGATACCACCCACTGCTCGCTGTCAAGATCTGCTTTTCCAGTTCTGGGATTCGGATGTCGTTGCTGTAGTAAGATTCTCTGGGCTATCGCTCCAGACGAGGATTGTTGAACGAGCTGTCCTTGCAAATGATGAATATATGGGGGAGGAGAAGTTCCCAAGACCAATGGGTGTGGATACGGGATTAAACTTTGGCAAGGGTGTAGAACTGTTTGTAGACATTCGAACTCTACAACTGTTGACGCAATAGCAAATAAATTCTCTCAATCTCACCCCCAATCTACAGCCCTCGACCTCATCGACATCCCGTCACTAACGACCGAGCTCGGTGTTCTGAACACAGACGTCGAAGAAGGAACCCGACTGAGTGAAACATCGTTCGATGCACCCGCGTCAATACCAGCTACATCATCTCGCGTTCCTTCCTCCCTTCTTCTACCCCTAATCTTCTGCCGAATCCACGGCATCAGGTTGAAATACCCGCCACATGCAAAGACGCCGCACCACAGCACGAACTCCGTTGCATAGATGACCATGCCTAGGATATCGAGCTTGGGTTGGAAGACTGTCTGGTCAGCTTGCAAAAAGGAAGGGAGAGGAATGACGAACAGACGGATATAAGAGAGAAGACATCGCCTGCTGCATCAATGGCTACGAATATGAAGGAGATACCGCGGACTGTGCGGTGGATGTAGATGTCGTAGTAATGGCGAAGGACGCCGGCGGAGAGGAGGATGGTTGAGATTACGCCCAGGAGCGTGATGGGCCAGTGAAGGTTTTGTCTGAGTGCTGTCTGTATTCCGCTCCCATCAGGGATGCGACTCCAAGGTCAGGATTAGAGGGAGAGGACCTTCAGTGCAAATACCAATCCTGCTTCAATGCCACCAAATACTGTGCCGATGGCTCCAACAACGACACAACATTTTGAGATACCCCATTTCTGCATCCCAGATCAGCATCTCGCAATTTTGATGACACGAGAACTGAATTCACCCACATCATCATAATAGTAGCACTGAATCCAAGTAATCAAGCTCAACACTGTCAAGATCTGCGGCTGCACCTGCAGCGCGATGTTGAAGTGCCCCGAGACGTTGTACGCACCAAGCGGGACACCGGCACATGCCCAGAGAAGCATCATTGACCGTTGCAAACCGATTGTATTATGGCGGCGGTAGTTGATGATTATTTGAGGAATGAGCTGCGCTGTTATTTGGATGTATATAGGTGGGGAAGGCGGCGTGCGCTACCTGAACGGACCAGCAGACTGCACCGATTGTGCCGAGGACGTTGGCGGCGATTGGGATATCCATTTTGAGAACTGGTGAAATGAAAATAGGCGATTACATGGTATTCGAATGCGAGGCTGAGAGGATTGATTCGGACGGAAGCCTGATGTCTCTTGAGGATGATGTGATGAAGACGACGTAGGCGAAATGTGGAGCGCACGTGATCTAAGAATGAGCTCTCAAATTCCCGTTTTATTGTTTTGGAATTGAAGGGTGGGACTCAAATTGATGGAAAAATTTGAGAAATTACTCCATAGAGATGTATGCAGAAATCCGAGGGCGGGTGGGAGTGATTGTTGTTTTGTTGGAACCTCACAGGCGACGAGAATAGAATGCTGCCCCCCCCCCCCCCCCCTAGAAGGAATGATCTTAGATAAAGTACTTTTCTAGTCGAGGAAACGACAAATATAAAACGCTAAGCTGATGGTCCTTTACACCGGGTATCTTTCTAAACAAAACAGTTCGTCCAAACCTTCCTTCTACACAAACGCCAGTCCACCGATTGCCCTCAACACATATTCACTTTCCATTTCCCATTAGGTCCCTTCTCATATCTAATCATTGTATTTTTCTTCGCATCCTTCAACGCTTGGTTTTCCTTCCCACCGCTGACCCCATCAAGCGCATCTGCGATCGGTCTCAATAACAATGCCATCGAGAGCGCTCCCTCGGGGCCAACCTTCACACTGTTCGCCAAGTACGCCACGAGTAATAAGAAGAACAAGTGCGCCCCAGTAATGGCGCCGAGGATCGCGTAGAAGAGTTTTTGGTGCCCAACCTCAAGGACGACGCCTGGGCTCGGGGTCATGCCATCGTACCATGCGAATTTATTTTGGACTGACGCCCCATCAATCGCGCCTATGGCAAAAGTCGACAGGCTGGACCCCATGAGTGAAGCGTCTCCCTCAAGCGGGACTCCCCAAGGGCTTTCTGGCGGGTAGATATTTCCTGTCTCGCCATCGCCGTCGACAAAGCCGGTCTGCGCAATTGCGCTCGCGGCAATCTGAGCCATCTCGTCCGAAACGTACGAGAGGTTCTGGGCATCCCCGAGAGTAATACCAACGGTGATGTTGCATTTGTAGTACCAAGGATCGGTATCAGACGACTCGAAAGCCTGCACAACTTGGCATCGAGTGTTGCCAGGGCAGGTACTATTACTCGTAACCCAGTATTGCATCGCTCTGGAGTTTGGGATCATAGTGAAGATTGTGACGTTCCCCAGGGTGTCCACTATGATGTCGAGGGTCGTGCCGTCCCCGCCCTTAGTCACTTTGTGAGACTCACATGCGTATGTAGAGTTGATCAACCTCGTTGTGTAGACGGAATTAGGGCCAGGGTACTCGGCCTCAGTAGGAGAGTCCGAGAAAATAAATTGTACCACGCTGTCAGTTACATTGGGGAAAATCTGGTAGTCGGATTGGTACACCTCTCCGGCACGAGGCACTGGTGTAGTGTCGTTGCCTACCCCAAAGATGAAAGCTGATTCTCCGTACCTGGCTCGTCAGTAGAGATTCTAGTTCGCGCAGAAGGTGCTTACATGTGGGCCGTCCATGCCTGATCCTGCCAGGAAGGACTAGTGGTGTCGATTCCTTGGGGAAAGAAATAGGTCATATTGGGATAGGAAACCAACCCGGGGAGGTATTGTACATGGTTGGTATCGGGATTGAAGCCATATGTGAGTGAGATCATAGCAATTCCAGCTTGGGCAAGCTAAAGCCAGTTAGATATTGGAAGACAGCCACACGGTATACTTACAATATTGATGAATAGCCAAAATAGACATCCCAAGATGACCATAGGGCGTCGAGTTACAAATACAAGCTTAAAAAGCCTCTGCATAGAGTCTGCGTGTAGGATGAGGTCCATCTGGAGCACTGTAAGCGGTTGAATGGTAGGATGAATGCGGTGCTAACCTCAACGAGATTGCGTTTTCGGTTGCTCAGTATCACCCATCTTATGTTCAACGCCATATCCTTGAACGCGCTCGCAATGTTCAAACCGAGCGCGATACTAATTCCCGTCGTAATCGTGTTGTACACTCGCTTCGATCCTTCACTCTGCGCAGGTTTGTGCTTCCAGATAAGGGTTGCTGCCACATAGCAGATACACATTACCGCTGTGATCGCCCATCGCGCAGAACCAGCCACCAAAATATGCCTCAATTGCCTCCCAGTATTGTCTTTGTATGGTTGAAACTCGTTCGAGGTGTAGAAAGTATCGATTTTGTGAACAGGATCGTGAAGGAAGGATTGGGTCTCTGAAGCTGTTAGCATTGTCAGCAGATTCTTCTGTGGGCGGCGTAAGGGTATACTGACGGCCTTGGCCTGGAAACGACGGATTCGTGTTTTGCCGTACAAAAGTCTGCCTCATTTCGATTCCCCCAGGTCCCATATCGACAGGTCCGGCCTTGTATGAAGGGGCGGGGAAGTGCTCAGAGAGGGACGCTGGACTTATGTAAACTGTTTCTTCTGACGTGGATAAGCGCGAAAAATTCGCGGCTGGGTGTTTGTTTGGGATAGGCATCTTCGCAGATGCGGAATTAGGGTATAACAGGCTGGAGGGTCGACATGAAGTGGTTGAAGGTCGGAATATCTTCACGGATGTTCAAGGACATCCCCTTCGCAGCCCACACGTCTCACATCTTGGTACTTATTATTTCGACCGTACATGCGGCGCAGCTGGAGAGAGGCAAGGCTGGCCACTCAGGAGATTCGAACCCACGCCCATTAAAGCTTTTCGACAGAAGGGGAAGCTAAATTGCGGCTGAGCTCGTCTCATGCGTGAAAGGGGGGAAGTGAGTTGGAGCGAGGTTGGAGCAAACAGCGCACCGCCGCAGCCTCCCGAAACGCTTAACCATGCTCGTCTTAGGGCTGACCACTCTCGAGCCATCGAGGGTTTCAATCTAAATTTAGTCTGCATGTGAGAGTGAGCTATCCTATCAGAGTACAAGAACACAATGAGAAGGACTGTGATCACCTCAATTCGAATCTTCAAATAAAAAGAATTGGAGCATGTCTTTCTCTACAATCAAGATTAACGTTGCGTTATGGTTGTGAAACCGTTCCAGGTCGGGATCGACAGCCGGCAAAATATGTTTTTGACTTCTCACGGACCTGCGCCTGTCAGGCACAGTAATCCCTGGCGGGGAAAGTGACGCCACAGTCCTAGATCCGCATCCTGGCCTTTGCTGTGATTTGGCAATCCAGAGGCTGGGTCCCGCCGCCGAGGGATTTCCTTCCTAATGGATATCACGTGATATCAGATCCCAGCCCCCTCGCACCATCAGGATCCTTCACATCTGTGTCGGAGGCACTGATCGATCCTTCATATTTGCAAAACCGGTCTTTGCTTCTCACTTCATCAAAAGCCCCGCCAAACCAATCTTTGAGGTTACAAAAACTGATGCCAATGAGTTCTATTTCTTCAAGGACCAAGTTTATACCCCACGCTGATCGTATGTGTCAAACTATCCTCAATTGACACACTCACATAACCTCCACTTCCCACCTCGCCATCTCTTTTGTGGATATTATTCGGAATTGGTTTCGAATCAAGATACACAGCAACACTCAAGTTCGAAACCGGTACACAAATTGTCCCCTGACTCCCCGTCGGCGCAGTCGCAGTCAGGTAGAACAGCCCCAGTACTCGATTTTGCTGCCAATTGACAGTTATTGGTCCCTTTGGCGTCGGAACGACACCTTTTGCCCACTCAACATCTCCCGGCACAGGCTTGATAGTGTACACGGAGAAGCCAGGACCGGACGGGATGACACCGAGGACGTAGTTCGTGAGCACCGGGACGATTCCAGTTGCCCAGCCGTGAGCCATGGATGTGTAATCAGCTTCGTACGGTTGCCCATTCGGTCCAATGCCTTCCCATTGCGTGATCCCAGGGTCGTGGGTTGACATCCAGCCGTACAGTCTCCTGATCTCCTCTAAAGCACTGTCGGCAAGGCCCATGATGAACCGTGCCTCGATCTCGAAGTATGAAATGAAAGCATAAACTCGCTGTGAATACCCACCGCCCACTACGTCGTTGTCATAAAATGCGTTGCCGTACGGTCTGGCGTTTGCTTTTGAGAGGTAGGAAAGGACCGAGTGGGCTCGCGAACTGTTCGCCACCCCAGCCACAATGCTGAGGCTGTTGCCGTCCTGGGCATGGCTGTTGCAATAAGAATCTCCGCATGTACCATCATAGAATGCTCCCACTCCGGAATCAAAGTTGTAGGTGTTGATTGCGGCGGAAACTGTCTGGGCACGAACTGCCCAGCGTGTAGCATCCCCTTCCTTTGAGAGGAACTTTGCGATGGTTGCAGCATTCTGGAGGGCAAGGACGTAAAGGGCGTTGTAGTAGGTCACCGGGCCAGTTCGACCGATGAATGCGTAGTCGCCATAGCCTCCAGAAACGCCAAAGCCTTTGCTCAGCAGCTGAGTGCGGGGGTCTGTAATGGATTCATAGAATGTATCCAGAACTTTGATGATATTGGGGTAGTATTGCCGTATGTACGCCGTATCACCAGCATACATGAATAGATCATAGCTGCAAACAACCCACCATAGTGGGTAGTCTACAAGCGGTAAAGTATAGCCGTTACTGGGCAGGTCAGTTTAGCTCTCTGAGAAAGGTCATTTGACTTACATGCTTGCAGGAGGAATCCATCCATCCGACCGTTGATGGTCAGCCAAGTCCGCGAGAACGTTTCTGGACGCTTGAGGGACATTGTGGCTAAGATACGAAGTACGCGATGATACAGCAAGATCTCCAACGTACGGATCTCGATCTCTCTTTGCGCCGTCATGGAGAACCAGCTTTCCGACAATGGAAGGGCTCGCCGAGTTTCTTGGGTCGGTATCATTCACTCCGAATGTATCTGTACATAAATCCGTAGTGTAGACTCCATCAAACCACCATTGGTTGAGCTGATCATCAGAGCTTTCAAACCAGCCAGTGAAGGTGTCGGGAGTGCCGAGATATGGGGTGAAGTTCAAGCTCATGGATTCGATAGAAACCTCGCCGTAAGAGGTTGTGTACGGTGCATCGGTTTCCAACGCATCTAGATAAACTTTCACATATCTAAAACCGTGAAGGCCATCCGCACAGACCTGACTCCCATACTGACAACCGTGGTCGTCAGTCCAGGTATATGGTTTTGCTGCAACAGCAATCTTGTCACGTGAGCAAAATTCTCTTCTTCGGATTTCATTCTTTACCTGATCGCTTCCTGGTGTGATTGCATCGCCCTGTATGTGTCGGTCTGAGCTCTTTGGTAATGAATTGAAAGGCTTACGTTATATCCACGAGAGAAGTCGCTGACATTGCCTAGGTACTCGAGTGTTTCCGAGAATGCTAATCTGATACCTGGGCGGCCAGGGGTGCTATTATAAGAGCCGCCGAACGAAATGGACAGATATCCAGCAATGTTTTGACCAAAATCGACGACAACAGTCGGAGGCAGGTCTGGAGCAGAAGTGGTTCGCGGAGTCCTTGTAAAGAGCGTTGATCCCTTACCCGTCAGAAGGCCTCGGGGGTTGGTGACATTTCCCTGGGTGTAATTGGCGACAATGCGTGCAGGATACACGATCCGATTGGAAGGAGATCGAACGTATTTCTGCCAGTCGCCAGGAGCCTCGCTTGCCAGCCGTGTTTGGCCGTCATCAGGTGCCGCGTCAATGGCGTTCCATTGATATGTAAACGAGTGAAAAAGAAGGAGACTTCGGAGGAACACCATGGCAGCACCACCAACGGTTGCATCCCAAATACGGGTAACGAGTGGCTGAAGGAGGAACATTGTCGCGGCGAGGCTGTGATAGATACCTCGTAGTGGTAAATTTCATAGTTCTACAGGCGGCTGTAGATTGAATAGAGTTGTGCTTAGCGCAAGGACCTCGACCATTTTAAAATTGGCTGTTGTACGGGCCACAGCGCTAAGCGAGCTTCGGATGAAGGGGCCGAAGGGGAAAGGGGGTAGCCTAAACGCGAGCATACAAAATCAATCAACCCACCAATGCGATTGGCGTGTACAGAGAAGCTATAATAGCAATACAGACACTCGAAATGGATCTAAACTGCAAATGGGGCTCACAAAGTAGCTTAAGCTGTTGTCGTTTTGCGAGAAAAGAGGTAACACTGTGTGCCTGACAATCGCAATCTACCCCGCCAGTTTTTGCCGAAGCTAAACCACCCCCCGAAGCATCTTTCCTCCGAGTCGTGACTACATATATCTTCTCCAGTCTTTATGCACCATTCATTACATCGATCTCAGATAGAAAAGATGCATGTAAATAGAGACCTGAGCCAAGTCCGGTCTTGTAAGCAAGGTCTTTGAAGTTTCCATCCTTCAGAAATTCTGCACGCTCTGCATGCTCTACGCTTTACGCTTTACGCTTTACGCTCCCGCTCGCACGCCATGGACCGCACTTGCATTATAGGACGTTAACACACAAATAGCCCTTGAGCGATCTGCGAGGCATAGTACCGAGTACGATAGGACCATTCCTTACCTCTTAAACGCTCCCGCTGCCCCAAATATAAGTATTTCCGGCTAATTACGGACTGCCCTTTACGAGACGATAACGTCCAGGCCTTAACGTGCCGCAGTGGGTAGGCTATACAGACCCGCGGGGGGGGGGGGGGGGGGGGGGGGGGGGGGTGGTTGGGTTCTACGGGCTCAGGAGAGATCTCTGCAAGTAAGAGTGAGGCTTGGAAGGGCCTGTGGGAGGAGTAGAGAGTTCTATAGGTATAAGTAAAGAATTCAATAGTCTATAAAGAAAGAGGGAGAACTCTATAAGAGAGAGTAAGGCTTAAAAGGGCCTATTAGAGATAAGAGAGCTCTATGGCTGTAGGAGAAGTCACGTGATCTCGTTGAAAATAGTCTATATACTTTAATCCTAGTTTACAAATCAATAATATCTTTTATTAAAAACCTAATGAATGCCTTTTACTCACACGCTTTTATTCAATAACTATACGTCTGATTATTAGTTAATTCGGGCTGTGTATTAGAAGTTGTTGTGGCCTAAAAAAAGGGCGGTCGTTTTGCCATTATGAGGTCGGACCGCCTGCACTCTTGTTACCAGTACTTTCTTTGGACTTTTTAAGTTACCACCTCCGAACAACCCACCGTGCTGAAGCCTTGCATGCCTTTCCAGATATGACTTTACGTCTTCGTAGCAGTCGATTGTCCGGTTTCAGCTGAGCTTTGCGTGTTTTTGCACTTGCAGCAACCAGCGGGATGACTCGCGGTCTGAAGGGATCGATTCGACGAGAAGAGCTTTCAAACTATAATGGATTCTCTCTGGGCTATTTTGATTCCATCGAATTCTTTCTTCTGTCACTTTTGCCAGTATTGGACCATCTGCACCTCCGCTTCGGTGTTAAAGTGTACATCACGTGATTGTAACTTTCTCGCAACAAAAGAACTCTTGCCGGAACTCTTGGTATTTCCCAGGGCAAATCAGAATCTCAGATCCTTTAGAGTGATTTTATTTTCTTCTTTAAAGGGACACCGAGTCATTCCCGGGAGATCACGTTCATTTGAGCGAGTTGCGGCACAGCAACCCCTTTCCGCCCCTCACTACGGCGGGTATACTCGAAACGGTTGCCTAGATACCGACGATCATTTACATACAGTCATCCCTCTCCATCACCGACTTCAAACCAACCTCAATCAAGATCACTCTCAAGAGCCATCATGGCCTCATTTGAATACAGTGCGACCACAATTCAGGACCGCCTCGCAGCGGCAGCCTCCCAAAACATGCAACTTCTCAAGACGATCTCCGAGACCAGCTACGCCACCTCTGAGTATCAGCAAACCAACAAATTCATCGGGGATCTAAAGAAACAAATTTCTATTGAAGAGAAGAAGCTCAAAGACGTCAACCGTGCCGTGGACATCGAATATGCTCAGCACAAGAAATACCGGGATTCACATGTGAGGCGACTCGCATATAAGATCGGCGGCAAGAAAGACAAATTCGAAGCTGACGCCACCAAAGAGGAGAAAGAATGGTTGGATGCGGTTGCTATACAGCTTCAGACCAAAAAAGCCCTTGAGCACTTGAACGTCAAGCTTGCACAAATCACGAAGAAGAATGCAAATTTGATGGGCGTGATGCGCGTCCGAACCACTGCCGGTCTAGAGCTTGATGCCCTGTACAAGTCGATCTTTGATGGTCCAACACCTGAGATTCCCGAAGAAGATCAGAAAGAGAAGGAATGGTTGCAAGCGGAATTTAATTTCAACATGGCCGGAGTCATGCTCAACACCGAAAAACAGGCTGATGACATCCTCGTGGATGCTGACAAGTTCATGAACTTTGCTATCCGGGACATTATCTCAGCTCGCGAGGCTTCAGGCTATGACCTCTGGGGCGTTGGAGGTGTTTGGACGGAGATGTCTGAGAACAATTCTCTTGTCTCCTGTGAACAGAACGTTCGACAGGTTGAGATGCTCATCTTGCAGGCGCAGAGGATTCAACCGGCCGTGCGGAATATCGGCGATATGAGAGTCGCACAAATGAACTTCATGACGAATGTGGTTTTTGACAATATCTTCTCGGACCTGGATATGCGGGATCGGATCAAGCGGTCTCAGGCACAGTTGAAGATGGCTCAGGCAAATCTCACTGCTGAGCTGCAAGCGGCCAGGGAAAGAACAACGGCGGCACAGACCGAGGTGAATGGGGCTAAAGCTGTGCTGGATCAGAAGAGACTGGAGTTGCAGCACATTAGATTGGTAGCTTTGAAAAGTTGGTAAGCGAGCGCGGGATGGCTGATCGAGGAGCACCACCTCCTTACGTGATGGAAGGGCAGAAGGTTTAAAACGCTGGAAATGCTTCAAAGACGTTAATGGTTCTCCCTGCAGGTCCTCATATCTGTCTTCTCTTTAGGCCCGTCTTATATTTTGCTCGCTTTCTGTTTATGACAGCACCAAATTCCTATAGTTTGGTAGCGGGGCGTAAAGTAGCAAATATGACTTTGATGGTCATTTTTATCTCCTTTAAATCCTGTTATTTGCCTACAGTTACATGGAGAGTCTTTGATTAATACGAGCTCACATAGTACCCAGGATTATGAGCCAGCTTCTCGCGGTACTTCTCTAGCACCTCACTCTTCGAACCAAAATCAACATCCGCAGATGAAATCTTCTTATGATCCACCTCACTAACCCACTCAGCATTAAATTCCAACTCCCAACTCTCAACCATATCCTTGACATCAAGCGGCAACTTGACCTTGGATCTTCCCTGGAACCATGCAGGCTGAACCACGAACGCAAGCATCACCCTCGGCTCGTCAGTCTTATTAGGCATTCCCGCATGCCAAAACCTCAAATCCCTGATCACCAGACTACCTTTTTTTGTACAGGCTTGAATAGGTGGAGAATGTTTCCTCCTCTCCTCAACAACCTCTTTCTTGATATGCAGCAACCCAGGCTCGTGTTCATCAACAGTACTAACATGATGACTGCCAACCCAGACCTCTGTTGCCCCATTCTCAAGACTCGTATCCACCAAGTTGATATTGATAACCATAGCGAATGGGAACATGGGGTGTTTAAACTCGCAATCAGAATGTACCGGCTGTCTTCCCGTGGCCCTTAGCGCTGTGTTCCCATTCGCGTAATGAAGCACTGGTCTCGGACCAAGCATCCCAGAAAGAATCGCTGCAGCGAATGGATTACACCACACATCTTTAAACATCAGTTCGCGAGTTGGAGGCGGAGCTTGATCCATATTTTGCGTCTCTTTGCCGAAGTTGAAGTAGTGAAACGGATCAGTTGCTATCTCGAGGGCTTCGGCCGATGTGATGGCACGTGCGTCACGTGGTAGCGCTGTGGTGTGGCGCTACTGCCACATTAGGTAGCTTCGTAGCAGTAGAATTGATCATCTTCTTTCTCCTCCTTCTTGTTATTCAACATGGTAGCAATGCCGATAAATCGGCTGTGAAAGCACGAATTTGACGTCTACTATCGTAGCACGATTGACCAGGAGATCAAGCGCTTCCGCCACGAATCACTGCGGCGCTATCGAACGTCCCTCGTAGTCCATATGTAACGACGCTCAATAGCACCACCACGAACCCCATTAATCAAGACACTTCAACGATCGAACCGAACTTCTCCTCGAAGCATAGGAACGAACGACCAGAAGCTATAATGTAGATAGCAAACCCACTACCGGTATCCTCTCCTATACCTAAAAAGCAAGGCAAGAACCGAATACGAGCTGCTAACGGGCAATATACGTTTAATCCCGATTCCTCTCCTATACTCAGTGACTTGGGTACTAGTAAAGTAATAACAAAGCTAATGGCCCCAAAACTCGATATTAACGCTATTCTCGAAATAGTAATAGCGCTAATAACGGTTCTAATCAAAAGTATAGCCGGCCCCTCCCACACGTCACTAATAAATCAAGAAGAATTACCCTAACTAATAGAACGTTACCATCGGACTATATCCGATATATATTAATATTATAGAACCACCTCAGATCTAACATTTCTATAATAAATTAATACCTTAGTATTTCCGGAATCACGACTAGTAGCCTTTGCCAAATAATAGCCATTGCTAATAGTAGAGTTATTAGTAGTATTACGGCCCTTACTATATTAGGAATTAATACCCTCGAGGCTTATAACTCTAAACCACTAAATACCCGAAAAGCAAGAGAAATACTAAGCTAGTAAGGAAACCAATATCTATAATACTAGTTCTAAGGTATTACTATAATATACTTTACTCTATAGACTATAATATACCTCTACTATTCCAGATATCTTAGCTAGAAGAACCTCGGGTTAATAGAATACTCTTTGCTTCTAATTATTTATTTTAAGATACCTTTTTTTCCGTAATATTAGAGGTAATAATAGCAGACTATTTCCCAGACTATAATACTTCTTTATAAATATTAATAATATAATATTCCTAATATTATTATAAAATCCATTATAATTATTATCTAGTACCGAGATCTAATACTTTAAGATATAATAGAAGAAGGATACTATAATAATTATAGAAATTAGTAAAGAACTTAATAATAATAGCTTTCTATATCTCGGAAATATTCTAATAACGGGAAATATTACTATAGCCAAGACATTTCTATGGGTTATAGATAGTAATACCCGATAATAGCTAAGAGCAAAGGCCTTAGAGACTATTTATAACCAGAATATATTAATATTAGAAGTAGTAGTCTTTACTTGCTTCCTAAAATAATTCCGGAAAGGATCTCCTAAAAATAAGGCTATTAATACCGTATTAGAGATCTCTTATTATAGTAGAGAGAATACCGGATAAAAAGAATAATAATTTAGAGCTATATCCCGAATTTCCTAAATATTATATAATAGTAAATAATAGAATACCAGAGGTTAAGGCAAGACTAGCTTTTAATTATATAATATTAGTAATATACTTCCGGATAATAATAATAATAAAGATTTCTCGAATAATAAATATAATTATTACTATTATTTTAAGAAATTTAAATACTATAAGAAGTAATACTAGACTAGGACTATTACCCAAAATTGCTAATATTCTAGTAAGAATAAAGAATACTAGAATAATTATAAAGTACTATTTTATAGAGTTAAAAAACTAAGAATTAATAAAGTTAGTATCTTTAATAGTATACTAGATACCCTATTTACTATTATTTATAGTAAATACTTAATAATACTAGTAAATATATATAAAAATTACCTAGTTCTTATTATCTTACTATTATATATAAAGAATAAGGTAATAACCTAGTTTAATAGACTAGAAAATAAAGTTATTATTCTTATAATAAAATTAATTAAAAAGTAAAAGATTTAGCTAATATAATACTTCTATACTAACTCTTTCTAGGCCTTAGTAAAAGCAGATAATATATAATACTACTTTAATAATAAAACAAAGATAAATATTAAAGAATATATCTCTAGGAAATATAAATTATATAGAGAAGCTAGTAAGACAAATTAAGATAATATTATTTACTATATCTATAATAGCCTAGACTCTATTCTTATAATAGTAATATTTCTTTAAGAAATAAATAATATAATAAATAACTTTTAAGCTAAAGTATATACTATAAAATACTAGGTAAGATAGTAATTTAAATAACTCTAAATATACCTTAATATTATTAAAAAACAGAACTAAGATATGAGAAAACTTATTAAATAGTCCTAAGTTTAGTATATTATTCCGATAAGTAATTTTTAATAAAATATATATTACTTTAATAATAATTATTTTAGTAAGTTTAGTTATAATAAGCTAGAGAAACCCTTAAAAATATTATTTAAGGAAATTACAGAAAAAGTAAAAATAATTCTATTTATATACTACTTATTAGAGATTAAATAAATAGATAATATCCTATAAAACTAGTTAGAAATAAGTAATACTTCTTTAGTAAGCTCTTTCTAATATTAATATAATAGATATAAAAATAACTAGAGTAATAACGGAAATAACTAGAATAATAACGGAAATAACTAGAATAATAATAGTAATAACTAGAATAATAATAGTAATAGCTAGTACTTCTATAATAATTACTAGAATAATAATAATAATAGAAACGGATTTATATTTTAATAAGTTCATACCTTTATTATTAATATAAATAATAGAGAGAAGAAATATATTATAGTTAATTAGGATACTTATAAATAATATTAGAATAAGTATTATACTAATACTTTTATTATTAGAATAAACTAAGATACTAATAATAAAATTACTCCTAATTCTTTATTATTCGGGGAGAAAAGAAATTTCTAAGCAGGTTACTAGGATAAAAGCCGAGCCCGCCTTTCTAGTATCTTTTATTACTACTAATATTAATAACTACTTTGCTTTTTAGTACTTTTATATACTTAGTAATAATAAGAATTAAGGAAATATATTTAGAAATAGAAAGCAAACTAAAGGTTAGCCATATTACAAAAATATAATATATCCCGGCTTTACTAGTTCCTATACTAATAAATTAAATTATTATTACTAATCTTATAATATTATCCAGATCTATACTAATAAAAACTAATATAGTAATATATAATAACCTATAAGACCTTAATAACTCTAATAACGAGATACTCGTTATATTAATAATATAACTAAAACCTCTAGCCAGGCTAATAACTAAATCAAGTATAGTATACTAGTTACTAATAGTTATAAACTCGGATAAAGATAATATTATTTATATTAAGGATAACTTACTAGAAAAAGCCAAAGAGCTACTACCGGATATTAATAGTAATATATTCTTACCTTATCTAGAAAGTTCAGAAACCAAATATATATTATAGGAAATAATACCTATTCCTGTTTCGGAATTAGAAAATAATAATAAGATAATAAAGCTTTTAAAATACTTTACTTTAAAAAGAAAGCAAAAAATATTAAAGAAAATAGTAATTTTTATTAATAAAGTATTATATGCTTTAAATATAAATACCCGAGATATTATATATATATTAGATAGCTAAACTCAGTTATTTTATCCTAATACCGGGTCTCCTATAATCCTAATTAATAGACTAATATTATAAAAGAAGTTTCCCTAGCTAGTAAAGATATTATTATTATAAGAGAACTAGTTATAATTAATAAAAGTAGGCTATAGCCCTATTATAAAAACCTTTATTAGCCTACTAGTATCTTGCTTTACTATAAATAAGTAAATAGTATATTTCCTACTAGAAATTAGCTATATAATTAACTATTTACTAGATAGAATCTTATTAGGAACGTGGTTTTTAAAAAAGTATTAACTTTATTTTAAATAGAAAAAGAAAAATAAAGCAAATTACTTTAAAGTCGGGAATACTAAAAACCTAATATTTATCTCTATACTAATATTTTCTAAAAAGAGGCAAATATACCGGGTTACTAGGGTTTACCTTACTAAAGTAGTTACTATAATACTAGAAATAGGAATTAATTTTCTAGTATAATATAAAGTATTTCTATTATAAAAAATAGAATACCTATTATAGCTAGTTATATAAAGAAATAAGGTAATCTATTACTTTAGCTTTATAGTTAATAGTATAACTAATAGAATACCTTAACTAATACTATATACTAACTTTAGTAATATTCTAATTTATTTACTAAAAAATACTTATATTAGAATATTAGTAAAATATTTAGACCTTAATAGTAAAGAAATAAAGGTTCTTATAAACCTAGCAGAAGTTTTTAATAGTAATAATACCAAGTTTCTTCTAATATTATATAGAGAGCCTATTTAGTAACTACTTATAATAATTTATTCTTATATATATTAATAATATTATTATATTTTCTAGAATAATTAAATAATACTTATATAACCTGAGTATAGTACTCTTACTATTTAAGAAGTCCGGTATTATGCTTTCTATTACTAAATACTACTTCCTATAGCTAAGTATATAGATATTAGGTTATAAGATATTAAGACTTAGGCTTAGTATCCTAGAAAACAAGATTAAAGTAATTAAAACATAGAACTTCCCAGAGAATTTAGTATAGCTAGAGACTATTATTAGCTTTTTCGAATACTATTATAAATTTATTAATTATTATACCAAGATTACGGAATTATTTATAGAATTAAAAATAGCAGACTTTAGGAATAGACTAAAGAAAGGCAGGAAAAGAGTTAATTTTACTAAAGTAATACTAATATTCTTATCTTTATATATTACTATTTAGCCAGAAAGTAAGAAAAAGAAAAAGAAAGTTCTATTAGTAAAAAGTAAGCCTAATAATAACTTTATAAACTATTACTATAAAGCCTTTAAGACTATATAGAATATACTATATAAAGTACTAATATTAGTATTTTCTGACTTTATAAAACCTTTTATTCTTTATATTAATAATAGCTTAGAATATAGATTTGAAATAGCTATATACTAAATTAATAATAATAATAAAGAGAAACCCGTTTTTTACTTATCTAAAATATTAATACTAGTAGAAGCAAATTACTAGCCACCTAAACTTAAAATAACAGGTCTAGTTTAGATACTAAAAAAGCTACTATATTACCTTAATAATAACTAGTTTATTATATATATAGATTATTAAGCTATAGTAAATACTTTTAAGGATAGGGGGCCTTTAAATAGAAAAAATAACTGCTTAATAAACTAGAAGCTATTTCTGATATAATATACTAAGAATATAGAAATATATTATAAAACAAGAAAAATATATTAGAATATAAATACTTTATCTCAGGTTAAAATAGTAATAAATAACTCATATTCTAAAGAAATTAATACCCTATTCCAAATACTATATAAATTAAAGTAAGGTAATATAATAATACTTATAGTTTATTATACTATAATATGGAAAGTAAATTACTATATATATTATTACCTTCTAGTATAAATAAGGTTAGTAATAAATATAACTACCGAGGCTATAGCTATATTACTATTAATATTCCCGGAATATAATAGTATAAATTCGGTTTTAATAGTAAATAAAACATATACTATAGCTTTATATCTTAATAAATAGTTTATAGCCGCTATTATTCGTAAATACTTAAGAAATAAGAGCTTTAGTAAACTATATCGGAATATACTCTAATATTTATAGAACTTACTAAAGGTAAAATAACTAATAATATTTAAGTCTTTTTATTTTAATACTAAAACGAAATTATTATTCTTTTATAAAGATAATAAAAATAAGAAATTATATATACCTAATAAATTTATTAAAGCTATACTTAAGATAGCTTATAATAATAGGATATATATTAGATTAAATAGAACCTATAACTATTTATAGAAATATATTTTTATCTTATAACTAGTAAAATAAAATAAGATATATATAATATATTATCTCATTTATAGGGCTATAAAACCGGACTAATATATATCCAAGAAATTACTTAAGCCTATTTTACTACTAGTAAAATAACTAGCTATATTCTATATTAATCTAGTAATAAATTTATTATAATTAAAATAAGGCTATAATATAATACTACCTATAATAAACTAATTAACTAAATAAGTATAAGTTTTAAGAGACTATAAAGATTAATTAGCCGAGAACTAGGCTAGAGAATACTATAAATAGATATATAAAAAAGTAGACTTACTAGAAAGAATTATATCTAACCGAGATAATAGATTCTTCTTAGCCTTTTAATAAGAGATTTATAATATAGTAAATATTAAGCTTGCTTTTATAATAGTATATAATATAAAAGCAAATAGCTAGTCTAAGTAAACTAACTAGACTATTATTTATACCTTATACTATATAATTACTAGTAAATTTAACTAGTTAAACTAGGAGAATCTATTACTAATACTTATATATATTTTAAATACCTTAATTAATATCTTTATAAGATTCTTATTATATAAATTTTATTATACTAAATAACTACTATTTCCTTTTTTTATATAAGTAATATAGTTATTATTACTTATAAAGCAGAATACTAAAGACTTTATAAAAGCCTATAAACTCCTATTTAAAAATACTAGATAAGTACTAGCTCTTACTTAGGTATAGATAAAGTAATACTATAATAATAGAAAAAGAGATATCTAGTTTTAAGAAAATAATAAAATATAGCTTAAGCTAGTAAAAGAAATTAAAATAGAATATTATTTACTAAAAAACTAGATAAAACTATTTTTTAAAAAAATAGGGCTATATATAATTAAATATATTATCTTACTATTATTATATAAGATAATACTATTAGATTAGCTTAAGATATATCTAGTTATAGCTATTAAATATCTAGAGAAAAAGGAAAGTAATTTATACTAGAGAAAATTACTAGAACTAGGCCTAATTTAATAGGATAAATATAATAAATATATTATTAATAAGATTATATAAAAAGAAATAAGAAGTAAAATAAAATAACGAGATAGGTATTCTTAGTATCTAGTCTATTATTATAGTTATAATAAAAAGAAATAGTAAGATAATTTAATCTTATAATAAGATATTCTATAACTTATATAGAAGTTCAAATAAGCCTTTTTATTAGATAGCTAGGGATACTAAGTATAGTAATAAATGAAATTTTAATATATAATATTATTATTATAAGTTTTATTTTCCGTTAGTATTAAATAGAGGTATTTTCCTTTAATACTAGATAATGAAATATTTTTTACTATATTTATTATATAATTATAATATTTTTTATTTATATTATATTTTTTTAATTATAATAATAATAGCCTTATATTACTATATTTTGCTTTTATACTAATAGTATATACGAGCTAAATATAGTTATAGTTATAATAGAAATATAGAAGTATAAAGTAAAGAAAGTTATAGAAATAATAATAAAAAAAGCAAGAATAACTCTAACTATTTTAAAAACCATTATTATAGCTATAATTAAACTTTTCTTAATTCCCAAAAAGTTTATTACTCTATAATAATATACTCGTGAAATATAATTAGCTAGAATAAGTATTAGAAAAAGATATAAGAATAGTAATCTAGAAAATATTAAATAGGATATTTTAGTATATAAGAAAATCTTTTAGGATAATATATAAAATACGAATTTAAGAATAAATAGATACTATTTATATAGTATTAACTAGGTTACTATAGTTTATTATAGTAGTTCTAGTATTAATTACTATAGTAATAAATACTTTTCCTATATTATTAATAACTTAACTTTTAATACTAAAGCTAACCTATTATAGGTTAGTAAGAGTAATAACTATAGGCCTATTAATATAAGAGTATATAATAATTACCTAGAAGCTATATAATTTATTTTTACTATTATATATAATATTAATTTATTTATATTTTTATTCTTTAATATAGCTCCGGATAAATACTTATATCCTAATTATATTTACTATAGAATAATATATATATTATAAGTATATATTTATAACTATTCTTATAATAATATTATGGGCCTAGATAAATATATTAGTTATATTTACTATAGTAATAATAATTCGAATATTATCTTTCTTAGTAAAGAAAGCTTTAGTAAGGTATTAGTTACTAATAAGAAATAGGCAAATTTCTATTATTATTTTATTAATATTATTATAGGCCTTAATAGTAATAACTCTTTAGTTATAGTATATTTAGAAAAATAATATTATTAAGCGGAATTTATAAAAAGTAAGAAATTCTTCTAGCTATTAGGTATAATAAGCTCTTTTATAATAGCTATAAGTTTACTATACTAATAACTCGAGTTTCTATAATAAGATAGTAATTATATACTAGATAAATAAAGTAGAAATACTATTTTAGTAATAGTACTTACCCGAGATTATAATATAAATATTTCTATATTTAAAATATTTAGCTATACTATATTCTTTACTATAGCTAGCTAAGTAATATATAAAATAGGAGCAAAATAGGAAAAAATAGTATTAATAGTTTAGAAAGAACTTATCTAGTAAATAAACTAAATTATTAATACCTTAGTAGGCTTCTATACTACTAATACTATAACCTACTAACTAATATTATTTTTTATAGCAGATCTAGAAATCTAGCTAGTTAAGCTATAATATGACTTAGTAGATTATATTACCTTAGAGAAGCGTTTTAGGCTTAATATAAGTCATATTATAACTAGTATTTCTATAGGCTTATATATTCTCTATATATTATTAGAATATATTTTATTATAAAATAATAAATAGGTAATCTTACTTATTATTATAGTAATCTAAATAATAACTAGCTCTCTAATAATACTAGTTATTTAAAAGCGAATAGACTAGATAATAGCTATTAATACTTCTAATAATAATACTATATAAAACTAACTACCTATTATATCTAATAAATAGTATACTATTTCCTTTATTACGGAATATGGCGAGTAATTGGACTATTTAATCCAGAATACCTTAGCTAGAACAAGATTACTAGATACTCTAATAAAGAGAATTAGTTTTAGTAGCCCAAAGCTATTAGGGTTACTAGAAGAACTTTAGTATGCTTCTTTATATACTAAATAATAAGCTAACAAGAGTAGTAATAACTTTGGAAGTAATTAAAGTAATATTACTAGCGAAAATTATACTAGTAGTAATAACTAATATCCCGCTAGCTAATACTAGAAGCATATATATTTACTAAATAACCCCAAATAATAAGCTACTATTAGAGCGATATATAAGGAATTCTCCGTTAGTTATAAGAACTTAAAGAGTAATACCAAGATTATTCTAGAGGTATATATTAATGGCAAGTAGCTTGGCTTATTAGAACTTGGGAGAAAGCATAGTATTATAGTTATAGTTAAGAGTAAGAAGAATGGGAAGTAGATATTATAATAGAGGCAGATTATGGCAAAGTAGGTTATAGCTTTATGAAAGTTTTTGTACAGATAATTATTTCTTTTTTTCTTTTTTTCCTTATTATTATTTTACTACGAAGCTTCTGCTACAGGAGTAGTATTTTTTCCTCTTTGGCGGGGGGAGATGTAATGGCACGTGCGTCACGTGGTAGCGCTGTGGTGTGGCGCTACTGCCACATTAGGTAGCTTCGTAGCAGTAGAATTAATCATCTTCTTTCTCCTCCTTCTTGTTATTCAACAGCCGAGAGGATGGCGTTCAGGGTGTCAAGGTGGGCTGTGTCGATCGCGTTCTCGAGGACAACGATCCCATCGCAATGGAGGAAGGCAATTGCTTCTAATATGAGTTCGTTGGTTGCGAGTCCGGCTTGGCGGATGGACTCGGGGATGTGGATTGTGTGGATTGCTCGCTCGTGGTTGTGAGTTCTGGGGGGACTCTTTTCTATGGGCAATTCCTGGATGGGATTTTGAAAGCTGTCTTGTGACATGTTTGAACCGGGAAATGCCCAAACACGGAACTGTTGCAAGAGAATGGGTTGTTATACTGAAGAACGAATGGTATGGGCTCCGCCGACCCCACTCTCAGTGGATGCGGGGTAAAATGATCTTCAGGTTCGCCGAGATCTCCGATGAGGCGACAAGCCTCGAACTGAGAGGGAAGGGAGGCTTGCCAGTGATGAATCAAATCAAATCAAATTCAGGGGAGGAACGAGGCGAAGTTGGCGTTGGAGGCAGTGGAAAGGGGGGCTTTAGCGAGCGCTCGCTCTCTCAGTTAAGCCACATTCTTACCCTGAACCCTCGTTGACATTCAGAAACGCATTATATTATGTGTATAAGTTCCACCTGTCTCCATCCTGATATCATATACCCGCAGCAGCAACCATAAACCCCATTCCTACCCTCAAACCCGCCTCCCGACCTCCCGTCCCAACTGCTCTCGTTCCCGAGCCTTTGACTGGCGACGGTGTGGTGACCAACGTACTCGAAGTTTGACTAGCCCTGGCACTCGTAGTAGAGCTCTTCGCCACATTGCCTGTACTTCCCACTACTGCCGTCGCATTTGTCGAAGGCTTCACTATCATCCCCTTACTTATCACCTCTTGGATCCCCGAGAACCAGACATTAGCCATCTTTACGTACCCTGCGTCGTTTGAGTGTCGGCCATCTGCGAGATCGGTTACGAGGGGCCCGGCGAGGCTACGCATATCGACTAGAATTAGCTTCGCGCCGATAGATTGAATTTTGTTTGCTAGTGCGGTGTACTGTTCGTTTACTGTAACACGACATGCATCTTGTGCTGCAGCGGGGTTGACAAGAATCGTTGTTAGGATCACGGTTGCTCCGGGGCTCTGCTGGAAGATGTTGTTGATTAAACTCGTGACATTGGCTCCTGCATCCGGTACCGTTCCACCCTGGTTGCAATTGTTCGTGCCGGCATCGAGGAGGACAAGATTGGGTTTTAGTTGTGGGACCTGTGAAGAGATATGTGTTAGCGGAGTAAACCAAAGTAAACCCATCATATCCTGGTAGTAGGTACATTCTTGGATTCAGACTTACGGCAGTGTTTGCCAGCGCTGAAATTTGTGAGATGACAAAACCAGAGACGGCTTCAACAGCATTATCCGTGAAGTTTCCATTCTTATTCGTCCCAACATAGGTGACGGTATTCCCATTCGCTAAGAGTAGGTCCTCCAGGTCCTTTCGGTAGCTGTCTCCTGTTGTTGATCCAACTCCAAATGTGACCGACGCCCCCAACGGCATTATTCGAAAGGGAACCAGACTGCTGTTACTTGCAGCGACTTCTGAGCCATGAAGAAACGCAAACCATGCCAGCACGGCAAAAATATGGGAAAATGAAGCCATATTAACATACTAAATAAAAAACGAAGTTGTCACAAGAAGAGGAAAGAGAGGTCTGATCGCCAGGTGCCAAGAAGTTCACCAGATTCAAAAGTGGAGCCTGAACGGGTAGGATATTACTTATTGAGCGTGATCGACTGGTGCTCGCTCGCAACCTCTTCTGAGACGGCGAGAGACTAACCTGGTTTCATCTTACAGCAGCAGCCTCGCATGAGTAGCTGAAACGGGGTGACACGTGGCATTTAGACGGGGTTTGCTGTGAATTATCGAGTGTCGGATTCGAGTTCGATGCTCCGGTTGGAAAACTTCCCGCTGGGATCAATGCGGAACAGAACCCACGGGCCGTGAGCAGTCGAGAGGTCCCCGAGAGATTCCATGATATTGTCCGGAACCAGACGGGAGTTCCTCGACAGTGACATGCTGCCTTCGGTCCACAAGAAGCTGCAAGACGAGTATCTCCAGGCTCTCAGCGAAGTATATCCTCAAATACGAAACTGAAGTTGTCTTCGCGCCGAGCGTGGGGCGGGTGGTGGTCAGGTGGATGAGAGCTCGACGTGATTGGAAGATAAGCGAGCCAACTAAAGTGCGGGGTAGCGGGGTAAACTCACCTGACATCTCAGCATCTCAGTCAACCTCCTTTCCTGTCAGCAAAGTACTCCATTGACCCTAAAACCTACAAGAACTCCAATACGATCCGCCCAACGACCCATTGAGGCCACATATCAACATGCCGAAGGTCACCCATGTCACTTACAACCAAGGCCTCCCGTCTAAACACCTCCACCTCGGAAACCTTGTCCACGATTTCCAAAAGCCAGATACCCTCGAACCATACATCGAAAAGTCGTACACCGAGTAGGTATATTGGCAAGAACTATTTGGCTTATGGCTGATCCATATCAGCATTGCGGAAGCTCCCCCAGCATGGGCAGAGTCGAGACCACTCGAGAACTTCGCATTGACCTTGGGAGAGGACGACGAAGCCGACGACTCTGAGGAGGAGGAAGGTCCGCGCTACCGTGTGGCAGCAGCAGCGAAGTCTGTCAAGCTTGATATTAAAGAGTATGTCTCCGACTCCGTTCTTGATCCCCACCTAACATTGATGTCAGTCCCGTCAAATTCTTCAACGAAGTCACCCTCAAGTCTGAAGATGCCAAAAAGTGGCTCGCCTCCCACCTCTCCGCAGCCGAAGACCTGCAGCCAAAACCCAAGCCGCAGATATGGATGTTGACAGGTTTGATCTTGATGACACACGCTACATGGACCCGCCTCTCGAGCAAGCAGAAGTTCACCCCTGGTCTTCCTGCTCCATTCGATCCTACTGGCGTCACCGCCATCCGCCGATCTTCGGTCAGCGAGCATGTGAAGCCTGTGTTTGGGTATGAGGAGAGCGAAGATAATAAACTCGTTCCAGGTGGTGCGGTCATACATGAGACAGGGAAATATCCTGGCACAAGAGGATGGGCTGCACAATGGGAGTTGGTTGATGCGCACGTTCTGCCAGCCGACAAGGGGAAGGGGGGAAATAATGAACTTGCATTGCACGTCCCTGGCCAAGGTGCAAAGATTGCAGCGGTTGATCTAAAGGCAGGGGAATATGCGACGAATGGAGATGAGGGAGTTGTTGATGATGAGGAGTACTGGGAGAAGTTTTTGGATGTTGTTGAGGAATATGAGTAAGTGCTCATACCGTCACAAGCTCTCGCCGAGAATCTTTTGGGCCTTGATAACGGAGGTGTAGCAGTGCGCAGGCTCCCTCGCCATTAAGTGGGTTTTCGCAAGTGAAATGGTAAGAATCGGAAATCGGAGCTCGGCCTTTTGAGAAATGAAATCACCCAAACATATCTATTGCCCTCTAGCCAGCATTTTCATTTTCATTTGATGTTTGCTCACGAAGTGAGGCCGTTGATTTAAAAAAAAATTCGGTCAGTCGCCGAAAAATCAGATTGGAATTTGGTCTTTCTGTGGTCTACTACTTCTCACTTCAGATACGCCTCAACAACACCATAATGTGTCCCCGCTAACCCATGCGTCTTCTCAAGTCTCAATCCAGCCGCAGTCAGTAATCCGGCCCACTGCTCCTCCGTCCTCTCCCTCCCCGTGAAAGACATCATCGTGAGATCCATCCACGCGCCCTCAACATCGACCCCGGTGGTCGGGAGCGCAATCTCCGCAATCAAGAGCCTCGATTTCTCTGTCATTGAGCAAGAGATGTTTTTCAAGATCTCGATGCACTTGGCGTCGTTCCAGTCATGGAGGCAGCGGCGGATGTAGTATATTGAGGCCCCTACCCCAGTCAGCCACAACAAGCACAATTTTGAAATTTTTGATTCGAATTGGACTTACCTTTCACCGGATTCGGCGTAAAGAAATCATGCCCCATCTTCTCAATGCCCGCCCCAAGATCTTCCTTGATATCATCCAGCACTTCTGGCCTGTCCTGCAGAATTACCTTTCCTTTAACGTCACCAATCAAGCCCTTGATCTGCATCGTAGCATGGCCCAATCCCCCGCCTACATCAACGACTAGCATGCTCGCCTCAGTAGTTTCTAATTTAGAAAGTTCAGAGTGGAACGGAAAGATGGAAATGGCGAACGAAGTCGCGAGGCCCTGCGCGTTCATTGCGGCGTTCCAATCAGCGAAATATACTGGGTCTAGCTTTACGTGCTCCCACATCGTGAGACCATTGGTGCGGTGGGTGAATGTGTAGGGGTTGTTGTGTTCATCTTGAGGGGACTTCCAGCCGTTAGATTTGAAGAATTCTGAGAGCTGGTTGAACACGGGCGTGTATTCGCCGAGCCTGGAGATATCAGCGTCATTCGAAGCTCAGCAAGAGGGCCGTACATCAGTTTGAATGCCCCTCGAATTCCAGGATGCAGGTACACCATCGAGTACGGGGTATGGGCATATTCATGTGGTTTGGGCTCCGCAAATAGCTCAGGAATGGCAACTCGCATTAATCGAACTGCAGAAGTTAGATCCGCTGCAAGTCTTTAATGCACGAAATATTGTACCAAGCAGATCCTTCTCGACATCCAACTTCTCAGCCAACACATCAGCAGATAATGATGACCCATCAAGCGGCAGTGCTTCGAAGATCCCCATCTCTACCAGCGCTCGAACTGCACCTGTGTATGCTACCTATTCGCTTGTCAATCTCGAAATTCATACCCACACTCCTCATCTCAACCGGAGAGCAGAGACATACAGCTTCAATCTGCGCAAAAACCATATCAACCGGCCCCCGCGCGCTCCGATTCAGATTTCGAACACTCGCGATTAAATTCGTATGCGTGCTGCTGACCTTCCCGATAGATTCGAGATCCGTGCCACTACCATTCTCGATCGCTGAGGCGTAAAGCCTTAGGTCTTTCTGAGCATCTTCGAGAGATTTGGTGATGGCAGCTATCTGCTGAGCTGCTGCTTCTTTGTCCATGCTTTGTATTTGGGATACCAGGCATGCAACTCGTTATTCACCAAGGAAATAAGTCCCTGAATATGTTGCATCAACTGCAGATCAATCTGATTCGCAGAATCGCAGTCGGAAATCTGCGAGCGGTGACACGACATGAGCCCGAGGAAATGGGTCATTACTTATGACTGGGGTTTGCTTTGCTCCGCATTCAGCCGGGCGATGGGCCGATTGCCGACTTCAACTGCAGCCAACATGAATCGAGGGACTTCGTAGCGAACAGAGAGCGAGAGTGGAGCGCTGATAGGTTCTCGAGCGGTAATTCTTCAGCCCACGGCCGGGACACGTCGATAGCTTCCGCGTGCAGTACTACCCAAGTAGCTTCACACCACTTTTGAGGCGCTGACAGCGGGGCACCGTCCACTTTTGCTCTTCTCGACCCGTCCCTGCATACAATACCGGATGGAACTCGAGGAGCCTTCCCAAGGGGGAATAATTACCCCTTGAAGTTCTCCAGGGGCTTTTGGCGCCATTTGAATAAGTAAAGACTTGGGCATCGAAGATTAACGAACAAACCGTCCGGTGCGGGGTATAGGCAATTTCAATTTGAGGTTTCGGTGGGAAAAGACCACCCGGTCTGGTCCTCTGCATGGGGGAATCGGATGTACGAAAATGGATGGTGGCATTGCTCTTACGAGTCAAGTCTTCAGGGTTCCCATCTAAACCCCCAGGGGGTTGATGCAGGAAACTTGAGGTGGCTTTTGACGCCAAGCTCATGCTGCTACAGGGTTCAATGGGAGAGCACACAAAAGAAAAGCCACTTCCATCCTGCTCTAAAATTTTGAAATGTGCCCTTCCTTCTCTTAATACGGAATCTAGAATAATCCATCGACCTGAGTAGACCGTTGGCGAGAAAGTATAGTTTTCAGATTGCAGCAAAACACTACAATTCTGGTTCCAAATCTTTCCTGTTCTTGAACTCTTCCAGCGTCATCATCGCCTGTTATTAGACCCACACTGCTGATTTGGGATTCAATCCCTTCAGCATGTCGGCGCCGCAAGAAGTAGAACCCACTGCAACAACCGACCTCCTTCCCATACCTCAACCCCCAGCAGCACCAAGCACTCCGGTCAATCCCGTAAGTTCCGCACAGGAATTGTACCTTAACCAGTAACATAATCTTCGTAGCTTGCTGCTCATCCCCCCACGGCATCTAACGACTTACAATATGACGGCACGGAACAGGGTCAGGATAGTGACGAGGTAGACTCTGCATACGCAGGATCAATAATCCAGAGCGAGACATCTACCTTGGACTCGAGTATTTTGCAATACCGAGAGGAAAACGGAAGGACGTATCATGCGTATGGTAAACCTCGCTTCAATATTTCACATGTATAAAAACTGAACATCGCTTTCTAGGTTCCACTGAGCATTGGGTACTTCGTCCGGATAGAAGAGATGTGGACTATTGTTGACTGTGCGGTAGGGACCGAACGACGAGCAAGCTCAAGATCAGCAAGATTTAAGGTGAGGAAATATTCTTGTCGTTTCAGTTATTAATCAAGTCTCACATTTCCCAGTCACCATTTCTGGACCCTAGTTCTGGGAGGAGATCTGTATTCTGCTCCAATCAAAGACCCACAAGTATGAGACCCCAAAAATCGATGTTCATTATTGACAATATCCAGGACGTTCTTGACGTAGGAACAGGAACAGGTATCTGGGCCATGTATGTTTCTTCAATCCAACACTTCATCTGAGAAAGACGTCGCGCATTGCTAAAATCTTCTCGGACAACAGAGACGTTGCGGACATGATACCGGAGGCTGTGGTGAAAGGCATCGATCTTTCCCCAATCCAACCCGCGTGGATTCCACCTAACCTCAAGTTTGAGATTGACGACTACAATAAAGATTGGGTCGACACCAACCGCTACGATCTCATCCACAGCCGTGAGATCCTTGGCACTGTTCCCGACTGGGTAGCATTTTACAAGAAAGCATTTAAGTAAATCCCTCACTCAAGCCTCTTGTGCTCAAAGCTAAACGGCCAGCGCCCTTCGACCAGGCGGATGGATGGATTCCACGGAACCAACAATTTACCTACAAAGCATCCACACACCGCTCGAGAAAGACCATCCATTCGTGATGTGGCCTACGCTATTTAATGAAATCGGGCAGAAGACAGGGATTACATTTGACGTAGCACCCAACATGAAGAAATGGATGGAAGAGGCGGGGTTTGTGAATGTTGAGGAGAAGATCCTGAGGGTCGCGGTAGGGAAGTGGCCGAAAGACCGGAAGCAGAAGGAGTTAGGGGTTTGGAACCAGTTGAGACTTGATACGGGATTGAGAGATTTTACGGAGAGGAGAATGAGGAATGTTTTGAATGTGAGTTGATGGCTTGTCAAATGATGAGTGCGTTTGATGATTAATGATTTTATAGTGGGAGAATGACGAGATCTTGGTGCTTGTTGCTAAGTGTAGGTCTGCGGTCAGCAATTCAAAGGAGGGCCTATACATTGATTTGTAAGTTTTGTTTTTCTGTGTAAGAATGTGGCGTCAGACTAATGGCATCCAGATATCACGTTTACGGACAGAAGCCTGAAGAGAAAAAAGCATGAAACGAGCATGTAGTAAAAAATTAAAAAAATGACATTGGCGATGCAGAATTTCTGCTAAAAATATATTAGGTGAGAAACTTACAGGAAATGAAACTCGAACAGGTATGACACAAAACCTGTAAGTTGCCTCGCAGTGAGCCTTGGTCTTTTGAAAGGAGGGTTATTTCGTCGGAGGGGGTTTCGCATTTCAATCGCCAAGCACAGTGAATAAGTAAATTTCGATGTCTGCTTCAGCAAGTGCCGTGAACCAGCAGCCCAAAATCTCTATTACTCACTTTAGTTTATATTCCCAACTACTTAAGAAGACCTTCCGCACATGTTGTCCGTTCTTCGGCCGTGTGTCTCCTCATTAATTTTCTTGGAACTATGAATTATGCTAGTAGGAACCTGACAAGTGAAGGAGTCGAGGGGATACGCCAAGAAAGAGCCCCTTAGTTAGTACGCTATGGGATCACTTTGATTGCTTCTGGTCAGCGGGCATAGACGTAAATACCACCGTCAGAAGATTTGATTCACAAAGCTTATGCTTACCGCTCTTGAACTGGTTCCTCACCCTTCGCTGCCTCGGCTCATCGCGCCGCTGTGGTAATAAGATTCCGAAGGTCACCGCCCAGCCTGTGTACGAGACAAGCAGGACAGTGCTTTCTTACACTTTACAGGACTCTTCTCTCGTTCCCGAAGACACCGCCATATATGGAAAAGATACGCGAGATCTAATTTCAATATTCATAGCTCATGCATTGACCTTGGTTAGCGTACTGTCATTCTAACGCCAACCAATTGGGGTTGTTGACAAGATGTTCCGGTATCAAATAAGGCGTTTGCATGGTTCGGCGTAGACTTCGCCGTTTGGGTGCTGCCGTAGTGACACATAATGATCAGCCTAGTGATCTTTGCTGTCGCAGACAGGCGGTTAAGAAGTACGTCACACAATCGCCGCTTGGCCAGTTTCCATTTCTCTCTCCTGCTTAATCTGCGCTGGCTAGACTAGGTTCTTGGACCAACCTGCTGACATTCAGCTTCGATATCCTTATTACTGACTATGTAGTGGTACATGTACGGTACTTCAAAAATCACTGATCGGCCCTTGCACAACAAGTCTCGCGACCGAGATGCACCGAGTGAAGGCTCCTTGCGTCTCACATCAACCCGCGCATTAGTGTCCCTACAAAGAGTTAACTGGAGTATTAAAATTGCCCCCTCACCCCACGCTTCAATCCCTCAGTGGAATATAATAATGCCGCGGTCTCTGTCTTATTTTCTTGACTCTGTGACTCCACGCTCACCACTTTTTTGATACGTATGCATCGTGCACCATTCGAAATCAACCTTCTTTGTTCATCAAAATGCTAGACTCTAGCGCGTTCGAGACCTTTGCAGCGTCTCTGTTTATTCAAGTCGCCGTTTCACTTCTTTTCCTTGGATTTGTTGTAAAACGGTATTTCAGTTTACCTCCTACGCCCAAGTTTCCGAAAGCAGAGTTGGATGAAAATGACTGACGTAACTCGTTAATGAAAGCAAAATCAGAAGTGCGTTACCACACGAGGAAATCTTACCCCCTTATAAATCATGTCTATTCAATATCTTTGCATAATGCTAAAATGTTTGCAGTTTCAAAATGAGCCGTTCATGTTCGGGAGCCGATGGGAGCTTGCCATTTCCCCCAACTATCTGTTCAACGAATTTAAGGACCTACCTGATGCTTAACTGCCCTTTCGCCAGCAAGTTTACGAAACACTGAATAAAAAATACACGAGGCTTTGAAAGAACATCACTCCTCTCGCCGAGTCTGTCAAGGATGAGTGGACTATGAGCTTCAATATCACGCTCACTATATTGCAAGATTAAACACGACAGGCCGTCGAGGAAGGAATAGGGAACTGCCCTGACTGGAATCCCGTGAAAATATTCTAAAGCTGTTGCGGAACGTCGCTCTGGCACGCGGCCATACCTTTTGTTGGCTGCCCCCTGAGTCGTTCAAGTTGACTATCAACTACACTGTGGACTGCTCAAAGACGTCGGCAAGATCAAGCCCTGCTTGAGGTGCAGTAAGCGATAAGACTGTGAAGTGAAGGGGTGTCAAGAACACTTGTGCTCTTCTGCTCGTCTTCTGATGCTCTCAAAACTTTTTTAGCTTATAAATGGAACACCGTTTTGAGACCACGTCTAAAAATAGTCGCTTGCTCAGTATTCCGTCACTCGCGGAGCAGCGCTTAAAGATCTATCTTTGACGTTTTCTGCAAGCAAAGAAAAAGAGACGGCAAGCGCTACGAGATAAAGATTCTCTGCAAGCAAAGGAGGAGATACGCCGAAGTCTTCTCCGTATTGGGTATTGCGCAACGCCTGTGATTGGGGTCGGCAGCCCTGCGGCCCGACCCCAACTCCATAAAAATAGGACCTGTGGCGTGTCTCATTTTCTCGGCGTGGCGTTCAGCTCAACCTCTAGTGTACCAATTGTATCGCAAAATAAGTGCAAAGCTTCCCTATTAGACACACTAACCGCTCGCACCCTTGATTTCTTCGGCCAATACCCACGACGTGTCAGGGGCCATGCTTAAACGCATCGCCGCATGCTTCCACTAAAGGATTTAAGATCCTGGACTCTCAGAAAGCCACATTTGTTTGAGCGCCAGGTGCTGTTGAACGGGCAGCAAAGACCTCGCATGTGTTAAAAGGATGAGCTCCAGCAACAGCGGGAAAATCTTTGGCATTCGTGGTTTGTGACTGAACATATAGCCCATTCTGTGGACCGATGTGGGAGTCCATCGCAAATGTTTTGAACTGTTGGTGCCCATAGGGGCTACGATATCTCTGCTTCTTTCTCTTTCATTTTGGCTGATAAGTAGCAGCTCGTGGCGTGATGGGTGGCGCATTTCGAATCAACCACGGCTTGGTCCTCATTTTTCTGACGCTGAGCCTCCTGGTGTTGACTTGCCTGCAAGCCAGCGGAAGTATCTTGACGACGAACCTCACACTAGTCAACCAGTCCCGCGGGTACTCCATCTTTTTCCTCCGCACTTTCTCCGAATTAGCGGGCGTCTCATTGTCAGCCACGATCTCAACAACGCTGGAACGCATCAGATGGGCTATGATTTGCCGACAGGGTATAGCTAGCTCGAGATTTGTCGACTTCCTTGCTTTGCAGCACAGTACCACGCTGCTGGGTCTTCTATCTCTTGCCGCTGGGGCGGGGGTACCATCAATAAAGACACGCCTTTGGAGCGCCATAAGGTTACTACTCATGATTCTAGTCCCGGGGATCGGTATCTTAATTATGAGTATACTTTCTTCTCTCTCGTTCTCACCAAAATACTAAATATATAACAGGTCAGGTCGAAATTGGATTGGCCTTCTCCCCTGTATCATCGACGACCCGGTACTTTGGCTATGACAATTACCCAATGAACGCCTCTTCGGCCTTCGAATATATAGGCTTTACGGACCTTATTCTCTCAGGGAAGTCTGCCGGATTTCTTAGAGACCCGACTCGCTCCGTGGACTTGACTCCTGACAACGAGCGGGGTAAAGTCTGCGGCCTTAACGTCAATGCACAGGATTCGTCGGGTTGTAATCGTGCCTTCTTTGTAGCTGGGGATAATATGCTCGTCATGCCTGAGCTTGTTCGAGATGCAAGCTTTCCAGATGCAGACGTTATTCTCGCCAGCGACCATCGAGGATTCCTTCTTAATTTCAACGCGGGGAATTCGTCAATAGTTTTCAATTCAACCCGAGACTGCCGAACGTACTCTTCGCGATACTTGGGATTTCAAGCTGGAGCAATTCGCCTATGTGTGGGAAACTCTAGTCCTCACGAACTTGAAGCTCGTAAGTAACCGTGAATTTCTGTTCTTTAATCAGGGAATACTGAACTATCCAAGGTCTTGTTACATGCCCAGGCTCTATAGCTTCTACGTTGACGTGTCTTAACGACACTTCTTGGTACAATAATATAGACTGGACGGTTAAGATGTCGGTCATGTTCCAAAATTCACAAGTGGCCTACAGTAGAAGCAACGGAACTATCCTATGGCATTCCTTTACTAACACTTCACCTGTCCCTGTCGAAGTACTTTCTACGGATATTCTAAAAGCTTACGATGCTTTACTTCTTGACACTAGTACCCTGTTATTCAATGGCTCAAGCTCTGGCCATGTCCCTCTTTTCTCGTCCAGCTCATTCCCAACTCTCCTCTGGCTAGCCGAGCCGGAGTTCAGTGACCAAAATGCCATTAACCCCGCGACAAGTAATGCGATATACTCAACCCTGCAGTCACTACTTGCAGCACCAATGTACTACTGCCAAAGCGGGGTTGTAAGACGCCTGATTCCTGCCATCCTGGACGCGAAAACCATAAACGTCCCCGAACTTACCTACCTGTTCGGTTTGCTCAGCGCACCTCCTGAACGCAATAGTCCGGCATCTTTCGCCCACCATCGGTACGAAGTTAAAGTCAGCTTCGGAACACTCATTGCCTACATAGTCTTGAGCGGTACTGCCTTGTTCGCTTGCAGCATTGCTCACGCCGTCATAAACTTATCAAACTACGTCGGACATGGTCGTCGACTCCCGCGCCTCAGCCGATTTCCAACACTTGATTTATTTGCACATTGTACGATTGAGGATGAGAACCGATGTGTGATATATCAGGGGCGATCCGGGTTCTTTCCTACAGAGGACTCGCCAAATAGTTTGAAGAGATGGTTGTCGACTATCAGTATCAAGTGGTCTCAGCCGCACAATGTGGAGGACGGAGGGCTGCAGCTATTTGGCGACGAGTGCGTACAGGGTCACGGTGACTGGTCATCAATCAGCATGGGATCGATATCTCCGATTCCTAGTAGGTCAAAGCTCATGGGCTCGATGTCTCCTTATTCCAGTCGGACGAAGCTTTCTTTGTTCAGAAGTAATGACTAGCATAGCGAGGGTATTGAAATTTCAAACTTGTGCAATTCAAAGCTCGGCCATACAGATCATCTTTCTTTTAGAGAGTTTTGTTTGACTGGTCTTGGGCAAAGAGGGAAGATATGAGTCATATGGTATAATAATAAGCTGACCCCTTTTGGCCATCGGCGTGCCAGTGGAAAAGACTTGACACTTCTCGAGGAAGCGTCCAACATGGCTTCGGTGTCGGAAGCAACTCCGCCAGGAGATCGAAAAGGACGAGTGGAATTATCCTACGGAAAGTGAAGCACTTATTGTAAGAACCAGAGATCTGGCAACCAAATTGAGTCGAGCATCAATAGGGGTTCAAAATTCCAACTCTTAACTCACTCAGCCAGCAGCCAACCATAGCTTTGAATAGTGTTCCGCATGTGATCGGGAGGTGGGACGAGCCCCCCTATTTGCCGGCTCGGCGGGGTCAATTCAGGGGTAGCGCTAAGCGACTAGGGGCGGGATCTAGTTTAGCGACTCAGGGGATCGACGGAGATTGCAGCCACATCTTCGACCTCCATTCGTTCTTCCTCCTCCTCCTTCATCTCCGCGAAAAGCTACCAGGTCACCAGATGTGCTGCACTCCCTTGCGCGACGTATCTTTTGCGCCATCCCTTGTTACACTGGCCTTTTGTGGCTGAATCTCGAGTAACCTTATCAGCTTCTCGAGCGATGAACCGGATTGTTACCCAGAGAGAAGAGCTCGAACATTGGTGTGGTCTGGTAACAATCGGGCCTTTGTGCCCCAGATCAATCGAGCAGCGTATCGATAGTTCGAGCCATTTCATGGAGCGATGGTATCCTTTATGCAGCCAGCTTACAATCATTTCGAACTCCCTACTCCGTAGGCCGGGAAGCCTGATAGTGTGCCCACCGTTCCATTTTTCGTTGGTGTTACGATAGCCTCCTCTAGTTTTGGGACCGTTTTAAGTGTTTCAGCTGTCAAAGAGCACTTCTGCAATGTCATTCGCGGGGTCCAGTGAGCCTCATTCGGGACATTTATGAAGGGCAATGCCACCTGAAGATCGCAGCCAACAAGAGCCTGCATACCCCCTTTCACTCTTCCAGCACCCCGTTTATGCCGAGTTCCCGGCTCATCTCACTTAATGCAATGCCACGGTATATGCATGTCACGGCACGTTATCCCCTTGCAAAAGCCGGAGCATCGCAGTGATACAACGTATCAGGACTATTAAATGCAGCGAGACAACCGCAGGCAGGGAGTAAAAGCCAATGAAAAGCTCGTGTTGTTGACTTTCTAGTCCGTACCAGCCGGAACCCCCCTGTTGCGCTACATTTAATTCCCACAACACGTTGTATATCGGCCGTGCTAAGTCTGCTGCAGGCAAACATTGAGTGACCTAGCAGAACGTGTATGAAGCGCAACTTGTTCTGTCCCTGGACTTCTAGACCCCGAGCCAAAGGATCCTACTTGTCTGGAGCTCCCTCCGATATTAACGTCCGACCAATGGAATGTTACATCGGCGCCATCTCTTTTCATTGCTCACTTGATGTTCATGCTCTAAATGGGCTCAATCCGTGTCTTATATACCTCTAGTTCCCATCTAATGTAGGATCTTCAAGCCTAAAGACAGTGACGAATCTAGTCAACAACATCCATTTGAAAGTTTTCTCTTTTACGTTGCCAAGCGCCAAGTGCCAAGTATAGGATCTGAAGATCCTGCAAGGGACATCACCACCTGCAGCACATTCATTTTTCGATAGCATACACTCTTTTATCCGCTACCATGACGACTCTCGACGATATCCTCGCTCTCCAGAAAACCGACAATGTCCTTTACGCACCGGAGATCAAAGAACCTGTGACTGAGAGTCTGATTGTTGACAGCAGCGCTTCGATTGGCACTCTTAGCATCAGCCTCTACAATTCAACACAATCCTCGAAGGTGTACACATACATCACTGGGCTTGCAATTAACAACAACAGTGCACTATTTCTTCTTCAATCAGACGGAGCAACGGCATACTATCCCTCGAATCCCACCTCCAATGGAACTGCACTCTCAGCAAACTGTGCTATTGCACTTGGAGCTCCAGGCTCCACAAGGACGGTCACAATCCCATACATCGCTGGTGGCAGAATCTGGTTCTGCGTTGGCAGCACTTTGACATTTCTCCTCAACCCAGGAAATACCGGCGCTGGTCTCGTTGAACCGTCGGTCAGCAACCCCTCAGACCCAAACTACTTCTTGTCATGGGATTTCTGCGAGTTCACGTACAACAGCTTCCAACTCTATGCCAACATCAGCTACGTGGACTTCGTCTGCCTACCAATTGCTTTGACACTCACATCGACCACCGGAACAGTTAGCCACGTGAGCGGGATGCCATCAAACGGACTTGCGACCGTGTGCAGCAACCTCATTGTTCAGAATAACACCGACGGGGCAGGTTGGAGCCAGCTCGTCGTCACAAACAATGGATCAAACCTGCGAGCCCTTTCTCCGACCCAGGGGATTGTCTTCAACTCCTCCCTCTTCGAGAACTACTGGACAAGCTATATCAACCAAGTCTGGGCGAAATATGTCTCTAGCCCGATCTCTGTCAATACGCAAGCATCGTGGGGAACCATGACCGGCTACACATCCAACGATCGCACCTCTCTGACGTTCAGCAGTGTCGGCTCCTTCACAAAACCGTCTGCAGCCGACATCTTTGGAGCCAATACCGGCGCCTTCGCACCGCAAGTCGAGAACACAGCTCAACTCCTCAACATTGGCGCCCGCCTCGACGCGGCGTTCAACCGCAGCACACTGCTCATTGACGCCGATCAGCCAAATAATGAAGTCGTGAGTTCTTATTACCAAAACAATGTCACGAACCATTACGCGAGGATTGTGCATGCAGCTAATCTGGATGGGAGGGGATACTGCCATCCATATGATGATGTCACGCCAGATGGGGGTGTGGATCAGAGTGGGTTTGTCAGTGATGGAACGCCGGCGAGTTTTTTGGTTACTGTTGGAGGTGGGAATGCTCATGTGAAGAGAGAGGAGGGGCAGAAAATTGCACAGACAAAGAGGACGATGAAACGAAGTATGCCTTGGGAGGAGGATGTGAAGGTAGCAGTTGTGGAAGAGGATGTTGAGAGGGACTTGGAGAAGGGAGAGCATCCGAAGTTGCTGAACGAATTGCCTGCGCCCAGTGGAGGGTTCAAACTGCCTGCCTTCATTGAGCGATATCTGGCATCTTATCTTTCTGTAAGTAATTCTCAAAAGTGCCCTCAAAGAAAACAAATTATTGACTATCAGCAGAAACTTCAGTCCTCGCCTCTTTACATCAATCGACTTCTCCCAGTGATGGTACTCGTCCAGCAGCTCATGGTTTCCGTCCTCTCGATCTCAATTCGCCCCATTGTATCAAGAGTCTTTATCGTCGCATTCTTCATCGTCTTCTATTTCCTCGGTATTTTGCCTAGCGGATCTGAAGTGTCGACGCGGCGACGAATCTTGGAGTCTTCGATAGCTGCCGCGAGCGGCAACGGGACGGTTCTTCTACAGGGCAGTTGAGTGTTCCTTGATGACAGGTGGTGCATTTAAGATAGCTTAAATGATAATTAATCATTAAATTGATTGGAGTCTGGAGTTCAACTAAGAGAGGGGAGAAAATTGAGGCTATGTTACAGCAGGATTCAAGCCAGCTTGGAAGCTAGTGAGACAGTATTTTCCGGAGCAAAATCACATGAACTACCTCTATTAACCATCTGACACTTGAGACAGTTTCGTCTTAATGAACGGATGTTTTTGCATCCATGTATTATACAACTGTTGAAAACTGGTTGTTATTTTTCTTATATATCTTCAAAAGCTGTAATGGAGGATTAATCACAGCTCCTATTTGAGGTGTAGTGAGCCCACTTGCTAAAAGGGGTTGGAAAGCCTCGATTGTGTCCAGTACCCATCAAATGTTTCAAATCTCAGCCTGTATTGGGACAAAATCTCCCAATTTCCGAGTATATATACCAGATTTTCCGCGCCGAAAGTTCGATAGCATCGGATCAAAATTTGAGGGTATAATTTGTAAGCGCTTATATTGAAAAGAGATGGGTTGTTGTATTTTCGCCTCGGCTTCCGAGGAAAGTCGGGTTGTTCTAAATCCGTATTAACGAGTAAATCTCGAGTCTACTATCCCCCCCTCGGTTTAAAAGGCAGACTCACAGTGGCAAACAAAGGTGATCCAGCTAATTAGAGAGCTGGAATCTTCTCGAAAGCAAATCAGAGGAAGTCTTTCGGACCCGCACGCTAGCCTTTAAACCGGAGGGGGGAGGGTACGGCGTACAGTGTAGCTGGTTACGAGGTTAACCCGTGTGCTCCACCAGGTGAGATGACAGGGGTTCAAAGTAACCATTTTCAAAGTAACCAGGTGAGATTTTTGTCAGGCCTTAACTTTCCGTCTATATAGCACAGCGAATAGGATTCAGCTTTGATATGTTCTGTTCGCTGTGTATTAATTATATCTTTATAGTAAGTAACCAAAATACTGTTTTCTAACTGTATTAAAACCATTTCTAAAGTGTTCCCAAGCGGGGGGCTCCCACTGCCCCCCGGACCCCCGGCAAACCCTAACTAACCCGCACCCTAACCCCCTAACTAAAGCGTTTCTAAACTGTTTTTAAACTGTTATACTGTAAAAGCGTTATAGAACTGGTTCTATTTTGAGGTTGAATAGTCGATTTTCTTTAGGTCAAAAATCAGGCAGAAATAACCGGTGGGTCCTCATTCGTACCCCTGTAACTCACCCGGTGGAGCACACAGGTTAACCCAGTGCGCTGCTTACCGGAAAATCCCCACGGTTCCCACAAACGCTATTTTCTTCGATTTGCTATCACAGTGGTTACATTATCAGAGTCTGCCTAGGGCCGCAGGAAACCCCCCTTTTTTGTGTTGAGTTCCATTAGTTACTGGACTAAATGCAAGCAAGTCGGGAATGGATATTTGAACGAAGTACACGTTTGCGAATGGACTACGGATTTAGGAAAGTGCATGGCGTAATCGCCCCCCTGGACCTCTATAAAATGTCCCTTGCATGGATGAAGCTAGTCAAAAATTGGACCTGTTTACCCATCCGAATTCAACCGCAATCCGTATCTGGGATTTTAATCTTTCAATCAGCTCCCATTCTACAGTAAGACGACGCACATATGCAAAGGCGGCAGTATGTCCGGGTCGGCCGCTGCGAATTAACGAATGGTTTGTGAACACTCTTAGAACAGGGGTCTGAGACCCCTGAGACAGCGCTAAGTACTTCTTGGGAAGACCGTGCTGGCCGATGCTGCAGCCTTGCTGAAACTTCATAAGTCATCTTGAAATTAACATCATCCCTCAAAAGTCCCAGCCTCCAGCTTCACTTCGTCGCAGATCTTCCAAGATGGTTGGCTTTCAAGAGATTGTGGTGGCAGCACTGTCCTGTATAACCGCGCCAGTGAGTCTAATCTCACCCCTGAACAAATTCTGTGACTGGAACTGACTCACCGACAGATCATTCTTCTGTGTATCTATCGATTAACGCTCCACCCATACGCTAAGTATCCTGGACCTATTCTTGCAAAGTTGACGTCTCTCCGAGCTGTCCACTATGCGCACACCGGTAACATGCACCTGGACATTGAAAGATGTCACCAGAAATATGGTGAGACGTCTGCTCGTCAATGAATCGCTCCCGCTTACGTCCCCGCAGGTAAATTCGTTCGCTATCGACCAAATGCAATCATCGTAAACTCGCCAGATGGGTATCAAGGTATTCCTCTTCCACCCCGTTCATCATTCTGAGTATCCCTCTGATTTTAACAGATATTTACGGTAATGGGAAAAAAGTCAAGAAGGCCAGATCATACAAGGTCCATGGGATGACGAATCTCATCGGAATTCAAGACAAGAAAGAGTACACCAAACAAAAGAAGATAATGCAGCCAGGCTTCTCAGATTCTGCAAATCGAGAACACGAGCCAAAGCTGATCCGGGAAATCGACACGTTCATCGAGAAAATCTCAGAGAATGAAACGTCTGAGAAGGCTACTGATGGGTGGTCTAATCCTAAAAACATGACGCTATGGTGTATGTTTCTTACATTCATACGAAAAATATTCAATCTACTAAGATCATTAGGTAACTACCTCACTACCGATGTCGTCAGTAACGTCATCTTCACCACATCGTGGGACCTCCTCACGTCAACTACAAATCATGGCATCACAGAGACCTTCAAGACAATCGTCCGCCTCATTGGTGTTCTCCACCAATGGCCCATTCTCGACTACTACGAGCTTAGCACAATACTTTTCCTTCCGCATCTAGCATGGAGTCCTTCATCCCTGAGGAAGTTCTCGCTCTCTGTTGTAGCATGTAGATACGACATGGGCGAGAAAGATACGTCAATTAAAGACGTCTTTGGACTGTTCAGCTCGGCCAAAGATCCGGATACAGGAGAGTCGGCTCTGGCGCCTTTGGATGTGAGGAGAAACGCTGCGAATTTCATCATTGCCGGTAACTCTTCTCCTCTCTCCCGAGTTCTGAAGCTGACAGAAATTAAGGCTCCGATACAACCGCTAGCTCTATCGCAGCAACGTTCTTCTACTTGGCGCGTAACCCAACTGCATACTCCAAAGTAGCTCAAGAAGTCCGCTCAATTTTCCACTCAGCTTCTGATATCCGTGCGGGGCCCGCTCTCAATCATTGCGTCTATCTCCGTGCAGCAATAAATGAGTCGCTTCGCATGGCCCCTGTTGCCGCGCAACCTCTGTGGCGTGAAGTTGACCCGGGCGGATGCATGGTCGATGGGGAAACAATTCCTGGAGGTTTAAACGTCGGGGCATCAATCTTCTCTCTTCACCACTTGTCTGACGCTTTCCCTGATCCTTATAAATGGGACTTCGAGCGTTGGATTGTTAATCCCAAGAAAGATGAAGAAGCGGAAAAGGAAAGGATCAAGGAGATGTCGAGGAGCTTTGCGCCATTCTCGGTGGGCCCGAGACAGTGTATTGCGAAAAACTTTGCGTTGATGGAGTTGATGCTTACGATGGCGAGTGTGTTCTATAGACTGGATTTTGAGAGCGCGGGGAAGCTGGGTGAGGGGAAGAAGGGTACCGGATGGGGTCGTGAAAGGGAGGAGGAGTTCCAGTTCAAGAGCTATTTCACAAGTTATATGGTTGGACCAATGATTAGATTTAGGAGGAGGGAAATTTGAAGAAAGTGTTTTGATAGGGAATTTGGAGGGTAGTTGGATGGAAGGAGTGCTGAATAAACGGGTGGGCAATCGTTGATTTTTGTCAATCTAAAGCAGACGTTTGGTTAAGCGAAGCCGTGTGTTTTTGATGATACCTCGGCCTCGACATCTCGGTTGCAACATAATCGACAAATCAACCGTCCGGGTACGAAGGAGCACATTTTAACAGGCGCACGCTGCCTTTACTTATCTCGCTTTAACATCAAGGTTAAATTTCAGAATAATGGAGAACTGCAAGCAAACGGGCATACAGAATCTTCAAAAGATGCCAAGTGCCCGATCTACTGAAACGGCCTGGGTATAGCCGTACTCGTCGAAAGGCTTTCCAAGCCCATGTCAAATGATCGGTGAGGCTTGGATACAAAAGCAAGTTCAGCTCCTCGGCCTTATTGTCCAGATCAACCTCTCCATCAACCCGTACTCTCGTCCCTTGAATTCAACAGCTATCTCCACCTGTCTTCAACATCTCAACAGAACATTTATCAACAACGATGATATATTCTCATTTCACCCTCCTCGCGCTCAGGGCAGCGACAGGAGCCTCCTCAATCTAGTCAACCTTCCAGTCAACTTGCACCAACTTAAATACCATGCTCACTTCATCTCATCACTGCACAGTCGGGGGACATTAACTATTCCCCGGTGTTCTTGTTCACCGGCATTGCGTGTACCCCCACTGTGCAACACCTCAACATACCCGAGCAACCCGAAGGCCGTGATCCTGGCTGGCGAGGAGATTTGAAATGGACATTAAAGAAGACCTGGACAATGTGAAATGGAATTCTAAACAAAATTACCGCGCAGGAAGTTTTGGTTGCTAAGAGCTTCGGCGATCTCCAAAATGCATGACTCAGAAATGCAGAACTCGGCCGTTTCGCTGACGAGGATAGAGTTCCTTGGACCCTGACCTATACTCTACTCGCAAATATGGGAAGTTCTGTATTAAGGATAGCAAATAGGAGTAAGAGGATTTAGCCTTAAAGGCCGACAGTGCCGCCCCTAGTGACATCTATGGTGTAGCCGCAGCTATGACTCGCATTACTAGATGAACCTCACGTTTTCCTCCGAGACCGTTTGGTCTCACTGCGCGAGAGATTATCGCCCTCCGGGAATCGGGCCAACTCCACAGGCTTCTTTGTATTACTGAAGATGAAATCAACGACAAAAGCAAGTCCAACGTGTTTGTCAAGGCGATTGCAGCCACGAATCCTCTGGATGCTTATGCAAGAATTTGTTCCAACAGAGCGAAGCCTGGCTCTCGCACAGCTTGAGATAGCTCTGACAGCTTTTTCCGTCTGCGCCGTGGTTATTTACATCCTGAATTGATGGAAGCTGAAGGACGTTAGGACTCGTACATACTTCATGACCGTCCCCGGTAACGCAACAGGGGACGTTGTACGAGCCCCCCAGGATCAGTGGTCAATCTCGAAAGCACTTGGTGTGATTCTCATTAAGTACAATTTGGGAGGCCCTATTCTAAACGACCATTTGGACCCTCGTGGCTATATTTTTTCAATGGTTTGGGGGACTTATGTTTGGTTGTTTAACATTTGGCCTCATGCACGTCGCTGCATGGTACTTCGATTTTTCAAGTCCTTTGGAAACAGCCCTTTGGCGAGTGGCCAGTTTCTGGTGTACTGTATTTGCATTCTTTGCATTTATTGCCAGAGTTGCTTTACTATACGTCACTGTACCAATTTCTCAATTCCCACACATCACTCAAGATAGAGCTTATTAGCTCCACGCTGCTACGTATATATATGTCCTCAAGTCCTTGAATTGCAGGGCCAGCTGCTAGTGTCAATAAATCTCCAATCTAACGTTTTGTTGTAGTCGTAGTTCGTCCAAATGCTCAGTTTGATACCAGGAATGGAGAAGGATGCGGACATATTAGAGACTGGATCCGTAAGCGGAGCGAGAACCTTTCGCCACGCCGATCTTAAGCTGGACAAGGCCTTAGATACTGCCTTACACAGCCTCCATCAGTGTGGGCTCCGATAAGCTCGATAAGCGACGATTAGATAATTGCGCTAATTTTTCGATAATCGATAATCGACCATCGATTACGATAATTATCGAACTAAGGCCTTGGCAATACTACAGGGCCACTACAGGGCCACTACAGGGCCAATGCGCTATATTTATGGGCCTCATACCACCTTTTCTTTACTATAGCAGAATTCCGATTTAGTAAAGGCGGTATAAGGCCTATAAATATAGCGCATTAGCCCTGTAGTAGCCCTGTAGTACTACCAAGGCCCTGGACCCACTATTATTAATAGATTTAGTACTGTAAAGGCGGTCTAAGGCCTGTAAATATAGCGTATTGGCCCTGTAGTGGCCCTGTAGTGGCCCTGTAGTATTGCCAAGGCCCTGGGACCCACTATTATCGATGGAATTATCGATAGGCTCGCTCAATGGCTGGCGGGCCCACTTTTATCAATGGAATTATCGAGGTAATGGGGCTCGCTGGCTGGCTGGGCCCACTTTTATTAATGGAATTATCGATAACTGGATTAAATACTAGCTAGTCTACGTTATATAATAGACTATTAAATAAAAAGTTAAAAAGTCTAATAGTATAGTAATAATAGTATACTTTTATACTAATCTTAATACTAATCGGTTTATAATTGAACTAGAAAGCCGTAATGGGGCTCGTTTAATGGCTGGGCCCACTTTTATCGACGATAATTATCGATATCGATCGTTTATCGATCGCTTAGCCGATAACGATTACTAATCGATAATTTCGATCGATAATTTATCGGAGCCCACACTGGCCTCCATTCTTTGTTATGCAGTCATTGCTGCCTTGAAGTTGGCGTAAGCATCGTGTTACTCAAGAATTCGCCAGGGAAATTAGTAAGACGAGTTTATCTAAACAAAATTTAAACGACCATGCATCCAACACTCAATTGCATGCCCCAGGAATCAAAACCAAGAGCCGCGTGAAAAGGAAACCGTCATTGAATTTTCGATCATTCTCCAACGCTGTATGGAGGGCTCCGCGCAAGCACTGTCGAGGGGTTATTAAGGACAAGCCCCCAGGCGCATGCCAAACACATATCATAAGGTATTATGAATCAATATTATCTTTCTTTAGTGCCGTATGGGCCTGGTAAGCTTGCTATTCTTGCTTAGGTGCCAATCGCCCTCGGCTCACCCTCAACTCAATCAACTGCCTGAGTACCCTAAGCACCCTGAGCACGCTAATCACCCCTAGCAGCTCACCTAAGCAAGCCTGATTATCCCAACGAATTTTTGCCAAATAATCGCGTGTTTTGACTTCTCGCTTTTCAATTAATTATACTTGATCTAGTCTCTATTCCCTTATCAAGTTTTAGTAATAATACTTAAGGAGCTGTTAGTTCCCAAGGAACCTGAAGTAGACACTTGCTAAAAAAAAAACCCTTCTGTGAGGTTACTGGGCTGTCAAGATCTCATCTCAGACGCGCAAGTGTGGTTGAGGAATGAGGAACACATTGCTAAGGAGATTCTGAGTTTGTTTCTTGGAGTTTGCGAACGCGAGGTTAAGCTTACTGCCACCTCACGTGTGTAAGCTGATCCTGGATCCAGATCCATCGAGGCTTAAAGTTGCCCATTTGTCGTACTTTCTGAACGATTGGAGCGTATGTTACGAGCCAGCGAAAGCGAAACCGTTCCTGTCATGATTCGTTGGCTTAACCAATAGTTTTCCTTGTATTGAGGACTGTCGTTCCCGATCTGGAAGAGAGCCTCAACACCGCCTTGTTGCTTATAGGAGCGCACCGCCTAGCCTTGGCCTCGCCTAGCGAGTTGCTCCCTGTAGAGATGTGGCAGTGTTACCCTAACCTCAGCATCCCCTAATGTGCTGGGTGACAGTTACTGGACTTCGCTCAGAGCTGGTGGGATCTCGCATGCACCGTAGGAGTATTGAATAATAAGCACGCAGCAGGCACGATAGGAAGAGAAGGATGTAAATAGAAACAAGGCAATTGCTCAATTGAGAACGAAAAACTCCAAACGAATGATGAGAAAAGGAGTATATAAGAACACTTAGATGTCCGTTGGAACGTTCGACATAACACATCAAACAATCATCAACAGCACTACTCTATTCTAAAATACAACTCATCTATTACTCAACTACTGAGTCTTATCTATTCTACTCTTCAAATCTTCTCCAAGACACCACCGCAACAATGCAGTTCTCATCAACCCTCATCGCTTTCGTTTCCCTCCTCGCGGCTGCCCTCCCAGCAGCAACAGCCTCTCCAATTGAAACTCGCGATCCACCCGTCCCATCTAAAGGGACATACCTCCTCGGCGTACGCTCACTTTTCCCATCCGCATCCCCATTATCATTCTCTTCAAGCAATGTTCTAACGCTCGCTGCAGGGATGCCAAACCGGCAGATCTTCATATGGCTACTCCAACTTCTGCCCCACCGATTTCGCTGGGCCCGATTACCCACAGGATTACTACCAGACTCCCTGTGACCCTGCTGCTCAGGTATGTATTACCTTGATAAACAGAAGATGGGAGAACTAATAGTCGACCAGTGCACCAATACTGGCAACCACTGCACATGGATGGTTGGCAATGAGTATGCTAACTGCACTTAAATGCTTGTTCCTGAGATGGAGTAGAGTGGCGTGCAGGCAGTGGAGGCATGGTTTGGTGTTTGGTGGCATAGTATGGCAGGCTTTACTCTCCTTTAGTAATAGCTTTGGGGTTTTTAAGATTGGGTAAATTTAGCGGCATTGTATTCGGTCTGTTCTAATTTACTCACCAAAGGTCGATTTGACTAATAAATTAAATTTGTTTGCCAATAATTTTTATTTAGTTAGTATAGCAAGATACTTAATAAAGCAGCAATTTTTAATTATTATATAGCCTTCAATTTTCTCACTTGCATAATAGCATATATTTTATAATATTAATAAGTATAGAATATATACTTCCCATTAACTAGATTTGTATTTATTACTTATTACCTCTTTTATATTAAGCTAAAAGATAGAAAATAATAATAAAAAATTAGTTCTTAATAAATTTTCGGTAAAAAGAAGAAGTGGCTTGAAATAAGCTATAAGTAAAACATTTATAGCTTGTATTTATTCTTTTATAAGATAGTGAGAAAGATATTAATAATTATATACTTTAAAATATATTATAAGCAGTGTAGTAATAACTGTTTATATCCTCCATGCATCTTATAAGCAGTATAGTAAAACCTTTTCCTAGCTCAAATTATTATCGCAAGTAATACTGCCATATATTTTACAATTTCACTAATGTTGTAAGAAGCCAGGCAAACAATACCTCATCTCACCTCGCCCATGACATAATAAGCTGTGTAATAGCATGTAATCCCTTCTTGCACTAATATGATACCAACTTTTAGATCTTTTCGTCCGACGACTGGTGTCTCATCTTTAGATGCTTACGGAGGCTACTGGCCTTTGGGAAGATATGGTCCTTGTTTTGTAGCCGCCGATTGAACAGTTCCCACCTTCTATTCCGTTCTGTTCTCTTTTGGTTTTTTCCATCGTCTCTCTTGAGTTCAATGGAGCTATATTTTAAGCATCCTTTATCACTCTTCTGATGGGCGCTTTGGAGGTGCTTGCGAACAACCCAGAATCCCTTGGCAAAGCATAGGATCGAGCATTTGAGAGAAGAGAGCAGGTTCACGGCTATTCGAAGACGGCTTGGGTGATGCCACGTCTGCGGTGATGTTGTTGGCAGAGGCTATAACCGGTATTACCTTCGATAAATGTGTAAGAGGGAATGGTACAGACGAACCACTATGCTTTGGCGTGTGTGTGGTAGTACAAAATTTACCCTTGAAATGGGCAGTTGCCGCTTCCTCACCTCTTTGCCGTTGAGTGGTTCTCAAGCCACCCAATCAAGTTAAGTAGCCAATTAAATTTGTTAGAGAAAGATGCGCCTGTTTGCAAAAAGGCACAAGGCTGATAGCAACTTCCGAAAAAGTTGAATTAATTCACGCCACATTAAAAACAGCGAATTAAAGGTCGCTCCACACCCTGAACTTGCTGCTTATATCGAGAAGGTTCGAGAAGATCAAAACAGTAAGATCTTACATTTATTAACACTCCTCCTTCACAAATTCTGATTCTTATTGAAAGTTCGAATTATTTAGTCATTGCCTATGCGTCAGGACCTCACCTTCGCTGCCTCGAGCGCAGTCTCAGCAAAATGGGGCGAGAAAGCAGGTAAACAAATCTTAATCTCACCGCTTGTCAAGCTGATCGTTTCTTCGCAGTTTCGACATAGATGAGGGTGCAACCGAATTAACACAAAATGAAAGCCTTATTAAAGCCACCGGGGCTAGCCCAGCCATAACTCCTTCACCCATCGCAAAGTTCCACGACTATCTTCGCCGGAAAGAACCAGTGTATGCCAGGCTTATGGAACTGAGGGAAAAGGTATGTCCATTTCTCAGGAAAAGCCCTGTAGACGCGGAAGCTGAAAAGTTGAATAGGGGTGGAAGAATCCAAAAGGAGACGAGCACTTCCAGCAGCAAAGACAGAGAGCCGATACTGCCACGGGGCAAGCTGCAGCCAAATTCTACCGAATGATGCAAGAAGCGACGGGTGCGCTCAGTCAGAAGAGCCGAACTTCAGAGGATTTCGAAATCCTCGATCTTTGTATGGCTCCTGGTGGCTATACAGCCAGCGCTTTACAGCACAATCCGACCGCAAAGGCGGTCGGAATAACCCTGCCCCCGGACCAAGGAGGCCATCAAGTCTTGTTAGATTCTCCTCATTCTTGTGTGTTTTACCATGACATCACTATGTTCGCTAAGGAGTTCGGAGTGAATGAAGTGCCTCCCACACATCCAGGGCGCGCTTCCTTCAGTACTGAAAGGCCTTTCATCAACGAAAAATTCGATCTTGTCTTCTGCGATGGCCAAGTCCTCCGAACTCACAAGCGACCTGAATACCGGGAGCGCACTGAGGCAAGCCGGCTCACAATCTCTCAGCTGATTCTGGCCTTGCAGCGCATAAGACCTGGAGGGAGACTTATCATGCTCTTGCATAAGATCGAAGCTTTGGACACAGTCGAGCTTCTCTATCGCTTCTCACAATTCTCGGACATCCAAGTCTTCAAGCCCGCCAAAAAGCATGCAATTAGGTCAACATTCTATCTCATTGCGAAGAATGTTGAGCCGAATGCAGAGGCTGCTCAACAAGCTGTCGAAGCTTGGAAGGAGGCATGGTGGAATGCAACTTTTGGTGGGGTAGAAGGCGTGGGTGCATCGAAAATCGATATAAAGGACGATTATGCACAGAGTGTTATTGAGAATTTCGGAGACGAACTGGCTCGTCTTGCGAGACCGGTTTGGAGGATCCAGGCTGACGCTTTGAGTAAAACAGCATTTGTTCACTGATCTGTGAGGAATACAGCTGGTTTAGTCTGTTTACGGCGAGAGAAATTAGGATTTCACGTGACATGACAGTAGGCTTTCTCGAACAGTAGTTAGCATGAATACCATGAACAAAAACGATCATTTCCGTTTTATGCGCTTGATTGAATGTTGAATTGAACAAACTTCTATGTCATCCGTCTCTATACACATACAGAGGAATCGTCCTTGATTATTATTATGGCCCGAGAGAACATAATTCTTCACAGCCCTCATCATTAAATTTTTTTCAGATAGGCAGTACTTTCACCCCCAAGTGTTGCCAACAACGCCCTCCACAATGCCTTCCCAGGGACCCCTTATTACGGCGTAGCAGGCCACCACTTCGTCAAGCTGGCCTTCCAATTCATGACCCTCACCGAAAGCTGCCCGCACCGCCCTCGCGGAAACCAGCACCGAGTCTGCGCGGCGCCTCATCACGTTCACGAATGAGAAGGCGCCATGGAGGGAGTTCGAGAAGGGGGAGGGGGTAGGGCACTGCGGTTGTGAGCTCGGGGAAGGGGTGGTGGACGTATTTGTGGGAGGAGGATGAGAGGGTGGGCCCGCTGGTGGAAGAGAGGGGCCGGAGGTATGGGGTTTGGGAGGCGCTGGACGCGGGTTATGGGGATTTGTATGCTGGGGGTAAGGATGCTTATCAGGAGCTGAACCTTGAGACGGTTTGGCTCCCGGGAGGCGTTAGGAGATGTCAAAACATCAGTGGTGTTTTCTGATGAGCGATGCTAGGGATGACACTCAGAGGAAGAACTGCTAGCTTTGAGGTTACCGCTGAGCACGTAGATTAAAAACAGCTGGCTTTGAGCTGTCTAGTTTTTGGAAACAAGAAAATTTTTAGACGACCCGATGAAAGAGAGCGGGAATAGGCAGTAGCAGAGAGCAGACTAGGGAAGATGTAAGAGAGCGCAGATGAAAAGCAACTCGGTATAGGAGCCATAAGCGTCAAGACATGAAAAGTGCTTGGAGGGCAGAGCTGACCAACTCACCGACTTGGGGACCGATAAAGTCAAGAGAAGAGTCGAATAAATGTAGGGGATCACTGGGCGGCTAGCCCAAATATCAATGGATCAGCTGCGGCTTCGCTGCTCCCGGTCGAGGGATAAAATAGCTCTCGATGGGATGGCGGGGGTATACAAACACAAAATTCGGAATTGCATGGTACAAATCTTAGGAGGTCGGTCCCCGAGCCTCGGTATTTCCCCAAATCCCAGCACCAAATGCACGCCTCCGTCCATCCATGCAAGCCCACACTCCTTGGTTCAGATGCAAGAGCTCAGTTAGCGAGCCAGCCGCCCATATATGCCCTCAAACATCCGCCTCTACTCCGATTTAGCATCGTCATCTAGCTCCAGAACCCTGCCTTCCTGGTACGCCGCCTCGGCTGGATTTTTGACACTCATGACTCCAGTTTTCTTTAACCTGCAATCAATCATGTTAGCCAACAACTCGCCGAAAAAAGGACCGGACGATAATGGGCTTTGGAGACAAACCTCTCAAACAATACAAACAGCCGTTCCGCTTCCCGTTCTTTTTCCTCCATCGTCATCGGCTCCTCCTCCACGGTTTCTTCCCTATCCAATAACTGTCCAGTGACGGGGTTAACCATCCCCGCAAATTGTTCCCGACTATCCTGGCTCCCTCTCGCATTGCTCCCCTCACTCCCACTGAGGCTATACGCCTCCAGCGCGTTTTCCGGGATCGGCACGTTGTGCTGGAACAGAAACCCCGAAGCGAAGCCATACCCTACGTTGTGGACGAATTTCCTTGCGTCATTATCGCTCAAATCGAACAAAAGTGAGGATATCGTCTCTCGCACTTGCGGTGTGGTCGGATTTGTGGATAGGCGAAGAAGTCGTGAGGCGAGGGATTCTGCTCGCCCGAGGACTTTTTCTCTGTCTGCTTCGGAGGGCAGGAGCGCTCGCTGCATATGTTTTTGCACTTCTCTCGGCGCGTTTTCGTAGACTTTTCGGAGTAGGGTCAGGAGTGGGGAGACGAGCTGTTCAAGCTCGTCGTCTGCGTAGACTTTTATGCTTTTCTCGAGGATCTCGTGAAGGCGGTCGACGTTGATGTTTGGGGCGCCTTTTGGGAAAAGCTGGGCTAAGCTGTCTTTTTGGGCGAAGGGTACGTTCATGAGGGCGTTGACGAGCGAGCCGATTGGTGGTTCGAGAGGTTTGCTGCTTGATACGGCGCGCTTCGTGAGAAGTGTGAGGATGTGGGGGAGTGCGGTGGAGAAGGCTGCCGTTCTTTGCGGACAGAAGTGTGTGACGTTAAACATCAGCTTCAGCGTCTCGATCAGGGCCATATCCTCCATTGGATCCAACTCCTTGACCTTTTTCTGCTTTGTGACATATTGCCTCGCGTGCCTGCTGATGTTCACACATATGTTCTCTGCCAGATGATATTGATCAATCAGGTTCTCGATGTTGACGTTCGAATCGTAGGTCGTGAGGAAGATTATCCGCGAGACCAAGAATTCATCGTCCCTGCTGTCGTTCTTCAGCTTGTTGCAAGCCTTCTGCTCGTACCTCAAATCCACAAACATCTGTCGCGTATCCGCTCGAAGGAGAAGGGCATTCGCAAGGCATCGCAGCGCATTTCGTGAGGTCGTCAGGGAGGGGCTGTTGAAGGCATGTCGAGTCAAAACTTCAATTCCCTGTGCAAATTAGCTTCTGAAGAGCGTCCCGCAGCGAGTGCAACCTGCCTCTTTGGTGAAGATGGGGTCTGAGTTGGTGGGGTCACGTCCATAGACCTTAAGCTGTTGCAGAAGCTCATCTCGCTCTGCAGAGGGTCAGTGGCCGATCACCAGGCGGCTGCAGATACGCACGGTGAGGCAGCAGATTGATCGTCTGCAGGTCCGACGCCAGCCTGTCCATGATTCTCGTCACATCCTCCAATTTCGCTGCCAATTGATCAGCGTGCGGCCAGGCAGCTTGTGTGACCTGTACGTACCAGCTCCTGACAGCTCCGCAGAGGAGGTTGAGGAGGACGTTCTCGCGCTCGCAGACATGGTGAAGTTTGGAATTCGAAGGTTGCTATCATCAAGAGGAGGCTAGAGGTTCGTGGAGGAAGGTGGGATGGCAGAGATGGGTACGCAGAGGGTTTTCAGCGCTTTGGGCGAGAGGCTCAATAATATTTGGACCCGGGGTCGAGTACTGTATGTCGTAGGGAGGGAGGGGTGCTCTGCTGCAATGCTCGGTGCTGCAATGCTCGCTGCTGAGAACGAGTCAGGACCAGGGTTGGGCAGGGAGCAAGACTGGAGCCCGCACACCCTCCTCGCTGAATGATACTTGGATTTGAGCAGTGACCGCAAGAAGCACCGAGCTTGCTTTACGTAGGGAGACGAATGGTCTGCTGCAGCTGACGGGCATCCAGTGGCACCGCTGGAAATATGGGGTGCATGCGATGCCCTCGGGGCCCGGCGCGGTACAGTACAGAATGATCGCCCTCTTGGTCAGGTGTGTGTGTGTGTGTGTGTGCCCTTCGGCCTCGATCCAACCTCGGAGGCCCGCGTATCGATAGAGTGCTGGCTGCCTGCCCGTGGCACGTATCACGAGCCTGTGCAGCTTTGGATCGACCGCACGCTTGCACGCTTGCACAGCCCTACAGTACGTTTGGTTGCAAGGTCGTCTGGTCGGTGGCAGGGAGCTGAGAATGATGGGCCGGGGAGGGGGAGGGGGAGGGGGGAAGGGACGGGGACGGGGATACGCGGGGCGTTGTGTGGTGTTGTGTGGTGTTTTCTGGTGTTGTCTGGTGTTTGATATCAGAGGAGAGGGTCGAGACTCGAGACTCGAGACTCGAGACTGCGGGAATTCCAGGGCTGGAGCTTGGGGGGTCGTCAATCGCGATGGGCTGGCACTGGAAAGCTTTCAGGGGAATCGAGGAGGTGGGAGTGCTGCCCTGGGGCGGGATATCCTCGGGCGGGAGCAGCGGCCGTGGCTTGGCCGCGTCCGAAACCCAGAAAGCTCAGCAGCTGAGAACGCGGGGCGGGACCTCGGACACTTTTGCTTTGCAACTTTGCAGTGGTACACTGCTGATGTTGACTGCTCAGAGGGATTTTTCCTTCTTTTTTTCCAGGTTTTCTGGTTTGCAGGCCAGGGACATTGTTGCTCGCTCGGCCCTATTTTTGGGAGCCGCGCCGCCTTTCCTTCGCTTCCCCTCGCTTCACTCCCCTCCACTTTCCTCCACTCCCCTCCCACTCCCACTCCCCCTCCCACTCCCCCTCCCACTCCCGCTCCCCTTCGCTCCAAACTTCCAAAGCTGCCGCGTTGGCTTGCCGTGGGGATTTAGCGACTTCTGCGAACGCCACGCCACTATCGCCTTTGAACTTTCTTCTCTCCCTTCCCCGCCTTTTTACATCAAAATGTCTCGCGGCGGCGAAAATATCGAGAGGGGTTCAAGAGGTTAATTAATTGTCCTATCTCGTTCGTTGTGATTTTTTCTCTTCGCTCGTAGTCCTACCGAATCACGCGCCTCTCATGGTTCAGTGACCGACCTTTTCCAGGAGGTTTGTGTGACAAGGTGGCTTTTTGACGTACATTATCTATTCTCCAGTGCTTACGTGCTTGTTTGTGTGCTTGTGTGCTTGTGTGCTTGATATGCTTTCCTGGTGTTACCTTTCTCGCGCCGTCTTTGGGAATCTCCACACATGTGAAGCTATGGATCTATTGGATCTATTGTGCTCTTTCCATCCCCGAGAGCTAGTCCGAAAATACCTCCAACTACTGTTGCGTTTGCAGGCCCAGTTTCCATTTCCCCGATAAACAAACGCAGTCTCTTCGTTTTCCTTCTCCTTTTCCAGGGATGGACTTGTCTCATGAGAGGTTATTTATGCTACGAGTACATGTCGTGGAACGCATGGAGATAATGCCCGCTCTGTGTAGTGAACATGGGGCTACGCATGTGCTGTGGAACGACTGTGGGAAGCTTAGCTGTCTTTTCAAGCGCACAGAGACGTGCAAAAAACACAATAGTTCTCATTCGAGGCCGACCAAAGCTTCACAAAGACTGATTAAATACTTGGGCCTCGGTTTAACTGCAAGTACAAGTGAAGTCAGGTCAGATTCATTCGCGTTTGACATGGTGCCTTGTCCGGTACCGTGCCACAATCGGAGGATTTCGCCCTCGCCCTGTATCACTTATTGTTCGGACCTGTCTCCAAAATGCAAAAAGAATGGGTTACATATTTCGGAACATGCTGTGGACCATACTATCGAGAGTGTCGTGGTACATGGTGACTGTATCATCACGTGACCATTCTCGAGGCCGAGTGCTTTTCGACGGTTTTGTTGCGCACCTACTCCAATCTCATGCTGCCATTGAAGGAGGCCCTCGGGATGGGTCTATTATATCACACTTATCTTTCTAGAGACCTCATCAGTGCACCTATTTATCTAAGTATCTTGCAATTTCGCCTCCGCAGAGAGCCTGCAAGAATGCTTGTCAAGGGACCGCCGCTGGAAGAAGTAGTTGGCAACTTCCAAGAGAGTAGAGTATACCGTGAGAGAAGCCCGGTTAGTGAGAGAAAAAGTGCGCTGTCTGGAGAGAAGAGTCTGCGGGGGAAGTCGGTAATCTGTGCCCCGACTGGAGGGCGAGGCGAGGGCTGAGGATTCTGGTGATGATGTAGGTTAAGCTTTAGTGCCCCGTGAAATAGTTGAATCACACGGGTTTCCGCCGATTCTAAGGTAAGTTCAGAGGCAGAAAGGTATAGCAAGGCATTATTCGTTGTTGACTTATTCACAGCTGTTGTGCTCCCACATTATCGACGCATTGCCGGACAACTTCAAACCATCCCGCGCAATATCCTCAGCTTTGGTCGTAAGTGGGATTCTGCTAGCCTTTTGCCCCGCACTACTCTACACTTACACTTACGACGAGAGCTGATAGGTACTCACTGCGAAAGCCTATTTTCATAGCGAGAGCCTGAACGCACCAGACGATTTACCGCGAAAGACTACACTTACCGCAGGAACCCGTACTCACAACGAGAGTCCAGAGAGTGGTAGTTTGCTACGACGAAAACTCGATTTAACTGCAAGATATCATACTCATTCATGATCTTGCACTATTCAGCTCGTACTCACGAGCCTACACTCACGACAAGGCATGGGGCAGGTGGCAGTGTGCACTATCTACAGGACTGGTGGCCAAATATGTTGGAGTGTCTCTTTATTTCGCAACTAAAAACCTCCGTAATTCCGACTCGTTTCCTGGGAATTGTCAACGCACCACCAACGCGTGCTGTTCGAGTACACGGAGAAGGTTCAACTCAAACCGCCGCCCAGGAACGGCAGACCCTCTTCCGCGACCTGTCACACCCCTCTCGACCCCGCTGCAGCCATTCCGGCTCAACGCAACAGTTGCGGAAGACTTGACCCGCAAGGAGCGATTTTCGTCTGTTTTCCCCGCATTCATTAAGGTTAATACGAGCGCTTAGCCAATCACGCCCCCCGATTCGCTAATCAAAAAAGCTTAATTCAAAAAACGCTAATTTTAAAATAATATATAACTTCTTAATAAGGAGTAAAGGCTAAAATTTTAATTAAAATAAAATAGATTACTATTTAAGATAAGACTTAAATAAATCTTCTTCTAAATTAATGTGAGGTATTTATTAGTAAGTAATAAAACAATAGAATAAATCAGTGAGTTATGAAACCATAATATTAAATTTAGTATAGAACTAATCTCTATTTCTCCTATAAGGTCCAGGGAAGCCTCTTCTAAATAGGAGGCCCCGATAACATATATATAATTAGTAATTTATAAGCCTAATACTTATAATATAAATAGTAGTTAGCTATAATAGTAAAGGGCTATTAATTTCCCTAATAAATACCCGTAATATCCGAGGTTTATTATATGCCCTTTAGTTATATATAACCCTATATATATTATAACTATGCCTTTTTTCTAGGATCTTATTCCCAAGATCTATTAATCTATTCTAGTAAAATAATTAATTATATATTTAATTAAGATAAACTTCTAGTATCTTGAGAGATAATTTTGCTAATATAATTTGAGTAATAGATATAAAAAGTATCTAATTAGATTAGGGTGTTACGATTCCCAGATACCCGGTATCTGAAATACCTCGCCAGATGCCAGATACCTCCTAGGCGCACGTGACGCGGCCGCCTCGCTAGGGAAGTATACTTGGAATATACTAGAGATATTTAGAAGGCTAAGCCCCTTTGGGACTAGCGTACTATGGGGTGTATATACTCCCTTGCAGTCTCCTGTATTCTAGTTTTCTCTTCCTTAGCTTTGAATCGTCTTTATAAGGGACCTTCTATCTTGCTTTCTAAGCCCTAAATACTATACCCGTAATAGTATTTAAAGCTTACTTCCTTTAATCCTATAAAGGATTTCAAATAAACTAATTCAGAACTATTAGTAATATAAGTACCGCCAAGATAACGGAGCCTCAGAAATACAAGTAATAAACTCCAGAATAATAAAAGCGAAAAGCTTTAGAATCTTTAGAGAAATCAGGTATTTATATTTTTATAAATATATACTAGTAGTATATTAGAAACCCTTTCCGAAAACCCGAAAATCGAAGAATCTCGAATAAAGGCTATTCTTTAACCAAGTCCTAGAGTAATAGGCACCTATAGGCCAGTAACCTAATTACTATCCTCAAGCCCTACTCTATAACCTTATAGGCCTTATATATATGCCAGTAATAAGACTACTAGAAAGGATATAGTAAAGGAAAAGTATAATAGGTTAATTTCCCAGAATACTATATAACTAGGAATTATATTAACTTCTGCTAAGGCTTCTAGTAAAGCTCTTACTAGTTTAAGTTATCCTATTAGTAGCCCTTCTCAAACCGAATATCTCGTTAGTATTTCTGGAGAATTTATAGATAAATCTATAGAAATAGAATTCTTTGCTTTTATTATAAAGCTTCTAGAGACTAATAATTATATTACTACTAGAGAGTTATATAAATAGGCCAAGAAACCCAATATCTTACTCTCAGATATTAATATTATTATAAAGAACTACTAGGAAAATATCTAAAGAACTATTTTATATAAGAATACCTATAGTTATAATAAAGCTATTCTCGAGAATACTAAGCTCTATAATACTAAGCTTAAGAATAATATTAAATATTATATAGCTATAGTAAATTAGCTTATAGTAGCTCTAACTACTTCTACTCTACTTGCTCTGGCTATTCTAAATCTTTCTTAAAAGAATTCTGAATTATCTTTTATTTATTCTCGTTTAGGATTCCTTATATCTTATATTTTCTTTAGGAATACTAGAATTACTAAGCTCCCAAATCTAATTCTCTTTACTAGAGATTATACTATCTTTAATAACTGGCTAGTTTAGATTAAGAATAAGCTATCAGGAAATACTAATTTATATTTCTTAAAGAATCTTAAGATTATTTATATTTTTAATAGACTTATTAGTAATACTCTTACCTTAACTAATTCTTATATAAATAAAGATAATCCGAATTAGTATTTTAGCTCTTAGAATTCTA